CAGGTAGCGAAAAGTCGGCAGACGCAGTTGCGGCACAATTGCCGTATGCATCTCAACCGGATGAAGTCAGTGAAGAAAGCCTCCCGCCGCTTCCGGAGTCCCCTGTGTCCACGGATGCTCGCTTCGGAGCATTCAACAAGCCTTTATCAGGAGCTCCTGAACAGAAATCGCCATCTGATCACCTTGACCAGACTGATCCGGGTTTGTACGCCTTAACGGACGCTTCTGCTGCAAATGTTTTGGGTGAACAATCTGCGCCGTGGCGGTCGCCGCAAGACGTGACCTCTGACCCCCTTCGAGATGCTATGTTTGATGGCGTTCAGCCACAACCATACAACCTCCATGAACCTTTGGACAGCCATGGTACGGATGTTATCGCACTGGTGACAAATGGTGATGAACCCAGCGCCGTAGGAGACGAAATGTCATTCTATACAAAGCCAAGTAAGAAGGGAAAGAGGAATGGCAAGCGCATCGCTTGGACTGACGATACCCGAGACATGGACCCCAAGCTTACGCACACGGATGAAACGCCTACCAGCAGTGAACCTCGTCCAGCTCCAGGCTTTCATGGCCTTTCGCCGGTGATAGCAGGAAGCTTAGCCGGTGGTGCTGCGCTACTCGCCAGCGCCAGCCTGCTCGAGCGTAAGCAAGACGCGGAGGATGAGCGCTCCTTCGCATTACCGAAGCAGTCCAAGAAATCGAAGCGCAAAGCAAAGCAGAGCCGCATCCTGCTCGAAGATGATGACACCCTTGACGCTTCAAGGCAAGCAGAGGATGCCGCAAACGGCGATCAAGCGATGCCAGTGACTGTGTCCGATGATATTACGGCACTCGACAATTCTAATGGATCTGCCATTGCTAACCTCGAACAAGACCTTGCTCAAGTCAATGATGCTGCTGATGTCCCCTTACCAGCACCAAGCGGCGACGAAATGGAAGACCCGCCAAGGCAGATTCCACCTTTGGTGGCGGAAGGTGACGGCGCATCAGAAAAAGCAGTGCACTACATATCGCAGGAATCACAGCCGCGACAAGGCAACATGGACCTTTTCCCGGAGCCTGAACGACAGGAATCATTTGACAATGCTGATGTCCAAGCGTCATATCAGGACGCTCGTGAGCAGGGCGCACATGATCTCCTCGCCGATGCAGCGTCTGAGCCCTTCGCCGCAGAGGTGCCCTCAGCCCATAATAGTAACAGTGCTCAAGCTTTGGTTGATCAGCCAGCAGCCGTGGAAGAGGGTTGGCCTGCTTTCGCGACTAAGCGCTCGAAGAAGGAGAAGCGCAAAACCAAGAAGGGTGCGCTGCCGTCCATGTCCGCATCGGAGGAGCCTACTGTAGCCCCTACAGACGAAATGGTTGACCAGGAGACTGTTCCAACTACATACAAGTTGCCTCACGTGGTGGACGACATTGCCACACCGACCGAGTCTGCAGAAGGAATGGAACGCTCCGCTCCTACTGTTGCGGATGAGATATCAGCAGAGGAGGAAGTACCGTTGCGCTCAGCGCAGGATACTAACGGCCAGGAGGACGAGTGGCCGGATGTCGTTACAAAGCGGACCAAGAAGGAGAAGCGGAAAGCCAAGAAGGGGGCTCCGCCGTTCACTCGTGCATCGGAAGAGCCTACCGTAGCCCGCACGGAGGAGACAGGTGAAGATGACCCTGCCCGTATGCCTCATACGCTGCCCGACAATACCGACAAGGCCTCTAAACCCGTTCATCATGCGGAAGAACCGGAACCCTCTGAACTTCTAATCGCGGACGCTCTGCGCGCAGACGCGAAAACACTGGCACAAGCACAGCAAGGCACTGACGATCCAGAGGATGAGTGGCCAAGTGCATCTTTAAAGCGTTCGAAAAAGGAAAAGCGCAAGGCGAAAAGGGGCGGCCTGTTAGCACCTGATGATACGGTTGAGCAAGCTCTAGGCGAACAACCAACCGCGGAAGCACAGCTCCAGCAAGAGTCGATGCCATCCGCTGAGAGGGAACCAGTGACAAGCTTTCAGCCTACCCTATATGGAGCTTATGCTACCGCAGCCTTCGAGCATGCGGCGACAGACGCTGCCATCGCAGACACTGGCCCCGAGGCCATCACCTTATCGTCTGTTGCTGAGGTTCACAACCCTCACGACCCTGCCTCAACAGCTGTCGAGGCCGATGCTTCCAGCATACCTTTACCGGCAGACACGGTGGGAGACTGGGATGTTCCGGACATGGCAGTCGATCTGAAAGACAACGCATCTGACCTATGCAGTAGTTTGTACCATGAGCATGACCGTAGCTACGTGCAAGACACAACCGAAGAATTATCCCGGCGTCCAACACAAGACGACGTTGAATTTGCTGCAACTGTCGCAGCCGCCATGGCTGAGAGTGGTTTCGACCCGGACCTCGTGGTGAACGACGCTGCTTTCCAGCGCAGAGTATCACCGTCTGGTATCTTGGCCGAAGCTGATCCAGAAGAGGTCGTGCCCTCGAGAAGGAAGGCTAAGAAGAGTACAAAAGCGTCGAGTGATCCAACCGCCAAGGAGCCCGTGTCGGAGGTCGAAGACGGCCCAGTAGTTGACAGGGATCACATGGGCCAGCCGACTCCTTCTCGGAAAGGTGAGAACTTCGACTTCGATGAACAACTGCATCAAAGTCTGGCGAAGTCTGGATTTGATCCTGCGTTACTCCGACGAGCAACAGGCTCCGGACATGCCTCACCAACTCCTGCCGGACTGGACGATGATTTTGAAGTTTGGTATGCCAAGTCTAGGCGAAAGAAAGGCAGGAAAGCTCGTGCTTACCCTACTGATGATGCGGAGACGGATGAGGAAACAGCACCAGGCGCGAAAGAGGGTGGGCCCGCACAATACGCGCCTTCTTCCATTGCCGCTGAGCCTCTCACCAAAGAGTCGTCCTTGGACAACACTGAACACTCCGGAGACAATGACGAGCCCGGATTGGAGAAAACCCTCGGCCAGGAGGACGAAGTACCACCACCGGCCCTACCAATTGAAGAGACCACCATTCCGATGTCTGTGGAACACACAGACGTTGACCCAGCTCACACATTCAATGTTGCAGGCGATAAGGATCTAGATGTTGATGAGATGGACAAAGCTTACAGCACTTACAAGAAAAAGGATCGCAGAAAGCGGAAGAAAGAGCGAATAGCAGCGGCTAGGGCCGAGGGAGCGCAGGATACTGGCTCCGGAACGGCAACTGCAGAGGACGAGCCTAGCTTACCTGTTACCGCTCGAGAGGCATCAGTGCTGCAGACTACAGAGGCTCAAGCCATGCAGGTTCGCGGAAAAGAAGAGATGGAGCCCGCCAGTCTGCCGAATATACTCGGTGACGCTTCAAGCAAAGTACAGAGCGTCTTTCCAGGACTTGAGAGAGTCAAGCGAAGGAGGCAAACCACGGCATCAACCACAATTCTGCATGACGATGTGCAACCTCAGCAGCAAGATCCCAGTGGGCAAGATGGCCTGCTGCATACTTCCGAGGTTTCACAATCGCTGCCTCTGTCGGTTGGCCGTCGTTCAGCACCCTTACCAGTACCAACTGATGCGGTAGCCACACTCGATCCCACAGATGGCGGCGTCAGCCAAGACACAGTTGGCTTAGCAAACCCTGACTTCGCTGGTGGTGCTTTAACAGCTGTGGGCATCATGGGCGCAGCTACAGCGGCTGTGAGTGTGCTGCAACAGCATGGCGTTAGGGACGGACATAACTCTACGGAGCCTGAATGGTCATTCGCTAACCTCGGAGATGACGGCCATCCAAAGTTCGCCACTAAGCCCATCGATAATAAAGAGCACCAAATCGCGAGAGACAGTGGCTACCAGGAAATGGATAGTCCGCTCGCAAACCGTCTCTCGAATCCAAGCGTACGTGGAGGACCATCAATCGTCCGAACTACACCTTCTCGCGAAAGTCTCCACAGCAGGCGGTCAATGGAACCTTTGCACATTGACACACAGCACGACGAACCTTACAGCTTAGGGCTCCCGAAGGAGCAAGCTGCAGACGCTCCAGAGACCGAGAACTTGAGAGATCGCGCACTGAGTGGCGAGAGTGCAAAGACGCCGTTGCAATCAACGACAAAGAACCGTACTTCATACCTATTCCAGAGTCCGCCCACGCATCTGCGGGATTTGGCAAATGTCTCTGATGGAATATCGCCGAATTTATCGCGACCGTCAGTCGGCGCCGACGACCTGGAGGCAGAGCGGATACACGCAGGATCTGAGCATCATGCACTCTCTCCACCGGCCGAAAGTGTCTCGTTTGCTCCGAATATTCCGCTTGCAGTGATCCCGGAGGAGCACACTGCTTCGAAGCGCAGCAAAGACGACACAGATATTGGCGGTCCTGAGCTTGTGAAAGCGCTGCGCCGAACGGAGACGCCTGAGACCATCCGTAACACTCGCCAACGCAGGCTTTCGTCGTCAGCGCACCCAACTGTTACTATTCCGACCACTCATCTCAGATCATTAAGCAATCCTCTGTCGACCGATGATGTGCTCCAGCGATTGTCATGGCCAGCGGTTGATGAAGAGAATGATACGGTCAACATCGACCGAACTCTCAGACGCAAGTCGCCTAAGCCAACAATACTTGAGCCTCGGTCCGCGAGCGTCGTCAGTAGTCGCTCAAACGCCAGTGTTGGTCATCAACACAAGTCGCCCTCCGATTTACGCTCGTTCTCAAGAAACAGCAATCGGAGCAGCACGCCAACTCTACGCAGAGTGGATCGCAGCTTGTCAGGTGATCTGCGGGCCGCATCCCGGCGCAGCGACGCGGGGTCTGCCGTTGGCGCCCGATCGTCGACACCCAAAACAATCCCTTTCGAGCCGCCACCAACTCCACCATCCAACGATGAGGACGTGATCATTGCCGGCGCTGCTGGCGCAGCAGCCATGGCCGATGTCTTTCAAGGATATGGCGACGTGCAAGCCTCTCGTAGTTCGCCAACACGTCCGCCGAGCGTGCGAAAGCGGCAGAGCATGCATATAGTCGAGCTGGAATCCAGGCTTGACCAGCTGACATCTGAGAATCGCGCTCTCCATGACGCGAGGCAGAACGCGGAGCAAACTCACGAAGCAACCAGCTATCAGCACGATGTCAACAGCCAAGCATTGCGCCAAGCGCTTGATGCGCGGGAGCTGCAGTTGCAAGAAAAGGACGCCGAGATCAGCCAGATACGTGCGATCTTAGAGCCATTGCAGGGAGAGATTGCACGGCTTGCCGACCTCAATGCTGGACTTACCGATGCCAACAGGAAGCTTGTCGACGACAGCAATGGCCGCTACGGTCAGCTTCATGCCGAACATACCCACGCTCACGAGCAGTGGCAGAGCACAAGCCGCGAGCTGGATCAAATACGAGAAGAACACGGCCGGCTCACGACAGGCATGCAGCAGATTGTAGAGACTGAAGTCGCAAACGCGGTCGCGGACAAAAACGCAGAGATTCACCACTTGCGCGAAGAGCTCGACATCGCCACTGAGCGTATTCGGGCCCTCCAAGTTCAGATCCAGTCCTCGAGGCCGTATGAGTTCCTAACCATCCGAGACGAAGACTACTTTGACGGCGCTTGCCAGAAGCTCTGCCAGCATGTTCAGCAGTGGGTCTTGCGGTTTTCGAAAGTCTCAGACAACCGCGTCTGCAGACTCTCCTCCCAGTTGCAAGACGACAAGATTGAGAACCGCTTGGACAATGCAATCTTGGACGGCTCAGACGTCGATAAGTTGCTCGCCGACCGCATCAGAAGGCGAGACGTTTTCATGTCGGTGTTGATGACTATGGTCTGGGAGTACGTCTTCACCCGCTACCTCTTCGGCATGGACCGAGATCAGCGTCAGAAACTCAAGGCTCTGGAAAAGGTGTTAGCGGAAGTCGGACCACCTCGCGCAGTCGCTCAATGGCGTGCTACGACGTTGACACTCTTGTCCAAACGGCCAGACTTTGCCCGCCAGTGCACCATGGATACAGAAGCCGTCGCGCACGAGATCTACGCACTGCTTTGCGCTCTTCTCCCGCCGCCACCGAATGCAGAACAGCAGCTGGTAGCGTCATTGCAGAAGGTCATCAGCGTTGCCGTCGACCTGTCGATCGAAATGCGTACGCAACGCGCAGAGTACATCATGCTCCCACCCCTCCAGCCGGAGTATGACATGCAAGGTGAATTGGCGCGTCAAGTGCACTTCAACGCGTCACTCATGAACGAGCGCTCCGGACTCTTTAGCTCGAATGAAGCGCTGGAGCAGGATCGTGCGGTGGTGAAGATTGTACTGTTCCCGCTTGTGGTGAAGAAAGGAGACGAAAGCGGAGAGGGTGAGGAGGAGATCGTGGTCTGCCCAGCGCAAGTGCTTGTGCAGAACGAGGGTGGGAAGGCAAAGAAGGTTGTTAGAGTCATGAGCGGCGCCATGGAGATTGATGACCCACGTAGGAGCAGGCAGAGTCTGGTTAGTACGGCGCCAGGGAGTGCGGCGTTCTAGAGGTGCATAGTTGGGCATGTCTTTTTGATACCATAGTGTGAATGTATTGACGAATTACGGAGCCTGTCGTCTTTTGTGTTTATCCCATGAGAAAGGATGTAAATGTGGTCTCCTGGTTTGCCTTGGCAGTTGGTGACGCAAGCAATGCCTGGGACATGCCGGGTCCTTTGAGAGCTGAACCTGGTCAGCCGACCACTCCTTCATCATGCCCAGGCGGCCTCATCCAGCTGCGCCGCGCCCGCGCATGTAATAGGTATGGATCGCAAGTAAGTCGTGTTATCAAATCTTCTTGTGTCGCAGACTCTATATTCTTATTCTTCCTCGTTTTTCTCGCTTCTCAAGCGTAACATTACCAAGACCGTTGGAAGGAGGCTTTGAGCGCTGTTGCATACGATCAGGCACGACGATTATCTCTAAGTTGTACAGGACCTCCATCCGCCAAACACGCGCAGCATCCCACAAGCTACGTGACCGCCGAGATGTGTCTCATCACCACTCCAAATGAACGGCGCAAACGCTTCGTCGTGACCGAAGACGCCTACAACGCGCCGAGACCGGTATCGAACTACACTGGCGGGCCAGCACCGCGAAGGTCGGGCACACATGGTCGACGCTCGACGAGCTCGCTACCGCCGGATAGGGTGTACTACAGGAGCAGCTATAGGGAGAGCGGGCCGAGACTGAGCGAGAGGGATGTCTATACTACGAGAACCAGCCGGACCTATGTCCGGTGAAGTGGCCGCTTCATTGACACTCGTACGAATATGTTGGATTTGGTTGAGGGAAGGCTTGTACTATTGTGGGTGATGACTTGATGAATGAAGGACTATGACTATGAGCTACACACTCTCAGGCGGGTGCACGTTTGTGACTCTTCTGGCGGCGGATATTCCAGCAGTTGCGATCGTCCGCCATTCCCATTATTATTAAGGACTTGGACTCAGCAGTTGTCGAGGCGATAAGGCTCTTTTGCTCGGCTTTATGTTGGGAACAGGCGGCGGTTGTGTTTCACCTTGTGGTTCAGTCAAGTTGATTGCTCAAAGCGCTTTCAGCAGGTACCAGGTATAGGAACGTTCAACAACCAACAATTCATTGGCGAATCTCAGATCACGAATTCCTCCGCGGCCATCATGCGCATAGCATAGCAACCGCGCGTTTTTGTGGAACGCAGGCGTAAGTACAGTGACGTAGCTTCCGCAGAGCTCCATTTGCTTTGTTCAACAAAGACTGCGACTGCCAGCTCCTTGACACTTTTTCACCGTTCGATAGTGCAGGTTTGCAGGAGTTGTTAAGGGACGTCGTAAAGCTCTGTACCTAGCGTTGTCCAAACCAATACGATCCTCAGACTCGAAGGAGACACGCGAAGATGTGAGCGCAAATAGACCCCCCCTCCGCTTGGCGGTGATGTGCGCTGCCTTCGCAATACTCATATCATGGTCTAGGAATCTCGGGCGCTCACACTCGATCCGCTCGAAGAGGAGTGAGAGCTCCTCCAACAAAGATGCGGGCCGTCATCGCTTCGCCATGTCTTCGCTGCGGGGCATGACCCAGCCTGAGCTGTCGAAGAAGCTGTACAAGCTCATCAAGACACAAAACAGCCAGATTGGGCACTACGAGAATGCGGCGCGCGACACGCACAGTGTGGCGAGTCAGCTGAGCGAATGGGGCGAAAGCACCGGCGACGAAGCTGTGTCCGATATCAGTGACAAGCTTGGCGTCTTGCTGGCGGAGATCGCGGAGCAAGAAGATCTCTTCTCGCAGAATCTGGAAGAAAGCCGAGGCATATTGAAGCAGATCCGCAACACGGAAAGCTCGGTGCAACCGAGCCGTAACCAAAAAGCGAAGGTAAGCAAGCGCGTTGGCCAGCCGGCAATATACCCGGGTTAACGTGGCTGCGCAGATCCAAGACGAGATTCAGAAGCTCAAGTACAAGGAACCAGAGTCGCCGAAGCTCGTCATACTCGAGCAGGAGCTTGTCCGTGCCGAGGCGCAGTCGCTCGTCGCGGAAGCGCAACTTACCAACATTACCCGTCAGAAGCTCAAGGAGGCGTACGACGTCCAGACCGCGGCGATCATCGAGCGCGCCGAGAAGCAGATCATGCTTGCTCAGCACGCACGTCGCCTGGTCGGCTTGCTGGACGACACCCCGATCGTGCCTGGCGAAGAGCGACCGCCGTTTGAGGACACGGAGGCTGCTCGAGAGATCCTCAACGACGCCGAGGCAAGCTTGCGCGGCTGGGCGCCATCTGTCGAACCCATCCAGTCTTCTGGTGCGAAGGTCGGCGCAAACCTCATGCCGAGCCACGTTGGCCAAGCTGGGGCGGAGGAACAAGCTATGAGAACCGCCGAGGAGAGGGTTCACGGTGGTGCCACTAGCGCGACTGGCACGAGCGAGGTGACTCATGGAACTCACGAACAGGTACAGCATTCATCATACCAGCCAGAGGGGGTATCGGCGCCATACCCGACACACGAGACCGCGACCGCATAAGCGGTGATGAGGATGAAAAGAAGTATGACCCGGTGAGTGAGGTTCCAAAGGAAGCACGGTGTTGGTGGTTAATGATGTATGTTGATGACTGCAACGACTCCATCTACTTGATACCAGTACCAAGCCATTCGCTTTCACATCTCTTGTGTCTCTTTCCGAAGCACACCTGTCCTTCCGTGAGTATAGGAAATATCGCCTACTGCACTGCAGGCGTTGCCACCCACAGCACGCTTTGTTGGATCGAAGCCTCTCACGCGATTCTGTAGTGGCGTACCAGAACAGCCCAAGCGCCGAACGTCAAGCACTCCTGCCGCATCCCGGCCCTAGGGCCTACAGGATTTTGGAGCCAGATCAAGCTACTGCGATAATCTACCTAAATATCAACAGCTGAACTACAGCTCACGGTGCTCTTCTTAGAACCACTCGTTCTTCGTAGAACTGTGCCACCATGGAAGAAGGCAGCCAGCTATGGAACCTGGATAAGGTTTTCTGGGATAACTACCTGAAGGGCCGACCAAAAGTCCCCGACAGCTTTTTTGAGCGCATCTTCAACTATCACGCCAAACACTCCGGCAATTTTGAGAACGCACACGATGCTGGAGCCGGTCCTGGCGTGCATTCTGCTCGCCTCGCCAAGCGCTTCGGGCATGTGCTGCTATCGGATCCGGCGGAGAAGAACATTGTCATCATGCGGAAGGCGCTAGGAGAGAATAGCCAATTCGATATTCGTCATTCTAAGCTCGAGGACGTAGACGGCATTGTGCCAGGTAGTATGGACTTGGTTTTCGCTGGGGTAATGATTCACTTCGTCGAGCAGCCCAAGGGTATCGAAAGCGTGGCCCATCAGCTCAAGCCGGGTGGAACATTTGCGTCGGGCGAGTTCGGCATAGCATTCATCAAGAACCCTGCGGCACAACGCATTTGGACCCAGCTGTTTCATCAAGGCGTCATTAACGTCATGAATCGATTCAGAGCTGCCGGCAATGAAGCCATGTTTGCAGTACTGCAAAGGGCGGCTTCTATGAATGGAGCCGTGCCTTTACCGGAGGAATACTTCAAGCCCGGCGCCATCCGTCTGAGTCTGAATCACCCAGAGTGTTGGTCATTTTATGATGAACAATGCCCGCCGCAGCTTAGGCACGAGCTGCCGCAGATCATTGCTACGGGGCCGAACGATGTGTTGCGGTTCGAGAGTGAGACTGGCCGGGAGTTTACTGCGGACATGACGCTGCTCAAGATCATTATGAGTACCTACACCTTCGACCCCGAGGGTGAAGGCTTGCCGGAGTTGTGGGACGAGCTGGGGGAAATTGTTGGTGATGGAAGCGTCGATTGTGCGTGGCCTGCAGAACTGATCCTTGCAACCCGGCGGTAAGCGTAGCAGAAGTCTGCGGACGATGTTGACTGCTATTCTCAGCATTGTTGTAGTGTTAAGAAATACCATCCCATCATCACTGCAATCCTATGTGCACTCATCCTGTTACTTGTCCCTCATAGAACGCCCACGCAGCTGAGATTGGTACGCTCGAGATCCGAACAGCTCTTCCCGATACTGCTCCACCTCCGGTACGAAAGAAGGACATTCGTGCCTCACGATAGAGACCAGGACCCAGAATTAGCTTACTGCCAACATGAGCATAGCTAGGACCTGTGACTGCAACGCTTTCCTTCACTCGAGTGAAATCCTTAATCAAACTGTTCAGCGACTTCACTTCACATGGACTCCTTCGTTTGCCACTTACACTTCCGTGCGGCCTTACACATTGAACACCACCCGCAAAGGCATTCAGGCATACATCACAAAATCGACATGATCATCGCACCGAAAGCGCACACCCTGCTTTCCAGTTATCCACCAAGATGAACACTCCACCGCCAGCCATTACACCTCCCGAAGAGTGCTCCGAAGAATGGGCGTCCGTGCCAGCTGTTCGGTTGGTTTGGCACATTGTTCATCTAAGTAATGTACTGCTCTCGCAGTTTAGCGCCTACCTCTCGCTGGAAGCATTGCAACGAGATGTCTCTTCCAGTCAGCTCACAGTGCCGGCCGGACATGAACGCTTGCTGGCGGCACAGGCGGAGATGATGGTAGACGAACTCAAGAACCTGCGTGCCGCAACCGAAGCTATCGTCAGTTCGACCGCTCATGCAGAGCTCAGCAGCAATACAGCTTACACGTCGCTTCTTGCCACTGAGTGCGGGTTGGAAAAGGTCGTCGGCAAGTCCTCCCTGACAAGTGCGAAGATCACTACGAGAGGCTAACCACCTGAGATAGCGACGGTCAGCAGCGGCGTTGGCAGCAGGGATATATTGGAGAAGCTGCGAAAGGCTTACGATGAGTTGACGAAGCTGTGCTACGGCGACGAAGCGCAAGGCTCCACTGGATGGCGCGAGCTGTGGAACGAAGTATTCGGCTACAGCAGCCGTGTATGAACGGACAAATCGACGACAGGCCGAGGAGGTTTAATATCGAGGCGACTATGTTGAAGCCGCAAGATGGCGCACAGGATCGTATCAACTCAGACGGTTTCCGCTAGCATCACAGCCTCTTTACACCTGACCACTGTATCCTTGCCAATGTTCTTGTGTGGATGCGAGAAAGCTCTTCGAATGCGGAAGGGACGACTGTGCGGATCCCCGGAGTACCTAGCCTCTGGCTCCGTGCTGTGTCCAGCACTGTCACTACATTGTATAGCGTGGACCCTTCAATCTTCGTCGTCATCATCGTCCTCGTCCTCCTCGTCATCATCACCAACAAGGACATCCACCAGCTGCTTCGTTTCCGCCCTTACTGCTCTTAGATCTTCACTCGCACTACTTCGTTCATCTTCCCACCATTGCTCGAATCCTTCAGCCTCGACAAGATCCTGCGTCGCCAAAGTATTGCTCGCGAACAAGAGTGTCTTACTGCCTTGCGGCCGGTGCACCAAGTCCGTCTGCAGGAACAACATGAACTCCGCCTGCTCTTCCACCGCCTTCACGCACGCGCGAACCAATCTCTGATTCGGACTAATCGCCTCCGCCACAGCATCTTTAGGTGACTTACCAGCCTCGACGAGGTTCGCTATGCGCTTGCTGAACGCTACTGCCACCGCACGCCGAACCTGGCTGTCACCGGCGTTGCTGGACATCCGCAGCGCCTTAAGCTCGAGCTGGATGTTGTCGGGGTCGTGCCCTTTCTGTAATGAGTCGAAAATGCTATTTGAGGCCTCGTGATGGAAGTCCGCCGCGTTACGTCTCGTTTCGCCGCTTTCTTCAGAGCCAACCGAGCCGAAGCTACCAGATCGAGAGGTCATGTCATGAGCGTGCTCCTGTGCCATGTCTTCTTCATCCTCATACTGAAAATCTGAGTAATCGCCGTCTTCGGTGAGATCAGTGTGCTGAATGCCGGCCATGAGCGCTTCCAACACGTCCTCTTCCTCCATATCCAATTCCAGCTCGAAGCCTTCACCGCCCTTTCCTACTACCTTGGGGTCCGTGACGCCGTGCACAACATCATCACTATCGTAGCCGCGCTTGCGCTTACGTCTTGTAACCCTCGTGTTCTCGCTAATGGTTGTGCCGTCTGCAACGCTGACACCATATGACAACAGCGCGCCTCGTTTGACGTGACACTTCTTGCCAACGGAAACTCCGTCAGCAATGATTGCGCCATTTATCACACTGTCGTCGCCGATGCGGGCATCATCCCAAACGTAAGCGCCATCCATTTGGACTCGCTTGCCAATCACACATCGTCTGCCAATAATACTGTTGTTGACCACAGTGCCTTCGCCGAGTGATGTCGCCTTACCGAGTACAGTCTTCTTCCCGACTAAGCTAGATCTAGCAAGCATTACGCTTTCCTCTTTGTACACGACGCCTTTAGACATATGATACGTTTGATCGGAAAGCAGGTTGCAATCGGGAACAAGCGGATAAGTCCACCTGCTTACTGCATCTCGACTCACTGCGTCATACGCCCGTAGATTGTTGACCCTCGCCGCATACCCTTCGGATACGACATGGGCATGGATTGTACGTTGGAATGTCTCATAATCCTGTAGTACGCCGTGCAGGAAGTCGCGCCGTGGCATCTTCCAGTCGAAGCTGTCACTCCACTGTGCCAGCACATCCGGCGTACAGATATCGATGCCGCAGTCGATGAGGTCCTCACGAACGTCGATCTCGACATGATCCTTGAGCACCTCCTCAGGTATGTTGAGGCGGGGCGAATCTCGAGGCCGAACCTGCTCATAGTGTACGCACCGCTGCGTCTCGGCGTCGATGACGAAGCAGCGGCGCATATGCTGACTTTTGGTTCGGTGATAGTCACCCGCCTCGCGAAGTACCATGGTCATAATGGCGTTCTTATTCTTCTCTCGTCGAGCCTTGTGCATAGCCAGTGCGCCTTCGAGCGAGATATTGGCGACGACGTCACCGTAAACGCAGATGAAGTCGCCTTTGATGAGCTGTTTCTGGTCCAAATCCCGCATACAGTCGCCTATGGAAGTAGAAGTTGAACGTATGATCTCCAGAGAGAATGGCGAGGTCTCCTGGGTCCAGCGTGAATGGTTGAGGTAGTCTTCGACCTGGTCGGTATGGTTACTGCTGTAGAGATAGACCTCTTCCACGCCTGAACCAGCCAGAAATTCAAGGGTATATTCGATCAGTGGCGTGTTGGCCAACGTGAGCAAACATCGTGGCTTCTCGATCGTGAACGGTTCGAAACGCTGCTCAAATGAGTCCCTACAGTGCGGTCAATGTGGGCTGCTGGGTAGTGACAACATAATGGTATCGAGACATACGCGAGCACGACCGCTTGTAGTGGCTCGTCATGTTCCTCTTCAGCCTTGTTAGATTTCGTAGCTCCTTTCTTACCCTTCGGCGCCATTGCAGAGGCAGGTTTTCCGCTGATCCGCCCCTCCCCTTGCTATGCGACCAAGGACTGGTCAAGCCAGATCACTTCGAGTAATATGGGAGTCACAGTCAAGGCTCTTCGTTCTGTGGGTGCATCCATACAGCTTTTGCCTAAGGCACCACAAATTTTCCGCTCACCTCACTCCAGACTGCTACATTCTGCTGAACCGACGCAGTCAAAGACGAAGAAACTCGGGGATAATTTCTGCGTTTCTGGCTGAGTTGGAGACGACATGTGGTGCGATATGGAATAGTTTGAATGCGAAGGGACCAAGATTCGCGCGATGAAAGAGCCGCAGCTTTAACTTCCATCCGCCAACAGATGGGTTCAAGATGTCGCTAGTTTCATGATTTCGTCACTCTAACGCCCAATGCACATGCATAATACAGACACTCAATGCCGCCCTTAGACTGACTTGCATGCGTACCGGAAGCGCCGAATGCAAAATTACATATGCACAGAAAAACGCCGGCTGAAAAACCATGAGTATTGCAAGCGCGAGGAGGCTCCTTTGGTCGCGACTAACGACCCGGCGGCCGAGGCATCATCTGCTGCGGTATAGGCTGCGGTGGCATTGGATGCTGCATCGGTTGCTGCATCGTTTGCTGCATCGGTTGGCCCATCGGAAGTCCAGGTGGGTACATTTGCTGCCGCTTCACATCCCGCATATCATTCGGCCCGCCTGAGATGTCCGATATCCCTCGCCGGTGCTGCTGCTGAACAGGGCCTCCCGGTGGTGGAGGTGGTCCTGGTTGTGGGAGTGGCGGCGCCCGCATGGGTCCGCCTGGCGATGTGGAGTAGATGGGCTGAGGCGCCATGTTTGGTTGGACTGGGAATTGTCCGGGTGCGGGTCCAGCACTGTGGTGGACAGCTTGCATGTAGGGATCATCCGTTTGCGTACTGCCGGCTGGTGAAACGCCAGTCATGTTGCTTGGCGAGTGCCAATTGCTGACTGTAGCTGGCGAGGTGGCTGGCGAGTCTTCACTCTTCATACTGCGTTTCGCCGAATTCATCGCGTCAGGCGGCGGAGGAGCGCCCATTGACGCCATTCCCGGAGCCTGCTTTTTTAGATGGGACAGGTGTTTCTCCAACATCGTCAGTAAGCCTTCCTTGGTAAACGGCTTCGGTAGAACGTCGTTCATTCCTGCACATGGTCAGCATGCGTACAGCAAGCGGCGGTCCTGAGATTGGACATACCATGCTGGAAATACATCGAGATGTCGTCACTCCGTATGTTCGAAGTCATGGCGACTATAGGCGTATTGTCAAACTGTCGTATCAAGTGTGTCGCAGAAACTCCGTCTAGGTTCGGCATGATGATGTCCATAAGTACCAGGTCGTACTTAGCGCCGGCATTCATCTTATTGACCGCTTCTAGCCCATCTAGAGCGCTGTCGATTGCACATTGGAAGGCATACAAGAACTTCCCACCGATGCGCCTGCACGTCTGATCATCCTCGACCAACAGGATGCGCGGCTGTCGTATCCAGCCTGGATCGACAGTCGTGCTCTTCTTCCGTCCCATTGCAGCCGGCGGGAACTGACCTTCTGCGGGTTTCGCGGGCATTGGGTACGGGATATTGTTGATGTGTTCGCTGTACGTTGGGTCAATACCTTGAGTGTGACCGATTGGGTACACTAGATTGTCGAGCTCGCCGTATGACATGGACGTGGAGGAGGTCGCCGAATGCGGTGCGGCGCCCCTACTTGATGAGCGCGTGCCGTTACGTAGTGCAATATCTGGTGGTGGTGTGGTAAGTGCGGCATTGATGCGCATTTGGGCTTCGTTCATTTGCTCTAGATTTCGTGTGTTCAAAATATGGTCTGCGTTGACCTCACTAAGAAGCTTCGAAGCGTGCTGTAGAGGCGATGCTGGTATGTCGTCTGGCGCACCGGCTTCGGGCTCCGGTAGTACGCCATTCGGTGCGCCATTCCGTGATTGTGGGAAAGGGTGCCCAACCTTACTCTCCCTCCGCCTTTGCGCATCTATTGTGTTCAAAAAGTTCATCACATACTGCATGACGTGCTCGTGATTTACGACAGTCTTCTGCACGCCAATCAATTCCTGAAGTAGCATGGAGTGATGCATGCTCAGCTCATTGTACCGCTCCTGTAACTGCTGTAGTTGCTGCTGTGTCGCGACTAGTTGTGTGTTGACGAGATCCATCTGCTGAGTCGGTATGAGCTCTTCTACTAATGAACCCGCTTTCCGCGGTGCGGGCGCTTTCCGTCTGATGTTGTCCAGCGCGTCTTTGTTGTTGGCTTTGAAATCGGGATGTCTGAACTCCCAGGCGCCTGGTCCGTACGGTGATGATCCGCCTTCTTCGTTGTTGTGCCGTACTTTATGGAAGTCGTACTTGTTGAGTTGCCGCACGAACGAGGCGAAATTCGAGTGCCTAGCGGGTAGTCAGTACGAAGCGTTTCGATGGCGCGCTTTCTTATACTAGGCGTACTTGAAGTGCTTAGGCAGGATGTGCTTGGTGAACTTTTCGTTCTGCGACTGCGAGTCAGTATCATATCAAGCCGTCCTACCCACGTACAGGCATACTTCTAACACCACAAAGCTGTCTCCGCCATCTCCCCAGCGCACCACACTCTCATCCTGGGGCGACTCGAGCATCTTGTACAACTTGCGCACAAAGTCGCTCGAGTTATTGTTGCCCGGCCCGTCCATCTTCGAAACTGGGGAGGGCGCCCGACGATAAGGATGCTAGACGGTAAGCTTGCCGGTTCGGCCGTGTATGCAGGCTTGTAGCCGATGTGCTTGTAGCGCTTGACGAATAAGGGATTCCGATGTAACGCCCTCGAGATGGCGGTCGTGGATGAGTACACAAGCCGGTTGAGCTCTGCGCAAAAGCTATGTCATCGAAGCGACATCCGTGATGAAGCCTGGACTGCGAAGTTCTGCCGTGAAGCCTATCCTTCGAAGAATACAGGGCTGAATTAAGGATCTGGCTGTCAAGAAAGCATGCGCCGCGAAGAGAGCCGATGATGTGTCCAGGCCTGTGGTCAATGGGGTGCGCACCGGAGGAGAAAGAGTGGGCAGTTCGGGAAGCCGAGAAATCGGAGCGAGCACCCGCGCGAATGGCACCAGCAAGGTTGTGGAGGCCTGAGAAGGAACGCCTATTGTGTCATTGGGGCAGGGACCACCCCTCAATGTAGTGGTGCTATCGCCGCCTTTACGTCCGGTTTCGGTGCCGATTCGCGCCTGCTGTAGGATGCCGCCAGTTTAGCTGCAATGATGGGTAAAGATGGTTTACACCTCACAAGCCTGTTGAACACCTCCGCTGCGAGACAAGTTGCGGTTCCTGGCCATTCGGCGCGACATCTAGCAAAGCGTCGAAGGCGCCTTAGACGCCACACTCCTGCTTCCGGGCAAGCGTGTCCGAAGATCTGTCTTGTTCTGCCGGGACATATATCGCTGCAGATCGGTAGATATTCTCCCTGTCTTTGTTTGCGCCTAATGAAGCGGTAACTTATAGAGAGAAAACCTTCAAACATGATTTTTCCGTGTGAAGGTCGAGCTTGTTGTCCACAAATATCACCACCAAGATCCACGGAACGAACAGCAGAAGTCACGTTTGTCGTCAGTGTTCCGTTACGCTGGCAAAAATCGAGGTCAGCCACGTGCGTCTGTCTCCATGCCTGCAGTCTCCCGTGGAGCATTACTATTTCTGGTACATGGCATCTTATATCCACATCCACACTCCTCGTACATAGCATCCATATCGGGTAAGTGAATAGGTTGCAAAAGGTGTAGTCATAAGCAAGAATGAGTCGGGCGCCTTGCTACATAGCCCAGTCGTCAGCAACCGCTGTCTTGCCGATCCGTAGATCGCCGTTCAATTTGGTGACAGCCTACTGTACCCTTAACCAACAAAAACGAACATACACCACCACCCAAACCATGTTTGCGACACGGCGTCTCACAGCCACCGCGAGGCTGCATCATGTGCCTAGAGCTTCCATATCGCGACACTTCCACAGCTCTCCACGCCCATTCGTGCAAGTCGGTGATGCCATCCCTGACATCGAGCTGAGGGAAGGCTCACCAGGCAACAAAGTCTCCCTCGCGAAAGAACTCAAAGCGAAGGGCATTATAATCGGTGTTCCAGGTGCCTTCTCGCCAGCGTGCTCCGCTTCGCATCTACCCGTGAGAACCACACACTAAAACTCTGCCCTCCAAGACTTGTTGTCTAACCGGGCATGCTAAAGGGCTACGTCAACTTTCCCGGTCTCAAGGATGCAGGACAGGTCTTCGTATGGTCCAAGTTCACCCACTTGTGAACTGTCTGAACGGAAATATAACGTGGCAGACAGGTCGTCAGCGTCAACGATCCATTCGTGATGAAAGCGTGGGCCGCGACACTCGACGAGGGTTCGAAAAGCGGCATCCGCTTTCTGGCAGATCCGCATGCCGAATTCACCACGGCGCTCGACTTACAGTTCGATGCATCGTCCATCTTTGGTCAGCCACGGTCGAAGAGGTACGCCCTTGTCATCGAGGACGGCAAGGTGAAGGAGGCGCACATTGAGCCCGACAACACGGGCGTCAGTGGTATGAACATCACATGTACCTCGTCCGGTTGATTGTGCTTCCCTGCTGACGCTGTGTCACAGTGTCCACTGCAGAGAGTGTGCTAGGTGGTGCGCACCTGCAATAATCTATCTGCGGGTCTCGCATTCTGCGTAGCGTGCATTGTGTAGCTCTATGGTACATATCGCACGAACAGCAGTGACTGTGCACCAATGCTAGTCTGCAGCGTTTGCACGACGCTGCGTAATTCATATTCGCTGCGAAGCGAGCCCCGTCTAAACGTCGTGACGACCATCCTCGGTCCAAGGTCTATGACAACCCCATAAGCCCGCCCTGCTGAGCGAACTTCATCTGGTATTGCCGCAGGTCTGCCCACTGCCTCAGCTCGGCCTCTTCGTCTTCGGGCTGATCTGGGTCGCTATTGGCGGGACTGACCCGCTCAAGCTTCATTAGGATCTTGAGGAACGCCGCCAGATACTCCTGCGCTTGTAGTGCAAGCTGGCCTTTCCGATGGTCAGGGCTGTCAAGTAGAGTGCTTGCTATGCTGCGAATCTTCATTGTCTAATGGAGTGTTAGTGGACGTCAAAAAGCCACATAGGCGTACGGTAAGACTTACGAAGCTGTCTGCATTGGGCTCCATGTTGACCTGATCAATGCTGCAAAGCACGACAAGGAGGTCCTTGACGATATCTTCCCGTTCCATTCGCATCTCCTGTGCAATGCCGTCGAATTGGCTCGTGGGTGCTTGTGGCAGGATGCCGTCCAGACCAGCAGCGGTAACGCCAGCTCCGGGTGAGCTTGGCACGGAGCCTGGAACCGAGTGCCCACGCGATCTATCATGCGCTTCACACAAGTTGAAGAACTTCTCAACGATGTACGAGCGTGTCGACAAGCTGGATGCGTAGATATTCGCTTTCTGGATCTCGTACTGCATGCGGCGCCGCTGCTCAGGCGTCTGCTCAATGTCCAGTCGCTGTGACGGGCTCATAAGAGAATGCGCAGGGTCACGTTGCATGTTTGGCTGAGCGAAGCTAGGGTACGGGCCCACACCATTCTGATGAGCAAGTGACGCGGCGTTCGGTACCACTTTGAGCTCTGGTGGCAACTCGGCGATAGAGTTCTTACACCGTCGAAGTGATTCGTGGAGAACCTTCTTCTGCCTCTCCCAGTCAACGACAGCGTCAATGCCCCATGCCATCTCCATGGTCGCTAATGAATTGTACGAGCAATACACTCTTACATTCGCATTGAAACCTGCGATGATCGGAACAAGACCGTGCGGCTGCGGCTCGTTGTGTGTTGGGTAAATGCAAAAGTCGTCCACTTCGGCTGGCAGCGGTGGGTATGGCTCGGTAGAAGTCGGTGGTGAGATCACGAGCTCTCCAAATGATGCGCCGAGCTGCTGTATCATCTTGATGGTGACAAACATGGTCCAGAAAACCCGTCGACCCATCTCGAGAGTGATGTTGTCTACGGGCTGCTCATGGGTGCTCTCGTGTGTTTCGCCGTTGAAGCCGAGCGCGCTCGGCAGTGCGCCTAATTGTGTGTATGTCTGTTCCTTCGCTTTATGTAGCCCAAGCGTACGTACAATCGTCAGACACTCGCCGAAGTACAGCCGACCAAGGCGCCACCGGAAGGTGTACACACCAGTCAGTGCGAGGAAGTAGCTAGTGGCCGCATCGTAGACACTTAGGTTGTCGCTCTCCAGATAGCCAGGACCTCTTGCCATCGCACACACCTGCTGACATCGATGAACGAGGCTCATGTGGTTAGGGAACATATTCTCGCGCTTGTGCGCTTTGAGGTGGATGCGCGGCTTCCTTGGAAATGATGAGACCAATGCTCCGATCATAGCCGCAAGCAGCGCAAGGAAGGACTTGTTGTTGAGGTCTTCCCTTCGCTTCCATGCTTCTCTGAAGCTTGGCTCGTGTGGGAATGGACATAGCGGGTGTATGTAGGTGAAGAAGTCATCGATGAGCAGGTCGAGCGTCTCCAGAGGGCATATTGATTCGGCGGAGAGATGGTGGCTAGAAGTCTGAGCTGATAGGGCGGCTAATGCCTGTGCAGCATGAGTCGGTGACGAAGGCGACGACGAGAGATGCGGCGAGTTCCCTGCCTCCTCCAGCCTCCGACGCTTGATTGCTTCGGCATGTCTGTTGGGCGGACCGCGTCTTCGGCTCGGTCTGTTGAAGGTGCAAGGTATGTCGAGAGCTGCGCATGCTCTACAAGGAGGACCCGCCTCATCACACTGTTGACACACTCAGTTGGGGGTCCTGGGAGGAGAAGTGAATAGAGCGTGCACGTACCTTGACCTTGCGGATGCTGCATGAGTCACACGCTTTGCGGAGCCTGTTACTCTTCTCGGCAGCAGAAAGTTCCAGCGGCGTCTGAGGCGTTGCGAGGTTGGCTTGTGACTGAAGGTTGGCTGCAGCTTGATGGTGAATTTGTTGGGCAGCTTGTCGAATTTGCTGCCGTTGCTGATCCTCAAGCGCACTATGTTGGCGAAAGTCCTGAGCGAGGTGCTGGATCTGTGAAGGTGAGGTTTCTTCGGCGTTAGTCGTCTCAACCTTCGGAAACGCGGGCGTGTTCAGGCTGGTATACTGCAGGGTCTCCTGTTGTGAAGGGTCAAGCAGCTGCTGGGCGCCGGCAGTTGCCGGATAGAGTGCATTGTAGTGCGTCTGATCCGGTGGCGGCACTGGTGGATACTGCGACATTGCCAGCATCCAATTCTGGACCTGCCAATAGCTGGCAGGGTCGGTCATTAAGTTAGCGATATCACGAAACTGCGCGCTCAATGCAGCGGCAGTCATCTCGGGTCAAGGACGGGAGGAGCGAACGGTGGAGTGAGCGGGATATGGCGCATATGAGCGCGTGAGGGCATTGAAGTCGGTAAATAGCGTAAGGTACGGCGCAATTGGTACTTACTTGGAGACGGCGATGAGGTGCACTGGGCTCGATCAGACAGCTGCGTATCGGAATCTGTCGGGCGAGCAACAAGTGGAGCAGAGGCGATGAGAAGGCGACTATGGCCCGCCGCCTAGGCCAGATAGGCGGTCGTGTCCTGCGCTTCCAGATGGAATTCAACCGAACGATGTACGGAGACTCGACGACAACAGGTACCCTCGGTTCGGTATGGCGACAGTCTCGGACAGGCGGCCGGGAGGGTCCTCCACGGCGTATGAGGCGCTTCTTCCCACTTCACGCAGCTTTGATAGCGATGCGGCTCGGCGACCGGCGTGTTGTGAACTCTAAATAAGGTGAAGCCAACAAAAAACGTGAACAGATCTGTGTGAATGTACGTGACGAGGGAGCGCCTTGCTCGGGGCGAGCCCTAGGGACGCGCCAAGCGTAGGGTACAAAGCGCTAGAAGCAATGCGCAAGCTTCTATCATTGAACGCCGCACCGTTGCTGGCTGCGATGGCGGACCTCTCCTTTGCAGCAGTTAACCGCGCCTATAAAGCACAACACGTGCAGCATCCCGCCACGGTCGTCCCGAAAGTCAATTTCATGAGAGCCTCTGCGTAGAGCAGCGAACATCTACTCTGTTAAAACACGCAGTCCGATTCGAGTGTTGTCCGTTCCGCAACCCAACCGAAGCGGCTCAAATAGCGGGCAGCTTCCTATTCCGACATGGGTTTGGGAATGACTCGCAACGTTCGACGGACCCATTGAACGTGAACTCTCTCCAACGGGTGGCGCGCCTCACACACAGGCATTGGTGCTAAGACGTCCAACCACGAGACGAGTGAGCACACGATGCGCGGAAGCAACGTCGTCAAACCTAGGTTATATCGAGTCTGTGCCAATGATCGCTTAACTCATAGAATGCCACCTTTTATCCGAAACCTTCTATGGCCTAACCGTCCTCTTCCGTGCACTTTACATGTGTCTCAACGATCCCGCTACCGCTGGATCGCAAGGCCGCCCCGCCGCGCCTCACTGAGACACTAAAGAGGAATGACCGACGAACTCTGGACGAAAGGATCATGCAGAGTCATTTTATGCATGTAAAGCTTGCAACGTCAACATGAACGCATCAAGCGCTTAGCCGAGCAATATGCGCTGTAGGCGGCGAGAATGTGCTTGGGCAACGCAGGCAAGACGTAGTTGCGTGAGCGACCAAAGAGATGCACGAATGACCCGACTTTGCTCGGCTCCTGTTCAACCGAGCACGAAACCTTGAAGCTCCCACAGCTGCTGACGAGCATGAAACCGTCGGACGGTGATGAACAACTGTTTGCCCTACACATGCGTGGCTTCGGTCAACGTCCGAGCGTATGGCTGGCGTTCGGCCTGTTCAACATTACATTTGGGGCTGTTAGTAATGCAGACGCCGAACTTCACAACGGACGAGGAGTCGTTCTAGTTGCTGTACGTTTTGAGGTGCGTTGAGACTGCGAACAGCAGATGCACCAGATGTGGCTGTTAGTACCTCCCGGACAGTGCACGCAACGCAAACGAGAGGTCAAGATTCAAGAGGGGATGGTGAACCTTCCTGAAACTCAAACGAGTCGAGCAGCAAGCGGCAGAATGCTAAGTAGCTCTGCTCATGCTCGGTTACAAGCCACCGACGGCGAGCAGCATCGAACCTGCACTGCGTGATGCGCACACGACTCATTGATCGTCGCGGCCTCTGACTATGGAAAGGCTATTGCGAGCGTATCTGTACCGCATGGGTGTACTGCATGTTGAGCATCGGTAAGTGAGCGAAAGGTGCTAGAATCCGAACACGTTCTTGTCCTCTTCAAATCCCCAATCTAGATTTGAGTCAGCACAGGCGTCCCTTTCGGATACAATCATGTTGGCAGTAGGCACAACACATACTTCTCAGCGCGGGCAGAGCGGCCTTTTGTATCATAGCTGGTGGACCACACAAGAAACAAGCAGTCCCCTCTCCTGGCGGAAACAGGCTTTTCTTGATGATCTCAGCATTGACGTGTCCCTTGAGCCCTTCCCAGCTCTCACTTGGATGGCTCAGAACGTGGGTCACTTTCAGTCGCCCTTGGCTCTCTTCAACGAAGTGATCCAGTTCGCTGCGAAGCAGAATATCGTTCTCAGACTTGTTCGCATCGACCACGCGGACTTCAACATCTTCGCCAGCGCCCAACAGTGCGCGAGCAATGAGAGCATAGCCTGGTGTTAGTCCGCTACCACCAAGCACAAGGTTCATTTTTGTGAACGTCATCTCCTTGTCCTGAATAACAAATTTGCCGTTGCCATTGTACACAATCTCGCCCGTTGGGCCACGAATCTCCACTTCCTCGCCGAGGGGCACGCAGTCGAGGACGTTGGACATAGCGCCGCCGGGCTGTTCGTCGGTCGGAAAGTACGTCTTCACGACGAGCTCGAATGTACCGTGTCCGTCACGCATACCCTCGATCTCTCCGCTGGACACACCATTCGCTTGCGTCCCATCCGTGACGCCACTACTCTTCTTTGGCAGCAGCGGCTTCGTAGGCGTGTACGACCGAATCAACATCTTGTCCTTCATATGGAATCCGAGCTGGATATGCTGACAAGTCCCCAATCCCAGATCTTTCATGCCGTCCGGCAGACCAAAAGTGTAACGTCTCGTATCCTTGCTGATTTCCTTACGGTCAACCAGCTTGACAGGGACCCATCGATGCTTCTGCAGCACCACGTCGCCGCTCTTTTGCGAAGACTGCGCCTTCTCCTTCGCCGCCGCCTCGGCGTTAGCTTTGATGAAGTTCGCCGCCTTCTCCGTCACCACGCCGAGGATGCACTCCTTCAATTTCTGATAAGCGAAGCCGTCATGGATGCTGGCAAACTCGTCGCTGGTCTCTTGATGCACTTTACCGGCATGTCCGACGATTGCTGCCTTTCCACCAGGATGCCATGCCAGTACAGACGTGGCGTCGTACACTTTACCGTCTACAACGATCCAGCAATCATCCTCACGATCGTGCTTTTCGATCTCTTGGCGCGTGAATTGCTTGCTAGGTGATCCAGCGTCCTGTTTGGCGCTCTGAATCTGGTTCTCAACACTCGGCTGCATCCATCCTCCGTCTCCCGTTCCTGGCTCACATGGATGGCGGAAGCGTATCTGAGCCTCTCCGTCCCCGCCGTCGCCTTGCGTGATCGTCGGCTTGACGACGTACCAACAGTTATTCATCATGCCCATCGTGTTCCATGCTGGCTCTCGAGGCTGCGTGTTCTTGAACACATTCCATGCTCGCACGGAGATACTCCTGGCTTGCAGTAAGTGCACCATACTGACCTCCACATGCCAGTGCAGCCACGTCCAGAACTTGTTCCCGTGTCTGATAGGGTACTCTGGGAACTGGCGGATGCAGTACAGCCAAGTCTGACCGTTGTCGAGGCTGACCTCCACCCTCTGCACTTCATGACCGCCACCGTCGTAGGCGTAGCCTTCTATCTTGTACGTCGCACCTTTCTTCGCGTGCGTCAGAGGGATAGCCTCTCCTTGTGCTGGCTTGACAATCACTGAATTCAGGTTCTGCTCATTACATGCCGTATTGGGATGATTGAACATTGTCGTGGCGAACTCGCCATCCTTCTCCGTGATGAAGCTCGGCAAGACTCTGTTGTCCCAGATATGGTAGTGACTGCTGTTCTCTTCGTCGCTCACCCACACCTTTTTCAACCATTTCACGCATCGTCCGCCTACGTAACCCGGAATTATGACTCGAACGGGATAGCCATGGTCTGGAGGTAGAGGTAAATCATTCATGTATTGCGCCAACACGACATCATTCGTTGGGTCCATCGCGTAAGCCAGCGGTATGCAAGTTTCGTACTTGCCTTCGCTTGGGTCATCGGCGCCTTGGAAATTCACCCATCGCTGTTTACTGTCTCCACTGTAGTTCGGCTCCTGCACGCCAGCGGCAAGCAAGACATCACGGAGTAGCGGACCCTTCCAGTATACACACCCCGTCGCTCCGGCACCCCAATTGAACCCTTTAGACTTGCGGATCATGTTGAGCTCCTTTCGTCTATTACCGTCACATGCCAGGGTTACGGGGATGTTGATAGCTTCGAACTTATCCTTTAGATCGTCCATGCTGAGCACCAACCTCCCATTCTCAACATCAAGTTCGTGCATCTCCCACAGAATCCTCGGTACAGCGCCATGGTTTCGAACGTAGTGCAGCTCATTCGGCGTGATAAGTCCGGCACTGTACAGCATGCTAAGCTCCGCTTCAGCATTGAGGGGGTGCTTACCAGTAAGTCGAATTAGGTGCTCGGAACGCGGGAGCCAGTTGTCTGGTGAGAATTGGTCCTGTTCGTCGATCGATATCGTCGTTCGGTTGTAAGTCTGTGGGCTTTGACGCTTGCCGTCGTTGAGCTGAAGCGAGTTTCTGTACTCCTTCTCGTGCTGTAATACGCGTAGCAGAGCAATCTCTTGAGGTGTATAGCGCTCGAGCAGCTGGTCATACTCGCTTTTCGTCTTCGCATCGCCATCGCTTTGTTCGTCGTCTGCGGCGTAGGCATCATGGTGCTTGTTTTCGCCCTGGCTGCGCTTCCAGTCGTGCTCTTCGTGGGTATGCTCTGCCTCCTTCTCCCCTTGAACTGTTTTACCTTGATTCTTGTCGGCGATCTCCACACCATCTGCTGTGTGGCTGTCTTCTGCTTTCTTCGCTTGCTCTGCCTTTTGGCGCTTCTTGATGTTCGCAGGCCATTCCTCCGTATTCTTCACCCAATCTTCCGAGGTCTCGAGCACAAAGCGCCAACCTAGACTTCTGTTTTGAGGGTACCGTAAATGGAAGTCTTTCTCATTGTTGATAATATCTCGGAAATTGATCAGCTCTCCAGACTTCGCTCGGCTCTTGAGCTTCTCTAAGTCCCTCCGAGCTTCTTCATCAAACTCGGCTTCCGTTTCGTGAACGTCGGTGCCGGACAAGCTAGTCAAATCTGGAACCTCGCCTTCGTCCTCGTCATGTGTCAGGCCTGGTCTGCGGCTTTGGCGGTTCCGGAAGCCGATGCGGTGTTCCGAAGTGTTCTGCCAGTCTGGCTCATCCTTGATGTCTTGGGCGGAAGAGCCGGGATGGTTCTGCACATTCACACGCCAGGGGATGTTCGGAGGCATTGCGGGCTTGTACAGGTAAATGTATGTTGAAGTATGTGGGCGAACACGTTTTACAACGGGAGGATAGTGTAGCGAAGGAGAAACGTTATACTTAGGACTTACCTCTGGTCCTCGAGATCACGCGTGCTGCTATATGTACACCTCAAGGGCGGTGACGTCCATTTGTCAAGCTCTGCAAGGTGCCAACCTAATTCTGTAGCCCGTGGAGGCGATACAGAACAGCCGCAAGCCTGCGAATGGACAGAGCAGCCTCTCAGGTGCATCGTCCGTGGTCAAGACAGTACCGTTCAATGTTCCCAGCCGCTTGAGTCAGATGTTCGGTTCGATGCACCCAGCAGTCACCCCAAGTCTTGTTCGATCAATATCGACCCCGGAGAAGCGTGGAGATGGAAGCGGGAGAAGAGAGCGGGGGCCACTGTCTTGAACGTTAACGTCAGATGACTGGGACTTCACCAGGAAGAGCGGCTTGTGTAACCACTGTGCCAACCCTTCCTACACCCTATAGATTGGCGTAGTATCTATAACAACGCAGCAGAGCTAAGTCGTTCGCATACTTCCGAGCAGTGTACTGCCTTTTACTGCAGAACTAGATTGATGGGCATGTCAATCAAGTTCCATTACGATGTAGGCCAATGAGGCTCGGCGCAAGGCTGCAAGCGAAAGCGTCGACGAGGCTGAGCTACAGCACCTTTCGTTGCGTTTTGACAAGGTGATAGCTCGTGCTCTATATGATAATGCCAGTCAGTTGTACCATTGTCAGTGGCTGTGAAGTTGTCTTGGTTATGCCAACAGCCTCTATAAAATAGTCTACCTGTCGAACAGGCAGAGGGGGAAGGCATGCGTCTGCTAACAGTCGCAGATGGCGACGACTTCAGTCTCACGAAGCCACTCGAGCATCCACCGCCGTATGCTATCCTCTCTCACACCTGGGGCCCTGACGAAGACGAGATCACGTTCGATGACTTCTCCACCGGGCAATACAAGAGCAAGGCTGGTTTCGCGAAATTTCAGTTCTGCGCCCAGCAAGCCAGAAAGGATGGGATTGATCACTTCTGGATTGATACGTGCTGCATCAAAAAGTCCGACGCTTCGGAACTGTCCGAGTCTATCACATCTATGTTTCGGTGGTATCGCAACGCGAAGAAATGCTACGTATACTTAGCTGATGTACCGGACCTCAAACGCCGTCACGATGGATCAAAGTCGCGAACAGAAGAAGCAGCCTTTGGAAACAGCAGATGGTTCACCCGTGGCTGGACGTTGCAAGAGCTGATAGCGCCTCGGCACGTCGAGTTCTACACCCGTGACTGGAAGCCTCTTGGCACGAAGCAGGCATTGGCAGTCAAGATTCACGAAAGGACCGGGATCCCGTCGTCTGCCATGCTCGGACAGCAAGAGCTATCAGAGTTCGGAATCCAGGAACGGATATCGTGGGCGCGAGAACGTCGAACACGGCGCCCTGAGGACAAGTGCTACTGTCTGTTGGGCATTCTGGGTGTATCAATGCCGAGCAATTATGGTGAAGGCGAGGATGCACTTCAGCGGCTCACAGATGCCCTTTTGCGCAAGTACGCAAGCCAGGACGTCTGTGGTCTGGACTCTTTCTATCACGCCACGTCTACGAGTGAGCAGGGCACGGGCGCAAAGATAACGTCCCAGGAAAACCTCTCTGCGCACGACCGTCGACAGATGATGTGTGAATATTTGAAGTTTGACCAGATGGATGCTCGGCGCTCCACAATCAAAAGGGAACATGCATCTACATGCGCCTGGCTCTTGAAGCACCACATCTACACCCAATGGGAAGACACTGAGAGTCTGCAATGTGATCACGGACTTTTGTGGATCAAGGGAAAGCCAGGGTCCGGGAAGTCAACTCTGATGAAGTTCGCTCATGCGAAAGCGGCCAGAGCGCCGCCGAACAGCAAGATCGTCATCTCGTTCTTCTTCAATGCTCGAGGTGACGAACTGGAGAAGTCAACAAACGGGATGTATCGCGCATTGCTCTCACAGCTGCTTGACAAAGCACCAGATTTGCAACCGCTCCTCGACGAGTACACCTTGGTCAATATTACTTCCGCTAATGCCATCGATTGGACAGAAGAGCAACTCTGCGATCTCATGCGTGAAGTGATCAGCGGTCTCGAAGGTCGTCAGTGCATGTGCTTCATTGACGCACTCGACGAATGTGACGAGCACCAGGTCCGAAATATGGTTGAGTTCTTCGAAGAGCTCGGACAATCAGCTCTAGAGAACCATGTCAAGCTGCGCATATGTTTTGCTAGTCGTCACTATCCAACGATTGACACAGCAGATTGCCTCAAGTTAATAGTCGAGAACGAGCAGGGCCATGACGATGACTTGACGAAGTACATTCACAAACGTCTCCGAGCTGGGACGTCAAAGCACCTCGACAGCGTAAGAGCACGGTTGAAGCAGAAAGCAAACGGGGTGTTCATGTGGGTGGTCCTGGTTGTTGACATCCTGAACAAGGAGTTTGAGCGTGGTTACCTCCCCGCCGTGGAAAAACGACTAAAGGAGATACCGGCAGGGTTGAGCGACTTGTTTCGAGATATGTTACAACGGGACAATAAACATCTGGACGAGTTCCGCTTATGCCTTTCTTGGATTCTGTTCGCACGCAGACCTCTCGGCAAAGAAGAGTTTTATTTCGCTATGGTCGCTGGCCTCGATCCAGACAAGCTTGCGACACTGACACCTGACGACCTCGAGAGCGAGTTGATGGAGAAATACGTGCTCAGTTCCTCGAAGGGACTTGCTGAGCTCACCAAGTCTAAGAAGCCAACTGTGCAATTTATTCACGAATCTGTTCGTGACTTCCTGGTGAAGGATACTGGGCTTCGCGACATCTGGTCAGGAAGTCTCCATGATCTGAGTGACTTGGAAAGCTTGTGTCAGGACCGCTTAAAGCGTTGCTGTGTGACTTACATTGACACTGCTGTGACTAGTTCGTGGTACCACACACTGGAGTCGGATGAATTACCGAACGCGAAATCGAAAGAGGCGAAGAGTTTACGGCAAGCCGTGAGCGCACGGTTCCCATTCCTGGAATATGCAAGTCAGAGTGTGTTCTATCATGCAGAAGAAGCTGCGAACAACGTCCAGCAGATCGACTTCCTAAACAACTTCACCCTCAAAACGTGGATCAATGCATACGACGTCTTCGAGATCCATAGTATCCGCAGGTACACACCTGGTGCAAGCATACAATACGTGCTCGCGGACCAAAACTGTCCACGACTGCTTCGATGTTGCGCTCGCCAGGACGATATCTGGAGCGATTCGAATGAGCGATACGGGTCGCCAATGATCGCTGCCTTGTTCAACAGTCATATTGATTGTGCTCGGGCGCTTTTGCAGGACTGCGAACGATCTCTACTTCTGCAAGCTGTCTCGGAACTGAGTGCTCACCGGAATTTCGCCTTGCGGAGAAAGAAGACGTTGTACATATGGGCTGCCTCACAAGGGCACGAGGCTCTTGCCCGATTGCTCGTTATCGCTGGGAAGCTTGGAGGTCAAGCCGACCTCCTCAGAGACGGCTTGAACGCTGCATCGATCGAAGGTAGGACTAGGGTCGTGCAGATGTTGCTCGATTGCGGCGCCGATGTCAACATGCAGGGAATCGGTTACGGCAACGCACTACAGGCAGCAGCACGCTCAGGATCCGTAGAGACTGTAAGGCTATTGCTCGATAGGGGCGCCGATATCAATGCACAGGGAGGGTCCTACAGCAACGTACTACAGCACGCAGCATGGTCAGGCTCCGTAGAGACTGTAAGGCTATTACTCGATAGGGGCGCCGATATCAATGCACAGGGAGGGTCCTACGACAACGTACTACAGCAGGCAGTATATGCAGCCACCGCAGACATGGTAAGGCTGTTACTCGATAGATGCGCCGATATTAATGCACAGGGTGCACTGGAAACTGCATGCATTAGGGGTCTTACAGAGATCGTGCAACTTCTGCTCGATAACGGCGCCGATGTTAATGCGCAGGGAGGTTCCTTCGGTGACGCACTACGGGCAGCAGTATTGTCAGGCTCCGTAGAGACTGTAAGGCTATTACTCGATAGGGGCGCCGATATCAATGCACAGGGAGGGTCCTACGGCAACGTACTACAGCAGGCAGCATATGCAGCCACCGCAGAGATAGTAAGGCTGTTACTCGATAGAGGCGCCGATGTTAATGCACAGGGTGCACTGGAAACTGCATGCAGTATGGGTCGTACAGAGACTGTGCAACTTCTGCTCGATAACGGCGCCGATGTTGATCTGGAAGGTGCTATCCGAACCGCAGCCGAGGACTATCACCCGGCCATCGTGGAGATGCTGCACGCCAAGGTAGAGCAGCTGCGTCAGAAGCATGCATGAGCAAGGCAAAGCCGATGTCTGGGATCAGGCCTTGCGGCATCTACCAGACGCTTGCGTTGCGAGACTGTCCCCTTCAGGAAGCGGCGGGTGCTGTCACGCCGCATCTTCTGCGTCTTGTGACCTACATGTCTCACTTCGGTGCCAACTAGCAGTAAGAGGCAAGTCAGTGACAGCGTCCGAGAGTACCTTATAATCTACTTACAGATGCTTGTTTTTTTTAAACGTGCTGCATCGCAAATCCTCGAGCCAGGGCGCGAGATGTGGGACCGCTTCGCTAGGATTCGATGAGCAGCAGCCTGCCAGTATGTCCAGTCTCTCTCGATGTCTCCGACGATGATGAGTTGCGAAATATTCACTTCTGCTCTTGCACGTCCACACCCCAATCGCGAGTCCAGGGGTTATTGACTCGAAGCGTCGCCACCCTGGCCAACTGCACAAGTAATGTAAGACCCTCTAACCATCTGACTTTGCTGTGTTGCGCAGTATTCGACTAGAAAACTAAGATCGCCAGTAGGTGTTTTGGGCTTTGGAGCGTGGAGGAGAGCACCCATCTACGAACGTCTCAGCGACACGATGTACATGCGGCCATTATTTTTGACACAAACTCTCACGCACTCTTCACTTTGCCACTCATTGTATCATTGTAGCCCATTCACTTCAAATGTAGCATTGTATATAGCACATAATACAAACCACCAAGTCTACTAGACGACTTCCTAACAATGCTCGCTGACATCGGGGAAGCAATCCCAAGAGGAAGTCGTCTCCTCGACCTTCCTCCGGAGCTGCGCGAGCAGATCTGGCACTTCGCGGTGACGGAGTGGGCGCCTGTGCCTCCCGCCGGGGACCGTGTTGACGACGAGGACGATGTTGTTCGGGACACCTACACAAGCCTTCCGCGGTTGTTGCAAAAGGCTCCGATCCGGATGGATCGTTTCAATCGCCCTTCGCCCCCTCCAATCACGCGAGTGTGTAGGCAGACACGGCAGGAAACGCTACACCTTTACTATAGCGAGAACGTCTTCGAGTGCTGGTCCGTCAATGGTCCAGTCCGTACGGACGACATAGAGAGCATGCTAACGTTACTACTCTAGGGTAAGTCGGGCAGCACAGCCTTGGTGGTCTACAGCTTCTGCTCTCATCATCGTAGACATGCTGCACTCGAGCATTACTAGGCTGCAGCATCCGCTACCACTGTATAAGACGCTCATACTGATATATATATCAATAGCGACCTCTTTTTTGGGTGCTGGACTGGAGCGAGAGTACCTTCATCGACTGGCTCATCTGCCTGGGATCGCGGACGCACTGGCTCACGGACATCGTGCTGCTCTACAAGCATGAAGATGAGCTCGAACACGACATCACCGAGGCTCTCACCGAGCTAGACCTCGATTTGCGAGAAGATGTGATCAGCAGCCGCCGCGAGCTGAGCGAGTATGAACTGTCGTATGAAGCACTCGGACTGCCGCGCCACTTTGGGAAGAAGCGTAGGAGTGACAGATGGGTGCTTGGAGGCATGTGAAACATCGCAAGTATAGAGACAAACAAGGACGAGTTCACTTCTATTCTAATGTCCGCGTCTTAGCTGGTTCTAGCGCTCTGCCTTCGTGCTGATACTTCCGGAATCTTCGACGACCTCGCCACGTCCTGAGTGCCAGCTCGATGATGTTCATGTTGACCATCGCCGCATGTGTATAAAGCAAGAATCGCCAGAACCTTGCATCAACACGCCGCTGAACGTATGGCACGCATCTGTTGCTTAACTGCACGCCGGGAAGCTTTGCTATTGCTGTGTATTTAAACCATTCAGACGATGTGGTGTGGGCTGTTGGCTACTGTAGCACTGTGTTTGAGTTGAGTCAAATGACTCGATCGGGTGCTATGCATTCGAACACAGTGTACGATTCAAGGTACAATATATACAGCCGAACCATGCGATCGCTCGCAAGCTGCTTCCACCCCTACATACGCCCTTACAACCGAAAATTGGAACTTAGGCCTTCGCGCTATACATGGCTCTTACTTTAGAAGCCCTTGAACGGATCCGTGCCATTCTCGTCAAAGACAAACCCTGCCCTGCGCTTGTCCACGGTAGACGTGCTAAGATTGCTGTCCACGCGCCGTCGCCTTGGACCTTGAGTCGCGACCACGGGCGGAGGGGCAGGGACGTAAAGAACGCCATTGCGCATATTCGGGTCGACGAAAGCATCCATCCGCACGGTACCGAAGGCCTCAAAAAAGTTGGCTTGCACAGGGCTGCCGACTGAGCCTTGACGGCTATTGCTCTTCGATGAACTACTGCGCACGTATGAGCCAGTCGTCGACGATGATGGATGCAGTCGCCGGGACGCAGTGGACGAGGCGATCGCGCTCGAAGACACGCTGCGGAGGTTGTTAAGAGGTGCCGGTAGCCTTGGGCTAGTGTTACTGCGCTTCCGCTGATGCCTGGTTGTGCTGACATAGAGACGAGGAACCGCAGGGAACTCCGCACTGTCTGCGTTGTCTGTGGGCTCCTCCGACTTTGCGAGAGCACTTTCCGCGGGTTGGGAAACGCTCTGATGCAAGCTTGGACGTCTGCCTTTTGCCAGACGGACGGAATCTCGGATGGTTGCTCTACCAAAGGATGGTGATTGTGATCGGTTGGCGGCATTGGACGGTGGGTAGTTTACTGCTGGAGGCGGAGGCGCTAACTCCTGAGACGGTGGGAACGGCGCTGGTAGCCTTCCGGACTGAGCTAAGAAAGAAAGTGCAGTCATCCAGAGGATGTGCCGTTCTAGAGAGACAGTCGTGAACTTGAGCGCTCTCTGCGGCGTGAGGACAAGGATCGATCGGCTGTAAGCGCTGTCGAGCTCAGCGTTTTTGGGCAAGGCTGCGTTGTCCGGTACGTCCAGTACGGATTGAATGGTCACTGTACAACCGGTTAGTGACGTCTTGGGCACACTCGTGGTACTGTGCTTACATTTGCGCCCCTTCTTGCCGAGCAAGGCTGGGCCAGACGTAGGCTGCTTGTTATCCCACATGATGGCACGCTCGTACGGAGACAGCCACACCCAGCGCTTGTGTCGTGTGCCGTGGTTGGTATTTGCGCCTTGTCCGCCAACGTCGTTAAGCGCTTCATCGCTGACTCCGAAGGATTTTCGTTTGCGGATGTACTTGAACATCCATTCGCCGACCATTGTCGCCGCGATGGCGTCCACCAGCTGCGTCTCTTCTGAGGAACCAACATGCGTGCTGGGCGCCACCGTGCTTACCGCACCTGTAAGATCAACCGAGCCCTTCAACATCTCGAAGCTTGACTTGTCCTGTTGCAGGAGTGGAATAGGCAGTGCCGGGATTGGAAACTGGGTGTGCGCGGGCGTGTCGAACGCCATTGATTGCACGGGAGTAAGATCCGGCGAGCGTCTGCGCCTTCGCACGCCCTTCTGGGGTGACGTCCTCCCACCGCGAGCACTCGGTCTGATGACCGCCGCTGACTGTACCTTGCGCAGACTGTTCTGTCGAGCGTGCGATGGTCGTACACCGCGCTGCACCCCACGAGCTGATACTTCTCCGTTTGGTGTCGGACTCTGCGAACCGTCACTTGCCGCTTTCGCTGCCGGAGCTCTCGAACTCGTCCGCATCGGGATTTGTTGAGGTGGCAGAGCCGACTGTGAGCTAATGTTGCTTGATGCCATACTGCCAAAGCTGGGGCTACGAGATCGGAAATCCTTGTAGGCATTAAGCTTCGCCGGAGGTTTCGACTGTGTGCGTTGAGAGTTGGCCCTGCTGCTAGCAATGGACGGAGCTGGAGCCGCGCCATAAGAATCAGCGGTGTCCGGTCTGCGATCTGGGGAAATCTCTTTGTCCTCGGGAACGACCTTGGGTGGCTGCGAGAGACCGAAACGGCCCTGAGGTGCTCGACTGATGGCGGGGACGGATCCTGATAAGTCTTTTGATTCGACATCACTAGGGAGCTCCTCAAGATCGCTCGCGTCCGTGTCCATGTCCGCCAGCTGGCTGCTGCTCTGCAATGGGCGCGTGACACCATACTGCGATGAGCGATTTAGTGGTCCTTCGCTAGTCTCAGCATGACGGTTGTGGGCAGGCGCCAGAACCGGTCTGCCTAAAGGAATTGCTCGTAACGGCAGGTTACGCGCATCCTTCGCATTGTAATTGCGGGGTGTCTCAGGAATTGACTCGGTAGGAGATTGAGGAGGTCGTGCGGGCGGTGAAGGTATCGAGGGTGCGAACGGACCATCAGTGAAGATCGCAGCAGCACCGCCCGTGGAGGTTCGCGTGGTTTGGAAGGCCTCCAACAACTTCGGAGACGGTAGCAAGCTGTTGACACGAGACGGATGCAAGTGAGATGGCAGTCGACGCAGTCTTGTATCGACGCGGATCTCAGCCGTTTGTACAGAAGCATCCTTGCAAGGCCAGATCCGATTTGCTTGCGTGGAAGCGTTTTTGGTTCCTGGTGGCAAAACGTATCCTCTCGGTGACGAAGGCCTGGATGTAGGCGGATGGATTGCGATGGAAGGAACAAATGGTGGCACGGTGAGGCTGTCGCGCTGTGTTGCGAAGCGCCTCCTTTGTTCCATTTCCGGAAGGTCTGTCTGCGTCGAAGCTGCTTTGTACGTATGGGCAGTGACAGCCTTGCCACTGTCTGATGGCCACAAGGTGCCGTCCACAATCGGTGTTTCCGGAGGACTGACAGGTGTCACTATCGCAGGACTTGCGAGCGCTGTTGTCGCGCCAGTGACCTCGTCATGCGTGTGAGCTTTGGTGTTTGTCATTGACGATACACTTTGAGACTCTTCAGTGTAATCGCCATTGATAGCCTTGCGGTCCGGCGAGGGCGGCGGGGAAGGTTGGTAGCCGGTATCCACGTACAAAACACGCGGAAGCAGCGCCGGCGACTCTTGCACGTGCTGCGCGAGCGCATCTTCCTGCGGCGCGCGAGGTGCTGTGTCCATGAAGATCGCAGTGTCGACAGACTTCCGCGGCAAGTCGGTGAAGCTGAACCTGGCATTCCTTGTGTGGCTGGGCGAGTCCGGCATATCTGGTCCTCTCTCCAATACACGCTTCGCTTTGCGTTGATACTCACCAGCCCGAAGACTTGCTCGCGAGTCCACAGAACGACGCTTGGAGTGCGGATACTCTCTCTCATCATCCGCATGTTCTACATCTTCGACTTCATCCTCGTCCTCCTCCTCAATGCCAAGTTCGTCCGCAAGACTGTAGCCGTTGGGCTTCGCGTGTGGTTCTGGAACACCTGTAGAATCTCTCGTTGAACCAGAGTCCCGGTTGTTCCTGGCGTCGAAGCTGATGCTACTCATGTTGCGCCGGTGCTTGATTAGAGTCGCTGACTGGATGCTGTTCGTGTCGCTTTCGTTACCAAGTCCGCTGTCTTTGAAAGTGCTCTCTTCGACACCCTCCCCTAAATGCGACTCAGACAGCAACTGCTGGGTTGTCATCTCATCCACCACCGTGCGGAGCCTATTCTCGGTGACATGGATTCTCCGCTCTAACTGGCGGCGCTCGTTCTCCCAGTCTTCCTTCTCAGTGTCCCAAATGCTCTGCGTTCGCTCTGCATTCTCGTCATGGTATCGTGCTCTCTTGGTTGCAACGTCGAGCTTACTCCTCAACTCTTCAGCATTTCGTCTCGCTGCGTCCCGCTCCTTTACCAGGTCCTCCACAGCATCATAGGTGCCCTTCTCAATCTGCTGAATCTCTTGCTTCGCTTTCCTGACATCCTTCTGATGTTGCGATAATTGCTCGCCAAGTGCTTCGTTCTCTAGCCTCGAGGTCGACAGTGACGTTTCAAGGTTCTCCACAAGATGATTCTTAGAGTCCAGCTCACGTCGAAGGCTAAGGATCTCTGACACCAGCGAGGCGTGTAGAGTCGGCGTGAGCCGTCGCGGATCCAGCGCTGGGTACCTGCCATCTCGCGTCTTCTCCGCATAGTCCGCCGCATCAGAAGGAAGCGGTGGGGGACTCGAGCTCTGCTCTCTGCTTGATCCGGCTGTAGCTCGACTCGAGCGCTTCGAGCGTATGTAGGAAGGGAGCGTTTCAAAGGGCGTTTCGTATGGCGTGCCCTGCTGGCTTGGGAGCGAACTGCTCCCGACAAACGAGGAATACTCGCTGAAGTAGTCGGTCATGTCGGTCAATCCGAAGGTGGTGATGCTCTAGAAGACATGTAGTGTAGGATATTTGATAATCATGCGTCCCTATGAAGACTACATTGGCTCGAGGTGAAGACTAGACTGCAATAGTCAGTATGCGGTTGTGCGACTGTGTTGACACCACGACCTGTCGCGGACCTACTGCCAATTGCGAGCCAGAATCATATCTGCGTTCCGAGACACAGCTTCACTTGTGTCGCAAGCTGAAGTCGCGCGACATGAAGTCGTACTCCTTGGCGGGCCAAAGGATGGTCTAAGTTCGATTGTCAAGTCTGATGTGGAAGCGTGTTGTTAGCGATAACGTCTTCTGACAAAAAGTGATGATCATGTCCGCTTGCTGCATGGCGGAACCCACCTCGTTGCTCCGTAGCGTAGAGACCGCGTGAACGGTTCGGCTTCTAGCGTGGCTATCCGATACTCCAGGATTCAACCGCGCTGCAAAGTCTGTCCCAAACTTTCAACGGGCAGCTTTGGAACACCACTAGAAGAGTACTGATGCAAGACTGCTGCCACCGTCTGAGACAAAGCGACGATAGCTGAGCTCGAGACGAAAAAAGACAGCTCTGGGAGCGATCATGCGATGAGGGACGTGTGCCTGGAGAAGGAACGTGCATTCAGGCACATTGACCTGCTCGTGCAGAACCCCACGAACTAATCTTCCGCTGGGACGATTGACCAGTCCCCTTAATTCTGCTGTAATTGAGCGATTAATCGATTGGTTACCGCAATCGTACCAACAATCAAGCTGCAGGTTGGGGCCTGCACGAATCGATAGTGTGTGAAACGAGGCGTCCGCATGCATTCGTGATGCGTGACGGCCTGATAGCGTTTGATGAGAGAACTCTTTCGAGCACTTGAAACCGTCCGCCAAATGCATTTTTACGCCGAGTACCTTCGGTACCGTCAGGGGCAAAGCAGCCTGTTCCTGGCAGAGGGTGGAGTCGGGTACGGAACGTGCAGCCGCCCGCGGTGCTAGCTCATGGTGCTCACGACGATGCCGAACTTTCGGGTCCCCAGCTGAAGCGGGCACGGCGGGAAGTAGAGCTAGAACATCCGTAAGCGAAAAGAAAGCAGCTCGGTAGCTTCCCAATATCGCCTCGCTCAAGGTGCTGCCTGTCAAGAAGGGTGCCATCAAGCTGAACCGTCTCGTGCGTGCGAACGAAGCAGATCGCACAGCATTCCCATGATTACGCCTCTGTGAGGATATATTGCGGCGTATCTCCCCGCGTTTCGTGGCGTACACTCACGCCGCCAACACGCATGTGCCAGCCGCCATGGCTCTAGTAATCGCCTCAATGGCCCAAGCGGCGCCATCGTATGCGGTCCCACGGTCCAGACGATGTGCCGGCAGCAGTTGCGCTGCGGCACGGTTTCTGGCAGACGATCGCAAGCCGAAGTTCAATCATCTCGGCATTGCCAGTCTAGATGCACCCGTCACGGCTTTATCGTGAACTGTGCCTTTGCTGCACTCCGAATTCGGATGATGCGGACAAAAGTACCGCTATCTTGGTGGTTATTGCTGCACGACTGGGAAGCTTTTCGCAGAGCAGGGTTTCGTGAGACGCGCGGTTCAACATAGACGCGCAAAAACGCCCACCGGGCAGAAATAGTTCGTACCTCAGGCAGCCAGTTCATGCCACTTCACGGCACATCGCTTGAGGAACGGCAAGGGTGCATTGCACTAAATAGGCATACTCGAGCATAACCCTGGACAACATAATCTGATCGGATGTTCACAACTGGATTGCTGTATGAGTGGTAGCATTAAAGGATGCAGAATGGAAACCATGAGACCGTCTCCGTCGAGCCGCCGCCAAGCAGGCAGAAAACGGCGGATGAAGTTTGGGATGAGATGAAAAAAATGCCTCTTTTCATGACTTCACTGGATGACGCGGACGAAGACAACGAGCAACTTCAGGCCCTTCGTGCTCTTGCATATGAAGGTACCAAGGCCGAAGTAGCGGATAACTTCCGCACCCAAGGTAACGAGTGTGTCAAGACGAAACAGTGGCGTGACGCCCGAGATTTCTATTCGAAGGCTATTCAGGCACTGAAAGCACCTGAGCCTGGAAATGTACCTGCGGATGTGCAGGTTGTGGAGATTGATGAAGAGAGTGAGCGCAAGAAAGAACGTGAGATCGAAGAGGCTTGTTACAGCAACCGTAGCTTGTGCGAGCTGAATCTTTCTAATTATGGCTCTTGTCAGAGAGACTGCGCCGCGGCTTTGCGGCTCAACCCAAGGAATGTCAAGGCTTGGTATCGCGCAGCCTCTGCTTGTCTCGCCCTCGATAAGATGCCTGAAGCGGAAGATGCGTGCTCCAGAGGTCTTGCAGTCGAGCCTTCTAATTGTGCTTTGCAAAGCTTGCTAGCTAAGATCAACAAGCGTAGAGACCACCTTGCGGAGCTCGAGCAAACGCGACGAGAGCGCGATGAGAGGAGTGCTCGAGACAAGGCCACGCTGCAACGTGCGCTCAAGCAACGCAACATCCTCGTCCGGGATACCAAGCAAGCGCCAGACATGGAGGATGCCGTCATGGGCTTGCGCGACCGGGCAGATGCGAATAGCTCTCTTAGCTTTCCAACCGTTCTGTTGTATCCTATGCAGGCACAAAGTGACTTCATCAAAGCGTTTCAAGAAGATGAGAGTCTTGCGCAGCACTTGAAGTACATCTTACCTCCACCGTGGGATGAGGGGCACGAATATACTTCGCAGAGCGTAGATTGTTATATGGAAACGGCCAGTGGCGGCTTGATCAAGGCTGGAAAGAATTTGAGTCTGCTGAAGCTGTTGGAAGGCGGTAAGGTTGAAGTGACCGATGGCTTGGTCAAGGTCAACGTTGTACCTCGCAGTAAAGCCTCGCAGTGGATAGATGATGTTAAGAAGCGGCGTGGCAAGACCTGAAGCTGCTGTCTCGTTACAAAATCCGCTGCATCATGCGCGCCTGTCTTGCGAAGACAGCTTGGTCAGCCGATATTAATGATGCGGCGGCCAGGCCCGTCCTGCATATGATGCCGCTATTTGCGGCACTGTGCGAGACTGGAGATGTCCGATAGTGTACGGCCACTGGTTGCTGACTGTCGGACAATGTCCCGAGCAGAGAGGTGGGACAACCCTAAGACGATAGAGAAGCTGTGGACAGCCTACGCAGTAGATCCGAGTATTGTGTCCAGGATGGTCGGTTAAATGGGTGCATGCGTTAACGGCGCATGGTCAGGCTAGACTCTTCCTTGTCGGTCGGATACTTGATGCCATTCTGCAGCCTCAGGTCCGTGAGCACTCGCACGACGATCTTGCTGATTTGCTCCAGCTCAGCAGCTGCCTTCGAGTCTCTCTCATTGATGATTCGAGCGAACTCCACGGCCTCCTCCTCCATATTCACGTTCGGCTTCTCTACCGTCTTATACGAGCCTGCCAGCTCCTCAGTCTCCTTCGTTTTCGGACTCCAATGCTTCAAGGACGAGATATCCGTGGTGCCGTTGATGGTAAGGGTACCCTTCTCGCCATACACCTCGCATGGTGCAGTGCTGGTGTAGCACTTCGCATTGTTGATTTGAACGCCGAAATTGTTGTACCGGAGAATGATCATGCCGCCTCCATCTACCCCTGTCTGACAGATAAATGGGACGTACGTCTGTGTCTTCGGAGCTCCAAATAGGGCGATCGCGAAGGTGACGGGGTAAATACCAATGTCCACCAAACTCCCGCCAGCGAAGTCGAGTGAGAAAATGTTTGGTACCTCACCATTGAGTACGTTGTTGTATCGCGAAGAGTACGAAGCAAAGGTGAAGCTTGCCCCATAGATAGGTCCAAGACGCTTTTCGTCGTTCACGATCTTCTGCAACAGCTTATAGTTCGCTTCCTGAATATGCCTGAACGCCTCGATCAGGAAGACCCCCTCTCCCTCCGCAATTTTGAACAAGTCATCCAGCTCGTCTGGTGTCGATGTGGCAGGCTTTTCAATGATGACGTGCTTCTTCGCTTTCAACGCTTGCTTCGCCTGCTCGTAATGTAGACTGTTCGGTGACGCAATGTAGACAGCTTGCAGTCCACCGTCGCCGAAGAAGCGGTCAAGGGAAGTGAAGCAGTTGGAGCACTGGTACTTCGAGCCGAATGAGCGAGCCTGCTCTTCCGATCTGGAGTAGACGCTGTGCAGGCGCCATTGGCCGGTCTTATGCGCCGCTGAGATCCATGACTCTGTGATCCAGTTGGTGCCGATTGTACCAAATGTTATGGGCATGGTAGACAGTGCAGAAGTCAATAATCTACACGGAACTGGAGCTCTTTTTTCGTTTCCTTAGAATGAATGGGGGCTCGAGTATGTTCGTCTATCGGAGGAAAACGGACACCTGGGAGCTGAAAACCTACGAGCTTATGTACAACGGGTCCGGCCCAGGGAAACAAGAACTTCTCAACAAGTGTAGTGGACACGTTGTTCAACGACCAGTGACCAGTGAAGAGGTCGGAGGAGTCTCGGCGACGATTCCGAACCTTCAGGAAGCGCAGAAGCGAGCTGCATGACCATCGCATCCACCCTTGTTCGTACTACAGTGGCGGTGCGGGAGCCTGCAACGTCGAGATGGCCACCTTACACAAGATGTCAACGGGTATTACTTACCTGGTGTTGTCGTACTCTCAACATTCGCGCTCACAGACCCGGCCGCCAATGGTCACAGCGGCTTCATCCGTTCGTGATGTTCCTCAGCACCCTTACTGGTAAGTGGTCACCGTCTCATTGTCATCGAGCGACCGTTACGAAGTCGGGTCTCAGGTGAGGTTCAAACATGCAGCCATGCGAAGATAAAGGCACGGAAGGAGCTCCAAGCCAACTTCACTTCGTATCTGCCAGCATGCCATTTCTTCTGCTTAAGAACTTCTATTATGTACTTATGAACCACATCACAATGCCCCGGCGGCTTGCATGCTCTAGTGATGGCACGCACGTCCTGGTTCGTCGGGTCTGAGAAGCGGAGAGTCAAGAAGTTACGGAAGCGAATAGCGAGAAGCTCGAAGGCTACCATCGTTAATTCCGCTGAAGAAGCTGATGACGATGTTTACGCAGGTATTGGCGCGACCTTCATTGACCCGGACAAAGAGCGAGATGTCCTGCCAGCACTTCCGAGTAAGATTACATTCCCGGACTACGCAACCTTTAATGGCCCAGGATCCAAGGCTACCGCGCCACTGCCACCTTTGCAGACGTTGTTCGCCAGAGTGAACAAGTCTTCAGATGTCACGGGGCAGCATATCGACGCGCTCAATGTAGACATCTGTTTACCATGTCCACTCATTGAGCTTTTCCCGCAGCCAGATGGCAAGTCTTACCTGCCACCAGTCGGACCTCTTCAAGACTCTGGAGAGGCTTACTATGCCGATCTGCAACCGGGCCATCCCCTGGCTATAAAAGCGAAGAAGCGCAAAGACTTTGCAGAACGCCTTGCCGAGCTGGAGGTCGACAATGACACGGGCTACCGCACCATCACTCGTTCCACCAAAGACGGTATCAAACGGCCCAGGCTTGCGCACATGCGGAAGTTCTGGGCCGGGCTGGAGACTATGAGCCACTATTGGGATTGCACTCTTGACCAGTACTATGAACTACCCCAACTGAATGAGCTCGAGTACAAAGCAAAGCGGCAGCGCCTTGACAGTCCTGTAGACGTGGCGACCCATACCAATCGAGACCCATCGCTCGAGGCGGCTTCGCAGATCAATAGACTAATTCCTGACGTTGCTGCTGGCGTAGAAGGCAATATGGGCTGTGAAGCTGCACCTGGCGCAAAGCACGGCTCAGATGATCGAGTAACGCCCAGCCACAGCGGCTCGCCAACCGCTAAAGCCTATTTTGCATCGAGGAAGCGATACAAAGGTCGCCGCACAAAGACTGGCAAGGAAATGCCAGACCAATTCCGTACCAATACCGTCAAAGCTTTCGTAGAGGGCTCGATTTGGCCATTCCATTACTCACTCTCCGTTCCTCGTGTGGCGCCAATAGTCCAGTTTGGGAAGCTGAATGTGCCAGTTAAACAAACAGCGGCGATCTACCGTCTTCCAACCGAGAAGGCCAAGGCTCGGTCTGGGAGGTTGGAAGGGCCGGTCGTTGCGGTGCAAGCTAGAGCTGGTATTGAGCTTCCCGAGAGCCCTCACATGACCGACGAAGCCAGAGGCAGGCTTGACGTGATGCGTGAGATTGGCGGACTGCTCCAGATCGCGCAGGAGCGACGCCATGAAGGGAAGACGGAAGTCAAGCCGGGCGAGGGCAAGTGGTACACCACGACACCTAGATGGGGCGGCGGTCCGGGTGCCGAGACGGAAGCCGGAGATCGCAACGAAGAAGTCGTGCAGGTAGCGGAAGAGGTACTGAGTAGCATCAGGGCACCTAAGGACAAACATAATAGCAGGCCTCGAAGAAAGACAAACGAAATGCTTTGGCAGGAGCTCAGGTGTGGTAGCGGTCTTTGGGATCCTAAGACCGACTACATCGCCATTGGCAAGGATGTCGGTACGCCATATGACGAGGTACGATATACTTCGCGGCAGGTTTTATGATTGTTTCGCTGATGAATCGAACAGATCTTCATGGTGTCGTCACTGTACCATCACATATCTATCGTCAAGCTCACTACACACGATGCGTACACCGACTACCTTATCACTGGGCAAACGCCTGACCCATTGCCGACGGATAGCTCGTGGTGCAGACCGAAGCTGCAGCGCTCGGAGTGGTTTGATCTCTTCGATATCAAGCAGCGGGTAGAGGCTTTCCGGGGGCTTTGGGCAGTCATGGCGTACTTGACGCGGGAGACGGCGTCGGCGACGGCCCAGCAGCATCCAGGAGCGGATACTGACATGGCAGGGACATCGTAAGGCGCTGTTCCACATAAGCCATCCGTCTCGGACACAGTCTTGCTAAGAAGCGGAGCATCTCGTTCATTCGATGGAGCACATTGGTGGACTAGTACTGGAGACTCGCGTCAGACCTGCAACCGACGCTGCTGTACGTCGTCACGTCCGCTGATCCTCTGCTCCAATCTCAATGCCTCAATACTCTCTTGCACTTCCTTGAAGCCCCATTTGTACAGCACACGTATAGATCCTCGGACCCGCATCTGAGCCAGAATCTCGAGAGCTTTGACCTGCTCACCGGCCAGCGGGAAGCGGGTATTGAAGCGTTTGGGCGCCGTGAATAATATCTGCAGTTCCTTCAGCCTCTCGCCGCGGTCAAGATAACTGACCAGCTTCTCAAGCGCTTGCGGGAAGTCGTGCTGCCAGTGTTGACATGCGACTAGATCTCCAATCAGATTAGATGGTAAATAGACATTGACGTGCAAACGCCGGAGATGCTGGCGCAAGTGCGGATACAACCACGGTACAGGTCGTGTCAAGGCTTGCTCCCCTGGTCCCAAAACGCTCTCCGGATTTAGACGCCACTGCTGATGCGGATCGTCGTCCGCTTCGGGGTACTCGGATGGGTCGCCACGGGGAGCGGCCGAATCGATTACCCAGAGAAAGACATTGGTCTGGTAGAACGCTTGCACTACCTCGTCGCGGAGTGAGCGACAGACGTGGAACAAAGGCTGGATGAATGTGCTTCTGCCTGCCCAGAGTGGGTATTGTAGTTCGATGGTGCCGGATTGTTGGAGGGCGGCATGGAAAATGCGTTCACGAAGTTCGTAGGGCAAATCAAGTAACCGCGATCCCGTTGATGAGGCCATCGTCGCCCGAGCACGATCACGTCGTCAGTGATTGTATGCCACTTGTCTACGGTGGCATCACTGTTATGCCTTGTTTGGAGCGAAGATGCTTGTTGTTCGCGAGACTCTCACGCTTAAGTGCACGGGCCGCAGTCGCGTCAACCACTTAACGCGTCTTCTTCGCAGCAACCACTTTAGGAAGTTACGCATGCTTTGCAAAAGAGTGCATATACAAAATGGCAAAATTGCAGCGTCCCCCGGATCCTTTGATGGCCTTCTCGTCCTCGCCAGCCTTCGCGACACCGCTCCATCCCATCCCTCCAACCCAACAGCAACCCCGCCCTCCCCTCCCACAGCCCGCCTTCAAGCCAGCCATTCCCACCACGCTTCCCATCCTACTCCCACCGCCGACACTTCGACCACTGGCCTTCCGCACATTTACGAAGAAGCACAATCTCACGCTCAATGCATCTGCTTTACAAGCGTTCGCCACGTTTATCGGCCGGCATTGCGGGGCAGGATGGCGGGAAGAAGGAACGGGTGAGAAGGTGTTGGAGGAGGCGGCAAAGCTGTGGAAGGCGGAGAATGGTGGTGTCATCGTGGAGGATGGGTCAAGGTTGAAAGGGATCCTGAAGACGTTAGAGGGTGGGATGAGCGGCGGGAGGGTAGGCGTGGTAGGCGCAAAAGTGAGTCGCGAGAACAGCTTCGCATTCGGGCAGAACGATGGCAATGGAGATGTAATGTCGGTTGATCGACCAAGCCTGGATGGCAGGAATAGCAGCTTCGGCATCAGCAAGCTTCACGTGGATGAAGACGGCGAGCAGGATGAGGCAGCGAGCAAAGACCCGCGAGCTTGGCTGAAAGTGATATCCGCCTCCGACCAGCCACGCTTCAGCTACGATGCCGATAAGAAACACTTCGTCCAGCTCACGAACAAACCCAGTTTCTTTCCACCACCATCGCACAAGACGGCCGTCTTCCGCGAACGATACAACATCATTCATCAACGCCTTCTACGGAATGAAGCCTTTCAAGCTCCCTCCTTCTCTTCCCGCTCTACCACGCTCAAGAGGACAGATAGTACGACAACGCAGCAGTTCTACAAGATCACGCCCATAGCCAACCTTCTTGGCCGTGGTGGTACCTCCCACTTACTCCTAGGCATGCTGGTCATTGCTCCCACCGGCACGCTGGCCCTCAACGATCCCTCTGGAAGCATACCTCTGGACTTACAACACGCTCACCCATTACAAGGCGAAGATTCGTCGTATTTCTGTCCAGGCATGATCGTGCTCGTGGACGGCGTATACGAAGAAGACTGGGCGGGAGCCGGATCCAGTGGTCTCGGCAATACTGGCGGTGTTGGCGGCACGATCGGAGGGAGGTTCCTAGGCTTCAGTATCGGTGGTCCACCCGTCGAGAAGCGCAGTGTGAGTCTGGCGGAAGGGTTTGGATGGACCGACTTTCTTGGCCTTGGCTCCGAGCGTGCGGTGGGTGGCCGTATGCGGAAGCTTGAAACTCGATTGCTTGACACTGAAGCCGAGGGTGCGGTGAGCGAGCAGAGGCGGAAGACAATCATCCTCTCCGAGATCACGCTCGATCGACCCTTGACCCTTACTGCTTTACGAAAGGTCCTGCAGCACTACTCCACTTGGGACGACCCGCCCATGACTTTAGTACTAATGGGTAACTTCTCCTCCCAAGCAGCCATGGCTGGTGCCGCCATGGGCTCAATCGAGTACAAAGAACTGTTCAACGACCTCGCCGCTGTCCTCTCTGACTTCCCTTCCCTACTTCGGCAAAGCACATGGATCTTCGTACCTGGCGACAATGACGCTTGGAGTTCCGCTTTCAGCGCTGGAGCGAGTGCAGCTGTGCCTAGAGAGGGTGTGCCGGACGTCTTCACTAGTCGCGTCAAGCGTGTGTTTGCTACGGCAAAGGCTGAGGCGGGTGCAGGTGCGAAGAAGGACGGGCTCGATGGCGAGGCGATCTGGACGAGTAATCCGACAAGACTGAGTTTGTTTGGGCCCGCGCATGAGATGGTTGTGTTTCGGGACGATGTCACCAGTCGGCTTAGGCGCACTGCTGTGAGTGTTGGACAGGCTGCGAAGAGGAAAGGCAACGGCGAGCCAGATGCCTCAGCAAGTCAACCACAGCAGGAAAACGACGACGACAACGACGACACGCTCATGTCAGGTGCCCTGCCCATGAGAGGAACGACCTTGGGAGACGAAGACACGCAAATGGCTGATGACAGTAAGTCGTACCTCTATCTTATCACTGTCGGCTTGCGCCGATATCATCTTAACGGCTCATGTACCGTGAAAGCAATTATGATTGGTACATACGGCCATAGGTCGCAGAGAACAGAGGATCCCGTCCGCTCTCCTGTACTTAAGCTGCGAACCGGTGGATTAGTACTGCGGTCGGTGACGACGTGGGAATACCCGCTGCTGTATGTTTTGCTTTTGTCGGCAAAGATGGAGAGCGAGCGTATGAGCTGGTTGCATTGCGTTTGCTTTTGACGCTTTTGCTGCACTTGAATCGCAATTTTTGCTAATTTGCTTGGCAGACCTGGCTACTCCTGTACCTTCTTCCACCACAGAGTACACCACGCAGCAAGCCAAGAAGCTCATTCTCTCACTCCTGCCGCAATCGACGCTCTCGCCTTTCCCACTTGCTACACGGCCAGTGTATTGGGACTACGCACCTTCGGCATTGAGTCTCTACCCTTTGCCGCATACGCTTATACTGGCGGATGCGGAAGCTGAGCCCTTTGCTCTCACGTTCGAGGGATGCCATGTCATCAACCCAGGCGCGTTAGTCAGTGGAAGTGGAAAGAGAGAGAAAGTGAGGTGGGTGGAGTACGATTGGTGGCGAAAACGAGGGACTTTGAAGGAAGACTGGGTTGGGTGATAGCTTGCGCAAGTGTGTATCTCAGCAGCTTGAGTAAGCCACCGTCACCATGTCCGCAGCAGTACTTCGCACCATACTCCTCCTGCCGTGCCCCATCGCAGGGATCCTCCTTTACTTCGGGTCATCGAACACATACGTAAGATGACACTTCCCGCAGTACTGCCGGTTGTGCATCGCCGCCATGAAAATACCCGCACCACAAGTCTCGTGCGGGCACTCGCGTCGCAGCCGCTCGATCTTGCCGTCGCCGTCAACCTTGTAGTACTTGAGCACAGCGAGCTTGGTCTTCTTGCGCTTGTGCTTGATCTTCTTGGGAGTGGTGTAGACCTTCTTCTTGCGCTTCTTGCCGCCGCCGCGCAGACGCAGGACTAGGTGAAGGGTGGACTCCTGTAAGTTCACTGTCAGAATGTGCGGACATATTTCGAGGAAGTGGTGGGGCTGGAGGCGCTCAGAGCGTACCTTCTGGATGTTGTAGTCCGACAATGTGCGGCCATCTTCGAGCTGCTTTCCCGCGAAGATCAGGCGCTGCTGGTCTGGTGGGATGCCCTCCTTGTCCTGGATCTTGGACTTGACATTGTCGATGGTGTCGGACGACTCCACCTCAAGGGTGATGGTCTTGCCCGTGACTGTGTGTTGAAGATGGATGTTAGCTGTGATGCGGGTGACGAGAGCGATGGATGGCAGACGTACGGGTCTTGACGAAGATCTGCATTGTCGTCCTCAGCGGTGCGCCTAGACAATAGAGATGGTCCTAATGGATGAAGCGTGCGAAAAGCCGTCGTGTATTTGCGTCTCGTGTGCGCTTCGGCGGGCCGGTACGGAAGCACCCGCAGGTCCCGCTTTGCTTGCCTTAGGCATGAGGATTAACTTCACTTCCATGCACCGTCAGAACTTCGACCTTAGCTGTTCCGTCACCACACAAGCTTTCCGTATTCGGGCACGAGAGGACCATTGACGGAAGCCGGCGGAGTAAACGCTGGAGAGAGTTTGAAACGTATTCGCACTCTACGCTGAAGTAACTGCACGCGTATCAGGGGCAGGGTGTGATTCGACGACAGTATGGTAAGACGTGATAGACGCGTGACAACAAAAGCTAGGCCTGATTATTCTCGGTCAACTGTGCCTTGATCGCATCATGATACTTTTCGATCCCCTGCGGCCGGCAGCAAACGGTCAAGAGGTCATCCGGAAGGCTTACACCACGCGGAAGCTCGCACGTCAGGTTTCTCGTGAAAAGCGTCACGCCTTCGCCTACATCCTCGAAAGTATACGTGATGTGAGTGATGCCGGGCAGGCCGCCTGTCCCGTCCTCTTTCATGGCAATGTTGTTCTGCTGCTGGATAGCAAACCGCCACGGCCGCTCGACAGTGATCGCCATCCATGTCGAGAGATATGTGTTATCTGGAAGCTCGACTCTCTGGAAGGTGTCAGTCAATGCTGATCTGACCGTGGGAACACACTTAAGGGCCATACTTCCGTCCACGTCTGTCCATGTTCGATTGGTACCTTCACCTGGTGGTTCATGCCTCCAGATCCTTTGTATGTACGACCCCGAATTGTTCGGGTCACATGCATAGTCGAAGACAACATCCCGCGGTTGGGAGAATGCAGTCTCAGATATGATACTAAAACGACCCATGCTGTACGATGCACAGCTGTCTTGGCTACCTCACTGAATATACTATGCAATAGGTATAACTTCAGTGCAAGCCTGATGTTCTGGTGTCGCAATCACTTGGAGGTGATGAACACGTCGGACCAAGGGACCGGCCGGCCTGGCCCCACACATGCTTCTGATTCACCTTTTTTACGAACGTCGCTAGACTGACATCGCCAACTCCCTCAGTCTGTGAGCTCCAAAGACAAGGAGGCAAGGCTTGCTATTCATAGAACGACGAAGGGCAAAATGTTGCTCGTCATTTATACGGTGCCGCTGCGAGAATTCCGAACTTCCTTACCACTCAATTCAGCAAAAGCCGAATTTTCTGTGCAGCTCCGGCTGGTATGGTTGACAACGGGATGACGGCGCACGGCACGATGGTGCTGTTGCCGGTGCTAAGTTCAGGCGCTGACACCTGTTGAGGTCGCTGAGGTGTACTGGGTATACGATAAGCGTGGCTGAAGCAGCTGGATGCCTAGGACGAGTGCGGGCCTCGGATCGCTGATCTGGGACATTGCGTCGATTCAGAAGTGCCATATTCCGTTCCGACCTTCCCATGGTCTGTCCTTGTGGATGTATACTCACCTAGCTCATGCTAACCCTGACGGGCCGTCGTTCATTGAGAAGGGTACCTTTCTAACACAAACTGACAGTGCCTCCGGCACAGCAGGTTTGATCAACCTGGCATATTTCTATGCGGAATATATACTTCGGCAACAGTCTCAAGGGAGCAGAGAGCAGCCTGCTTCACGGCCCACAGGTGCCGTACAGCTCGAAGCCACTCTGATCATATTCGAGGCGACTCCGAAGTGAGGTATTAGGAACTTTGTACGACTGAGACGGACTGCACGTACTGCCGAAGCTCGAACGAACCGACTCCGCGCAGGCGATAGCGATAGATATTGTCCCAACCCGGAGACACACCGCGGCCACTCTGCATTCAGGAGACAGCGTATATGTTGCCGTGGAAAGGCACACTAGAGTAGAGGTTCGAAGCCTCAGCTAGTCTCAAACGATCCGGACGGGATCAACATCACTTCATTGACATGACTCAGGACCTGTTCTGTCTGGTTCTGCTGCGCTTGCAAATGGGTAATAGGCTTTACTGTGAGTCTCGAAGTCAAGGGTCAATACTTTCACATGGTAGCGGTACGCTACCTGACCCATCAATGGCCAAGAGCACTGAGTATCTGGGTAACGCTCTCCCCAGCCTTCAACTCACTAACGATGTCAGTGACGTTGAGACCGGCGGTCACCACTGTGAGTGGTCCATGAACATAGCCGACGATCTTGGAGATCTGACAGGTGCTGTCATCGAAGCTGTGAATTTCGCGAACTTGTGACATGGGCAGCGCGACGAAGTCCGTCTGCACGTAGTCGACCGTAACTGTGCCGTTGGCGTTGCACATGTACTTGTCGAACCCTTGCGGCACTCCGGCATTCATGACCGTCGCGAGAATGACGAGTTCCTGTCGGACAGTGTCGGCAGTAACGCCAGCGTTGACTGGAACAGTCACTGCATTGGCCTCGTTAGGGCTATCATGCCACTCGTCAGTCATGTGGTATGCTCTCAGCAAGCAACAGCAGCCTACGTAATGAGAAATGTTCGAGATGCGGTGGGCGTCAGCGGTATCTTCGCTGCATCGGCCTCTGTGTGAGAGCGGATGGTCGCTATCTCCTGCTTCACGGCCGCGATCTTCGTGGTACAGTTGCAGGGCGTGTTCCTTGCCATAAGTGGGACGGAGTACGCCGCGGATATGCCCACCAATGCGAGCAGGCTCAGGAGGTGCATCGTCGCGTTCAGCACAGAGAGATATAGTGACAGTTCAAATACAAGGCAATGGTGTTCATGGGAAAGCTGTCTGCCTCCAACGTAGCAAGAAGGCGACAGAATTCTCCCTTCAGCATTGCAACGGCCATGCATACGACTACGCACTGCCGCGAACCTTCAGTGATGTCACAAAAGCAGGTGAGACACACGCACCTATCACGAACGACAATCCATGGGACTGATTAATCGTAAAACACGCTACAGACCGGTGTGTATTTCTGTAAAAGATAAGACAGCGTCTCTGCCTATGTCAATCTCTCACAAGCGCATGTGGACGCTGTTTAAGGTTGGACAGTATACTCATCCCACAGCTCGATCAGCTTGTCTTCCTTACCGGTCTTCCTCAACCCTCGGAGTGCCTTGCCTGCCAATTCTGTAAGCTCACCTATGGCCTGCATTGCGGCAACAAGCGTGGCGTGATCGTTCTTACCAATGCAAACGGTACGGCTTAGCACCTTCTCAATAGCAACTATTTCCACAAAAGCGACTGTGCGAATGACAATGTCGTAGTCGGAGCGAAGCTCGAACTCCATCTCCTGCAATACGGTCCTCTTAGCAAGGAACATCTTAGCCACTTGCAAGCAATCGTAGCCCACGACGTCCATGACGTGGGCTGTTGATTGCGCGTCCTGGTGGAGAGGTTCCGCGGAACTCGGTGGGACGCCTTCACCCCAGATGAGCTGCATATACGGCCCGAGCAGGGTGATGCGAGTGAGATGGGAGTAGAAACCGAAAGTGTTCGGGAATCCCGCAAGCTCTGTGATCAAAAGAGGGTCTTTGTGAACCACCTTCGCCGTGACCGTCTTCAACGTGCAACGCTCCACACTACCAAGGCCGAAACAAGACCGTATAGTGTCTTGTTTACGATCGGGTATGCTTGGCAGAGATGTGCCAGCATGTGGTCGGCTTCGTGCTCGATGTTGATTGCGAGGTGGCGGGCCTTGAGAACCTGCGCTGGCCATGTAATGTTCTGATCCTTGAGCGAAGGTGTGCCATTGATTGGGATTCCCTGATGATTGAAACGGCCTTCGTCGATCCAGATGACGCTTTCGACCTTGCCTGTACGCAGGTCTTGGGTGTTAGCCCGCGGCCAGTTGCGACTATAAGTACGTCCTGTGATCCTGACGGCGACTTTATGACCGGCGTATAGCATACTGTCCGCTTCCTGATTGATTTGATAACAGGCACAGAGGAGCTCGGGGAAGGAGTGCCTCCGCCGTCCCCTCAACTCGCCGTAGAATCTAGGTGCTGGGCCAGGACTGAGCAAGTCCTTGTAGACCAGGTTGCGCATCTCCGGAGCCAGATGCAGGAAGCGGAAGGGCTCCATGTCCTCATCAAGTTGCCCGAGAATGCGGATATATTCAGCGCGCTTGCGCCCTGGGGAGGTTGGGGGTGGTTGACCGGAGCGGTCAGCAATGAACTTGTAGAGTTCGTTGGTCGTACACTTGTTGTACGCCATGGCGTACTCGATCTTGGTCATAGTGGGCGATCTGAAAAGATACTGTGGTTTTGCTTGGTGCTGGGCTGTGTCGATACTGAGCGTGGATGTTAGGCCTTGCGGCGGTCGCGGTGCTGGGGTGAGCAATCCAATGTTGAAGAGCGGGCAGAGGCCGAGAGCATCAAGCATGTCCCATGGTGTTATTCCGGAGTGTTGTCGTGGACATCGCATTCACGCTCAGTGTTCACGTGTCCACATATAGATTACGCCCAGTGTCATTGTGCTGGCCACAAAGCACAAGCGACAAGCCTTTGTATTGTACAGAGGTTCACTCTAGCTGATCGGTCGTCATAGAAGATCGGCCAACGAGTGACTGACAAGTCATCTCTGCTCGCGGCCGAACAGAGTCAGGTCGGAGCAGCAGCATGTATGAGCCAGCGCCCTGTCATATATACGAGAATACTGTCACTGCGTATAAGCCTGGTTTGTTATATTTCAGTTGTTGGTTCTACAATCATGTCTAGATCGAGACATGTGAGAGAGGAGATATCTGTAAACAAATCTTTCGCTAAGTGCTGTTCGATGTGCTTCATCCGGAACAGAGGTGCTCAAAGGATGCGTTTGTATGGTCATCTCAAGCGATAGACAACATTGCAATGGATTCTTCCAGGTGCTCCAAGAGGGCTTAAAAGACCGCCAAGTCTGCCTCCGCAGATTCATTCGTATCTGCGATGCTGTCCGCAGATCTCATGGACAGGCCAGCAAGGACGTTGGTTGGCAGCGTTTCATGCAGTCTTCTGTCCACCATTCCCGTATATCGAAGAAGGTGCTCGACCTCGGTGGCCATATCTCTAAACTCGTCGGCCGATGCTCCCTTCTGAACCCTGCTTGAAAGAATCTCCGACGTGATCTCGCGGGAGAAACGTAGTCCGGCAATGGCTGGGCGCGATCCGGTAAGCAGGTTACGATCCGAGTCCTGGTCCCAAACGCGTTGCTCGTCGGCATGCCAGCCGTTCTGAAGCAGAAGGGTGGCTTCTCCCACGCCGTTATTGAATACGTATCGGAGTCGGTTGACGTCGAGCAAAGTGAGGGGCCACAGTATGCTCCGAAGTTGCGTGGCATGCCTACTCCAGTCAACGTCGCTATGTCCAACCCTAAACTCGATGGGTCGCAAGGCGCGCGTACGGGCATGCGCAAATCGCATTCACGAGACTGTATAGCAAGTGGTTGACCACCGTAAAGGCGTCTGCTGAGAGCATGTCGCGCTTTGTCTAACCACGGTCTCAAAAGAAGAACTCAAAACACAGACTATGCGCGCGTAACACTGGCGCCGGCCATTCTGTGTCGTCTGCTGCTAGAGGCTGTGGAACGTTGACGCATATGTTTGGCAGTTCGGTAGAAGAAAGCAGGCTTACTAACCACCCTGCATTTTTGGCGCCTCGCTAACATCGGCAAGACCATCATTCGTCGACTTGCATGGACCCTAAGGTCGACCTTGAGCTCGTGGTCCAGTATCTTCTTGGCCTCCCCATGCACCTGCGTGCAAGTCCGTAAGATCTGTGGCTAGCAGGGTGCCCTCGATCGCGAACGCAGGCTCCTCGCATCCGGTGTGAGGAGAAGCCAGTAGACCAATTTCCTTCACCCCGCAAGCAAGTCCAGGAAGCGGAAAGTAACATTGGCGTCAGCCTGCTCCAGCGCCCAGATGTGAATGGAGCGGCGTGGTGAGGTGATACTCTGCCCTGTACGGTTATTTACAAAACTCTTGAGCTCAGTTGTGGTGCACTTGTTATATGCGAGAGCATACTGCGGTTTGGTGATGATGGCGAGGAGCGGAAGTACTTGTACCTTTGCAGCATTACTCGCTTCGACGTAGAGGGTGGTACAATATCAGGCAACGCAGACAAAGAGAACCACACGCTATTCTATCTGTTGAGTGGGAGACGGAGCAGCAGGACAACAGATCATCTCAGGATTGACTCAGACATGCACCTGCATATGCTGTTGTTAAAAAAAAAGGTGGGGTCGTTGTGAGCCAAGCGAGGCATATGCGGAAGACACGGCCGACTCCAATGCGCAGAAGTCGCGACAGTATTTGGTCTTGGCACACTCCGTCTTTTTGGTCACGAAGTCCAAAGACAGCTAAATGCTGATGCTGCACACGAGCAGCATCAGTATCAAGAGAGTAGGTGGAGGAGGGTAATAAGATTGAGCCTCTATGCGATGTCCGCCAATTGTGATATCCTTCGGTAGTGGCCCCCTCGAACTGACTCGTAACTGAACCTCTTCCTCGCACGCTTTCCGATCCCGGTGCTTCCACACCCGAAGTTAGCGATACTGCAAGGGAGAGGTAACCTTCTAGATCACAGCAGCCTGCCACCTTATCTATTCTAGACTATATTGAGCCTAGCTCAATAGCGCCACGGCAACATAGCCCAGCGGAGTAAAGCTTGTCAAAGCTTCAACAAGCACGTTGAGCGGAAAAGCTGCGCTATATGAGTCGGGCGGGGCCTCCCTGCATTACTGTAGGATTCATTCATCCTTCGAATTTCCTAACTGGTCGAAAGCATCAAAGCATGGAGGCGCTTACTCACTTTCGCTCTAGGGGACTTACCCGGATAAGGAAGTTGATGTAGTCAGTGCAACAATGAGTCGTGAATGCCTATCACCGCGGGCTTGTATAATTATCGGAATAAGCCGATCAGCTACTGGCTGGTGTCATTTTAAGTCAGGCACGATGTCTTTGGTTTTAAACTTCTCCTGTCAGTCCCTCGTCCACAGAAATCATGGCCAAGAACGGCGATTGCGAGTATGATGTGATCATCGTTGGCGCCGGCACAGCTGGTTGTGTCCTAGCGAACCGACTATCAGAACATCCAAATATCTCAGTTTTAGTGCTGGAAGCTGGAGTAGACCGCAGCGATGATGAGCGAGTCTACACCCCCGGTCTTACGGGCAGCACCTGGGATGATCCTGACTTTGACTGGCAATACACTTCGCCGCCGGAGCCTGGCTTCAATAACAGGATCCTTAAGCATCCTCGTGGACGACTTGTTGGCGGCACAAGCGCCATCAACTCCTTTGCACTTATTTATCCCTCGGTCGCGGAGATTGATGCCTGGGCAGAGTTGGGCGACGAAGCCTGGAACTGGCAGGCTCTGGCACCGTACTACCGAAAGTTTCAAACCATTGTGCCACCAAGCGAGGAAGCGAGGAGAGATCTCAACCTCGCTCATAGCGATGCGAACATCCGCGAGTCGAAGGGTCCGATCCAGGCGTCTTTCCCGACGCGAGCAACAGCGATGCAGAAAGCATGGGTCGAAACCTTTCGCACTTTAGGATTGAATACCCGCAATGACCCTTTGGACGGACATGCACTGGGTGGACACACCTCGACTTGCCACATAACCGGTGTAACACGTGAGCGTAGTCATGCTGGGACAGCATACCTCAAGCCAGTCTTAGACAGAAGTAATCTCACCTTGACCACCAATGCTTTGGTGCAGAAGCTGGTTATAGAGCGGCAAGGCTCCGTACCGATTGTGCGAGGCGTCCGTTATTCGAAGGATGGCAAGCATTGCGAAGTCCGAGCCAGGAAGGAAGTCGTCCTCGCCGCAGGCACGTTCAACTCCCCGCAGATTCTGGAGCTTTCGGGTATCGGCAATCCAGAGATTCTGAAGCAAAACGGCATTGAGGTGATCCTCGCCAACCCATCAGTGGGAGAGAATCTCCAGGATCATATACGGCCGGGAATTTCATTCGAAGTGAATGACGATGTCCCAGTTGGGATGCCAATGTCTGATGAAGAAGCCCGCAAGCTGTACGAGAAAGATCGGTCGGGGCCTTGGGGTTATCTCGGCGCTTTCTCATTCTCGTATACACCGCTTGTGCCGTTCTTGGATCCAGTGGAGAAGGAACAGCTCAAGACATTACTCGATGAGCATCTGAATGATGATAAGCACTTCTCACCGTTCGTACGCAAGCGGAAAGCCTTCATCCGAAAGACTATCGAATCTCCCCATGAAGCAACCGCCACGAGCTTCATGATCCGAAATCCTGTGATCGGCGCACCAGAGGGCAACTACGTGACGTTACGATCTATGCTTTCACACCCTTTGTCGACTGGGTATTCGCACATCACATCTGCTGATCCACGGGCCAAGCCAGAGATTAGATTCAACTACTACTCGCATCCGGTCGACCTCGAGGTTCACGCCAGGCACATGCAGATCTTAACCCGAATAGCGCAGGCAGAGCCACTGGCATCGTACATCAAACCGGGAGGAAAGCAGGCACCGGTAGAGTATCCAGCGGACAGTGTTGAAAGTGCGAAGGAGCTGTGTCGCGCTTACTCGTCCACAAACTACCATCCGTGTAGTACCTGCGCCCTCGGCGAGGTAGTTGATGGACGGTTGAGCGTCAATGGCGTGAAGAACCTGCGTATCGTCGATGCGAGCGTCATACCGCTTATACCACGAGGCAATATCATCACGACCGTATATGCCATCGCAGAGCGAGCCGCCGACATCATTAGTGAAGATTTGCACGTTCGTAGACCGACGTAGACTGAGTCAAATGTGCTCTCTTGAAAGATTATGCTCATGCATCGAAGAGTAGGTTGATATGAAGGTGATGTTCACACCATATCTGTCGACAGTGACCTCCCGCCTCAGGATCGGTACCTGCAGTAGCAATGATTCTGACTGAGGTTGCCGTGAGTGAGCGGAAGCAGGCGTGAAAGCCGTCTTCCAACTGGCCGAGCTTGGACCATTGATTATTATCACTCTGCTCTGCCGAACGGACCGACTCCACACTTTTGCGTTGTGTGTGCGGAGGCCTGCTGTGATCGACGACATCCGAGGCGTATGGCTAGAGCTTGATCTGTCCGTCCGCTAGACCGGCTGGCTGTCCAACGTCTCGTCTGTTACCTGTAGTAGTCTTTCCTCTGCAGCAATGTAAGTCTTCTCATCGTTTCCACTGTATCGTCTCCTTGCAATGGCCGCCCACCCCCAAGACACCGCCTACGCTGCCTCCATCAGCGATCCCTCGTCTTTCTGGGCGCAGCAAGCAAAGCAACTCACATGGCACACCACCCCGTCTACCGCCTTTCGCACTCAAACTCGCAATCTCAAGTCAGGTGCCTCACATACAGCCTGGACTTGGTTCCCAGACGGCGAGATCAGTACGACGTATAACTGCATAGACCGTCACGTTGAAGCCGGACATGGGGACAAGACGGCCATCATATGGGACAGCCCCGTTACGAACAGCAAACAGCGAATAAGCTATGCCGAGCTACAGAATGAAGTCGCTACCTTAGCTGGAGTGCTGAGGGAAGAAGGCGTGAAGAAGGGTGACGTGGTGCTAGTGTACATGCCCATGATCCCTGCCGCACTAATCGGTATCCTGGCCACCGCACGGTTGGGCGCGATACATGCCGTCGTCTTTGGAGGCTTCAGCGCGGCGTCTCTGGCTCAACGGATTGAGGCTAGCGAGCCGAAAGTCATCCTGACGGCTAGTTGTGGCATTGAGGGAGGGAAAGGTCCGTTAGCGTACCAGCCCATGATTAGGGGAGCGGTTGAACAATGTCCGCGCAAACCCAGTAAGGTGTTGGTTTGGCAGCGGGAGCAGAGGCTATGGGATGATGTACGGGAGGAGGACGGCGAGCGGGATTGGCAGCGGTTGGTGAAGTCCGCGCGGGATCAAGGCTTGAAAGCAGACAATGTCCCTGTGAAGAGCAGCGATGGGTTGTACATCATCTATACCAGTGGTCAGTCAACCCTGTCATGCATTGGATGGAGAAGACTTTCACCGCCGCAGAAGCGCGCATTTCATTGACATCGTTCATTGCAGGTACGACCGGCTTACCAAAAGGCGTTCTGCGTGAAGCGGGCGGGCACGCAGTTGGCCTCAACCTCACCATTCGCTACGTTTTCGGCATCCGAGGCCCGGGAGACGTTCTCTTCACGGCAAGTGATATCGGCTGGGTCGTCGGCCACAGCTACATCATCTACGCGCCCCTACTTGCTGGTGCCACGACGGTGCTGTTCGAGGGTAAACCCGTGGGAACACCGAGCGCAGACACCTTCTGGCGAATCCTTGAAGAGTATAAAGTCAACTCCTTTTTCACAGCTCCGACGGCGTTACGAGCGATACGGAAGGAAGACCCAGCAAACAAGTTCTTCGAGACGCGAGGGAAACGGGGTGGGTTGAAGAATCTTCGCGCCCTCTTTCTTGCTGGTGAGCGCTCAGAGCCGGCCATCGTGACCATGTACCAGGACCTCCTCTCCAAACATTGCGTGCAAAATGCATGCGTGATCGATAACTGGTGGTCGTCCGAATCCGGCTCGCCCATGACTTCGCTGGCCCTGCTTCCCGCCGTAGCACAGCGGTTCGACGATCACACTTTCCATAAACCTTTACCCATCAAGCCCGGGTCGGCGGGGAAACCTGCGCCTGGGTTTGCGGTGCAAATTGTCGATGATGAGGGCAAAGAAGTGGCGAAGGGAGAGATGGGGAATATTGTCCTGGGATTGCCGTTTGCGCCGACAGGGTTCACGACGCTTTGGCGAGATGAGGAGAGGTTTTACAAGAGCTACCTGAAGCGGTTCAACGGACGGTGGCTTGACACTGGGGATGCGGGCATGATTGACAGTGATGGTAAGAAGACAGCGGGAAGCGTTATGTGCAGTGCTCGCCGCGGATCGCTGACCCTAGGTGTTGCTAGGCTACGTCCACGTCATGAGCCGAGCCGACGACATTATCAATGTCGCCGCCCATCGCCTGTCGACGGGCGCGATCGAACAAGCCATCTCTTCCCACCCTTCCATCACCGAGGCAGCTGTCGTCGGCATACCAGACGAAATGAAAGGGCACGTGCCATTTGCTTTTATCGCTATACCCGATCCGCCTCCAGACCTGCTCAAAGATCTGAACGCCAGGTTACGGCACAGCATCGGTCCGATTGCGAGTTTAGGCGGGTTTATTGCGAGCCCAGGCATTATTCCAAAGACACGTTCGGGCAAGACGCTGCGACGAACGCTGAAGGAAGCCTTGGAGAATGGCGCCAAGGGCGAGTTCGAGAAAGACCCGAGTTATCCGAGTACAATTGAAGATCCGGCCGTAGTAGGGAAGGCGAAGGAGGCGATTAAGGAATACTTCAGTTCTGGCGCTGGCGCTAAGGTCAAGGCGAGGTTGTAATGGAGCGTGAGGTGGAAAGGGATGGTAACGACCGACAGCGCTAGAACCTGTACAATACGTTGTGTATTTCGAGCGAAGTCTGCATTGTAACCGCTGCCTCGCAGCTCGCACCGTTCCTTCAATAACTGGTCTAAACGGAGCGCCCAAACGCCTCCCAAAGAATTCAAGCGATCGACCACGCAACATGGCCAACATGCGGGGCGCCTATTTTCGCCATACAGGAGCTGGCTTCTCCCAATCACCTTCTGAAGTACTCCGCATCCGCCGCAGAGACGCTCAAGGCGGCAGTTGGCAACTCCGTCCCAAGTCCACTATCACTGGGCGGAGCATACATTCGCTTCTCTTCACTCCTCACCATGGCTGCTGGCGGCGCCTCGATCTGGAGAGGGACGGCAAAGTCTCGCTCGGCTGTAGCAGCCTCTTGGTCCTCCCCCTGCGACTCATCTCCCTCAACAGCAGACTGATGCACGCCGAGTACGCCATTCGCCGAACTATCCAAGCTGATCCTCCGATCGACGTCTGAGCCGGTCAGATAGCTGCCAGTGCCGTAGGAGAGATCGCTTGTTCCATAACTGGCGCGGTGCCCGGCGTCGGTGCTTGGCGTGATGCCATCGGTATAACTGCCGTCATCGCGCGTGAGCCCGCTCTCGGTGGCGCTCACGAAGCTCGTTCGGCGCTCGGTTCCAGCTTCACTATCCTCACCCTGCGACACGGGGCGGGAGAGCTCGTCCTCGCTCTCCTCGGACAGTGCCTCGTTCTCCTTGTTGTGGCCGGACAAGCTCAAGTTACGTTTGCCTCCCCACGAGCCATTGCGCATGGGTTGCGTCTTGACGGAGTTGCTGCGATTCAAGCTCGCGGAGGTGTTTGAGAGTAGGCTAGACGCCGGGTGGATACCGTGAGGCACGTTGTGATTGATTTGGTTCAGCGACATGATGCGCCGCTCCGCTGTGTTCGGCGCCGGACCTAAGCGCTGCAAGTTCGGCCTTGCCTTCATCGCCAACTCGTGGTTCGCTCGCAGCGATGGGACGGTGGAGGTGATCGTCTGTGCAGACGTTGCGGATGCATTGCTCGGTACACGCAGATCGCGGCCTTGCTGCTTCCTCTTTGCAGGCGACTTGGCGGTCTTTGAAAGCAGAAGCATGCGTGACTGGTTCATGACACCTTCAAGCATGCGGCGCTCAATGAGTTCAGCCTTGCGATCCATCTCATGGAGCTCTTCCCGGCGGATATGCAAGGCAGTTTGGAGTGAAGAGACATCGGCTGCCAAGCGAGCTTTCTGAGCAGACAGCGTCTCCTTCTCCGCTTTGAGGGCCTCGACTGCCTGTCGTAGCGACTCCTTCTCGTCGTTGAGTACTGTGATATCGTCTTCGATCTCGTCCTTCTGGACCATGCGACGCTCGAGCAGCAAGGCAAGCTCCTCGGCCTCCTTCTCCTTATTCTCATGGTCTTCCGTCAACTGCTTGGCTTGTGCAGCAACGAAGGCGGAGACTTCCGCAGCAGTCGCCATAACTTTCTCGTGGATCTGATCGAGGCGCTCCAACTGGACGGAAGGGTCAGCAGCTTGCTCAGCGTGGCCCATGAGTTTGTCGAGCTTTTGGTGTAGGCCAGTGTCGTCATAGCGCTCAATCGCGGGTGCAGGACCTGGAGGAGCCGGCAGCAGTGCAGGCAGTGCGGTCTTCAGCTGCTCGGTCTGCGTCTCGTGTCGCATCTTCGAGTCCTCGAACCCAGTCTTGAGCTGCTCGCGCAGATCGCGCACGGCCTGATGGTTCTGCTCCGCCGCTTCGGAAGCCTTCCTCGAGTGCTCGTATTGCTGGCCAATCAAGGCCTGGACTTCCTTGAGAGTCATGAGAAAGCGAGGGTTGTGCTCCAGGATATCACTTTGAACACCCGCAACAGCCGCCACGGCTTTGGCCACTTCGTCTCGAGTAAGATGATGTTCATACTTCAACCCTTCTTGTGTTTCGTCAAGCTTGTTGTACGTGTCGTCCACTCGAGTGAACACCATCTTCGAATCCTCGGTCAATTTCTCCATCGAATCTGGGAAAGTGGAAGTGAAGGTCGTCAATGCGGTGCCGAGCGTATCGATCGACAGCCTTAGATCATCAGCCATGACCCTGGTACTCTCCAGCAACTCGGCTTGCGCAGCAGCCTTCTCCTCCATGACCTTCGCCTTCTCTTGAGCAGCCAGCTGAGCATCATCGTACTTGCTCATCAAGCCATCGAAGACAGAATCGAGCCTCTCTCTAATCTCTATAACCATGGCGTCCTTATGCTCAGCCTGCTTCTCGAACGTCGTTTCCGTAGACTGCTGTTGATCGACCTTTATCGCCTCCAACGAGCTATGAGCCCGCTCGAACTCTCGAGTCAACGCCTCCATCAGCTCCTTGATTTCAGCGATGACCGGCTCATGGCTGCCCGTCTTCTCCTCGAGCCCTTTCATAGTCTCCCCAAGAGCGTTGATTCCGGTGTCGCTGTCGCCAAGCTTGACAAGGAGCTCGTCTTTGATCTCCGCCAAGGCATCCTTGACACTAGCAATCTGGTCGACTGTGATCTCGTACTCGGCCTTGCGATCATCGAAGGCCTTGGCCGTCACAGCAATGTCCGTCTCATAGCTGTCTTTCATCCGGTCATGGCTCTCACGAAAGTCAGAGATGAGGCCGTGGAGTTGCTCAATGTCCGACTTGGTGGGCATCGCGGCGGCGTCTGGCAGATTTATCTCATCGACGCGTGTCTTGATCTCGGTGCAGAGCACACCAAGGATGTCGAAATCCGCTTTGGTCATAAGCTTTTCTCTCTCCTCGTCAGGCTTGCTTGGAGGCACTGTCTCCTTGAGGTCCTCCAGCGCAGCCTTGACATCTTGCGCAAGCACTTCGATGACTGCGACATCAGCTTTGGCCGCAACGGAGTTCTCTAGCTTGTCAGCTAAACCTTCGATTGCCTCATTTGTAATCCGGACGACAGCTTCGACCGCATCTAGTTGCTCCTTGGTGACTGCCGATACAACTTCCGGCGACACCATCTCGTCAAGCCGGGCCTTCGTGTTTCGGAGCAAGGTCTCAATGGCATCGGTGTCCTCCTTCCTCGCAGCACCTTCAGGCGCATCGACCGGCTCGCGAGCAGCGAGCGAACCTACACTGTCTTGTACGTTCTTAATCATGAGCTCGAGTGCCAGGAGATCCACTTTCATCGCAGCAGCGTCAACTGGTTGTGACATCGGCAACTCCTGGATCGTTGCATCCATAGCTTCGACCTTGATCTGCAGCTGAACAAGAAGCACCTCCATCTTCTCCAGATCCGCAGGCTTCAGGTATTTTGGAGGCGGCGGAAGCTCGACATTAGCAGCGAAATCATCAGCGAGGGCACGCTCACCCGCAAGCGCCGAGGGGTCAGCCAACACTATTTCACCTCCCTTCGGCGTCACAGGCCTCTTGTCACCACTCTTCAACGCATCAAGATCAGCCCTCAAGCCTGTTAGACCGTCCTTGAGAGTATCTAGGATCTCGTAGTTGACCGTCATATCCAACGGCTTATCGAGCGTCTTCACAACATCCGTGCGCAGCGTCTCGAGACCTTCGCCGATGACGTCCAGCATCTCGTTCTGCTGCGCTTGACTGCGTTCCGGGCTATCCAGCTTCTTCTCGAGGTGGCTGCGTAGGTCGTCAAGCCCAAGACGGAGGGCATCGAGCACCTCTTCGTTGGAGCCGCCGTGGACGACAGAAGTCGCGATCGAGCTGCGCAAGTTCTCGAACTCGCCACGCATCGCTTCCAGTAACTCGGTCGGTACGCCGGCTTCGGGTACGCTTCGTGCGGTGCTGGTCTCCTTGAGCTCATTCAGGCTGGTCTGAATGCCATCGAGAGCTTCATGATGTCCGCTCATTGTTGTGCCGGCAGCCCCAGCAATGACCACAGAGCCGGTCATGGCCTCTTTGAACTTCTCCAGCTCCTCTCGAATCGCTGCAAGAGCTTCAGCAGACGCATCGCTGTTGTCCGCGCTTAACTGAATGCGCAGGTCTTCGACGGCCTGGCGCATGCCGTCAACCACCGCCTCCTTCTGCGTGTCGGCGATGATGGCGTGGATCGACTCCTTGAGCGTGTCAAATTCCTTGTGCATGTCATTGATGACCTCTTCAGTGGCGCCGGCGGAGAGCGTGCTGGCCTCCGTGCCACCAAAACGCGCATGCAGTACACCCATACTGTCCTGGATCGTCTCGATGAGCTCGCCTTTGTCGGCGGCGTGTGCGGCGAGGACTGCAACTTTCAGCTGTTCGAACTCCTCTTTCATCGCTTCGTGGATCTCGTCGGTTGGGAAGTCAATTTCGAGCTCGCGGTCCTTCTCCTCGAGCTGCGCTTTCAGACCGTCCATGCCGGCCTTCATCGCCAGAAGTATCTCGGCCGTATGTGGTGCTTGTGATTCGGCATCGAGTTCACGGTTTCTGTCTCCAACCGTGGCATGCAGGTGCTCAAATTCCGCCTTGATGTACTCCAACATCTCTCCCTTCCCACCATCGTGAACAGGACCTTGCGCGACATAGCCTTGTACGTCGCCACGAAGCTGTTCGAGCCCTCCACGGACGTTGTCAAGAATCTCGTCCTTGCCAGTAACATCTTGCGCACGGTCGACGTAGGTTTCAATCTCGGCACGCAGGCTCTCGAGGCCGTCTTTGACCGCATCAAGGACTTGCTCTGTGTCTCGACCACTGGCGGCGGAGTACTGCTTGAACTCTGTGCGCATGTTGTCGATCAGCTCGCGCATCTGCTCCAGGACTTGCTCACCAAAACCGCCAAAGGGTATGGCGGAGCCGTCAAGGGAGGCTTTGACGGCGTCGAAAAGATCATCTCGACTGATCTCTATCTCCCGAGGTGCGTTCGGTCCATGGCTGGCGAGACCTTCTTTGACAGCCTCAATGACTGCCAGTCGTGTTGCTTCATCGTTCATTGAGGCGGCTGAGACAGCAGGCTGATGCTCAGAGAAGGCTTGTTGAAACTCTGCAAGAAGCTCCGCCTTGATCTGCTCCAGCGCTACTGCAGGCAAAGAGGGCTGAAAGTCTTTAAGCGCTTCCTCCATAACCTCGAAGATCTCGGCTTTGTCGATTGTAGCGATGACAGGCTCAGCTTCAGATCGGCTGCTGCGGTACTCTTCCATGCCATCCGCCAGACCCTTCTTGATGACGTTGAGGACCTCCTCGCGCTCCAGACCGAATTGCTGCAGCTCAATGTTGGGCTGGAAGTCGACCAGTCCTTCTTTGACTGCTTCGATCACGGTTTCTCGGTCGAGGCCGCTGGTTTCGTCCGTGTCGCTCATGTCACGCTTGGCGGTGCTGTTGCCATGCTCAGCCAGCGCATGCCTGACCACGGCGAAGATCTCCTCGCCACTCGGCACCGATCGCGCAACAGCGACCTGCTTGAAAGTATCATTGTCATCGTGCTGGACGCGTTGCCGGAGAAGCTCGCTGAGGTGCTCCTTCAGCTCGACCATGCCTTCTTCGATGATTCGCTGTACCTCTTCGGCGTGTTGCTGGCCATGGCCGTCACCGATAGACTTGTCGAGCGAATTATCAAGCTGCGCCTGGCTGACTTGGTCAAGCTTGCGGCCAAGTTCACGACCCATGCCTAGCACCTCGCCACGGAGGTCGCGGACCAGACCCTTGACCTCGTTGGTCGAGCCGCCAGCGTGCGCCACGGACTCTTTGATGCGCTTTAAAATGTTGAGGACCTCATCGTTGCCCGCTGGTTGGGTGTGCTCCTCTGTTGCGCCTTCGCGAGTAATCTTGGTGAGCTGACTCGGTGATTCGAAGTTCAATTCCAGTCTTGGTGGCCCGCCATCCTTGGGCATTGCCACGAGAGCTTGACTCTGCGGCTTTTGGTTCTGCTTGATGAACTCAGACAGCTCCTCAACCTTCTTGGCCGCAACTGTATTCTCCTTCTGGCTCTTCTCGAGCAGCTCCGAAAGAGTTGAAAGCAGCCGCTCCTGGCCTTCTTTTGTCACCATTTCGCGGATTATCTTCTCCAGCATTGCGACGCTCGCCGCCCCTTCAACCGAGTAAGGTGAGGGAGAGCCGATCCTGCCTTCCTCAAGGAAGCCATGCGCGCTTGACGATCGCGGAATACTCCACGTCTTCGTCGCTGAAGGTGGAGAGTTGAATGCCTTGCTGTCAAGAAAGCCGTAGCTGCTCATGTTTCGGTTGATCCCGCCCGCAAGAGGCGGTGGGCTGAGCAGGTTGGGGGTTGAGCCTACAACGTTCGCGAGCTCGCGCAGGCTCTTGCGAATGTCTTCGTCGCGCTGGTTGGTCGCCTCCTTGAGACTGATAAGGTCGGTCGCATTGTCTTTACTGCGCCTGCTCAAGCTTGCCATCTCCTTTTGCAGGCTTGTGGCGATGGACGTCAGATGCAGCAGCTGGCTCGAAAAGTCATACTGTGTGCTAACCCGTATTGGCGACGGAGTGCTTGGGCCATTGGTGATGTCGTGCAATGTATGCTCCGGTACCTGCATTGTCTGCAACGCAAGCATGGTGGACGAAGGAGGCGTGTTCTCGCTCAAGATTGACCTCGGTGGTTGTCGAGTTGAGGGCCGTAGAGTTGGCGTATCCTTCGTCAGGTCTCTGGGTCCCGGGGTCGGGGTTGACGAGCGTTCCGCAGACAGCGAGATTTCTTCTCTGCTCTCCTGCCTTGTAAAGCCAGGCCCACTTCGTGAGCTCGGCCGCTCTGGCGACCTGTCCGGGCTGCGATTGTTGTCGAGGTAGCTTCGGAGATCCTTGACGCTACCTGTCTGCAACGATTGCATGCGCTTGTGATGAGCACCTTTGATCAACGAACGTTCCGGCGATCCTTGCGGAGTAGGATTGTTGGAGGTATAAGAAGACAACGGCGCACTCTCGCGTGCCCGCTCAACGATCTGCTTTGCAGCCGCGGCAATACCGGCGGAAGTGTTCGCCTTGGTCGTCGGGCTGTTTGCGCCTGGCGGAATCGGTAGTGGTGGCGGTGCACGGTCGGGATCTGAGCTATCCCACCTACGTTTCAGACTTGTCAGTAGTTGCATCTTCACTCACGCGCGCGATGTCCGAATGCATGCGTTTCGGTGGATATGGGTGGTATCATGCGACTCGACTCACATGGGCACGCTTGACCTTCCACTCTCGGAGAAGGAATGCTGATGTCGGCCTGCGTGGTCACGGTCGCGAGAAGCTTCCCGCTCTACGCTCGCCATGCTGTTGGTACGGTCTCCGGTATAAGTCGAGCCGGTGATTGGAATGTTCACTTGGCAGAATGCAGCTTAGTCCTTGCCGCAGCGAGCGGACAATCGCATTGTAATCGCCTGCCACTTGATGTAGAGCGAGTGTGACAGCCGTTGGTGATGTCTCATACAAGGTGATAGGCTATCCGATTGTCGCAATGGCTCACTAATAAGAGCAAGCGTGTACCGGCTGCCCAAACAAACGTGGATGTAAACAACGGCGAGTTTCCGCTGAACGACCGGAACCTGCCGTAGTGGCCGGCGATAGTGTGGGTGATGCCTCAGACAGCAAGGCTCGGAGTCGGGACTTCTGGCGCCAAGACTCACGCACCTTGCCGCAGAATTCGCGACCGACAGCGCACTACGAAGGACATTGAACCGATTGAACAGCCACGCAGCGAAGCAGGGGACAAACGTTGCAGCAATGAAGTGTAGGTGTTCGATAAGCCGCATGTGTGTCTACTACTGCTAACACGATCACAGTCCTTAAGGTCGGCCGAGTGGTACGGAGCATACTCTGAAATACACCATCCACTACTCCAGATCCCTAACAAAACATACTGTAGGCCATCATCTCCCGCGGTCGCTACGCCGGGAAGAAAGTCGTCATCATCCAACCGCAAGACAACGGCAGCAAGAAGCATCCCTTCCCCCACGCCATTGTGGCCGGCATCGAGCGCTACCCGCTGCAAGTCACCCGTCGCATGTCGAAAGCGCGCTCCGCCAAGCGCAGCAAAGTGAAGCCTTTCATCAAGGTCGTCAACTACAACCACATCATGCCCACGCGCTACACGCTGGAGTTGGAGGGTCTGAAGGGTGCGGTCACGAACGAGACGTTTGGCGAGGTGAGCCAGCGGGAGGAGGCGAAGAAGACGGTGAAGAAGACCTTGGAGGAGCGGTATTTGAGTGGCAAGAACCGGTGGTTCTTCACGCCGTTACGTGAGTATATCCAGAAGTGGTACGTGGTATTACGGGAGACTGACAGTCGTTGCAGGGTTTTGAGCGATTTGTTGGGACGAGAGGAAGCATGGGAAAGGGCAATGCGGCGTTCAGTGTGACGTTTCCTGATATGTGTAGGCGGTCGCAATGCTGAAAGGCTCCGAGAGACAGCGCGAAACACTGCAATAACCCGTACCTTTCATTCTCAGCCTATGTCGGCCCAAGCACTCCCACACCCTCTCATGCTGCAAACTTCGGGGCTCCTATATTTTGGATAGTGACATGCGCACTCACTTCGATATCTGCGTAAAACCGAGGCGACGACAGACTTGACTCCATCTCTTCAACTCTGCCATCATCGGAGCCATAGCTGCATGGCGACATGACACTAACTGATCCTAACATGACTGCGTGTGGGCGGGTAAGGCTTGCACGGCCGGGTGGACTGAATTGAGAGCGCTGATCACATCCGCTATGCCCATGAAAAATGCTCGAGATGCAAATAGATATCCGCTTTGCCGCTCCTCATCGCTTCCAACTCTTGCTTTGCAACGGCATCCGCTACATCCTTCTGCATGCTCAGTGGGCCGCACACGAAGACGCCAACTGAGCCATGTACACTGGCTGAGTGAGCCTCGGAGCTGACAATGTTAAGAAGGCTAGGCCGCGAAGTATGATGGGCGAAGCCATGCGGCTGAAGGTGGTGCTTCGAACTCGACACATCGGAACTCGTCCGCCCACCGTCTTCAGCAACGTCTGCCGCAGCCTTCTCCGGGTCTTCGAGCTTGCGCAGCAACTGGCCTTTCGTCCCTGTAGCGTCGACAGCCGCCTCGCTACCTGTGAGATACACTTCCACAGACACCAATTCCAACATCCGGCCTGATGCATCACTGAGCAAGATCTCTCGTATAGCCGTCTCGAACCAGCATTGCGTAGCCAGGTCTCTTGTCGCCAAGATCACCCGCATGGACGGAGCCGCCTTGGGGCATGTTGCAAGCCGTCGGTAAAGCTCGATGACGAACGGTAGGATCCATCCGGCGCCTGAACCGCCCGCCACGACAAGCATTCTCTGGGCGGACCAGAGCTTGCGCAGGTCTACGCCACCGTATGGCCCGTCTAGCAACACGCCGATGGTTGCGGTCTTTTGCGCTTTGGCGTACTTGGCCAAGTGGGCGGTGAACCCTCCGCGAGGACGAATGTAGAAGATGAGCCTTGAGTTCGTTGAATCTGCCTCATCTGGCAGTGAGCACGCAGTGAACGGATGGACACTAAGAGCGTGCGCTCCCAATCCGGCAAGCCGGACAAAGTAGTGTTGTCCCACCGTCCAGCCTGACTTGTGCGGCACGGTGATCCGCACGAACCCGTTGGGCTCAAGACTGACGCTCGCCCGCCGAAAGCCATATTCCACGAAGACGCGGAGGTAGCGGTGCGCCCAGGAGAGCGTGAAGAAGGTGGCAGTCACGATGAGGTAGTCCCAGGACGATAGAGTGTAGTCGCAATGGAAAAAGAGGAAGATGACGAAGATCAGGGCGGCGAGGAAGTGGGTTAGCTTGAAGAACTCATATGATAGGCTGCTATGCTCTCGTCAGCGACGAAGCGAGGGCTCAGCAACAGACTGCACCTACCGAAGTGGTGCAAATGAAGCGAATGTCAACCAAGTCTGCGCCAGCAGCGCTATTACTCCGGTCCACCAGAACACGCTTGTGTTCCAATTCATCACGATCATGCCGCTCTGAATGCCGTAGACGATGAACGGGAAGGTATGTACCAACGCGGTTACGAACATGGCATAGCTTATCCACCTGTGGAAGACTTGCAGGTTCTCGTGCGAGATACCCGTCACCAGTGTGATCCAGTTACTCTTGCCTGACATAACCACGTCAGTAACGGCATTGACAGCAGGCAGTTCATTTCTGGTACCTGCGGCCATGATCACAAAAGGCAAGCACGCAAGCGACATCCAGCCGGAGCGGGTTGCGATCGGAGGCGACGAGCCGTAGTCCACTTCCGATGTGTTTGGCCAGTAGTACGGCTTAGGCGCGAGTGTCATGCAGAAAAAGTACAGCGTCCCGACAGCGCCGAGAAATAAGACTCCAACAGATGCCGAGTTCCAATTCAACCTCTCGATCCGAAAGCGTCGGTAGGAGGCATAGCGGCACAATGCCAGGAAGCGTTTTACTGATGGTGTACGCAAGACTGACAGGGGCGTGAGCTGCATGGCAAGCCATCCGGATGCGAAGAGGACGATGGTTGAGGTAAAGAGGGCAACTGTTGGCAGAGCGTAGCGATGGTCTGCCTCGTACCTTGAGCAGTATCAGCATCTGTTGTACGTGCTTCCAGTGTAGTCGATGAAGGCTGACCAGAAGCGCCAGTAGCCTTGCTCAAATGCGCATTCCTCGGTGGTGTTGAGGGTGCATTCATACTCCCGCCAAGCGTGTAATTTAATGGGCCAACCCAACCACGATGTCGGCATCGTTACCCAGATTTGCGGTTACACTTCTTGGAGCGTTCTATGTAGCTTTCGAGTAGGAATCCGCAAGCTCGCACTGTTTGCAATCGAGTGGAATGAAGTTCGGGCTATGGCGTGGTCTTCTGTCTTGTCTTCAGCAGCCCTTTCATGGTCCTGCAGCTAACGCGAGCAAACTTGCTCAGCGCCAGCGCCACATCCTTCCCAGTTGCATATCGTTGAGTACTCGTCCGAATGAACAACAACTCCAAAGAGCGCATTTGACCGCAATTTGACGCATATCAGCGTGTTATTGACGAAGGAGTAGATGGTTCCTCGCACTCAAATTGGCACTTGTAGCACGGTCCGCGGGTCTAACCACGCCCCCTTCACGAACCTTCTTCACTACAATCTGGATCTGGAAACATGGACATGAGCTCGACGATGACGGGGATGACAATGGCCACCTCTACCATGGCTGCAATGCCTTCCATGACCTCGGCATCTCCGGGTATGGACATGGGGTCTTCCGGTATGATGGCGATGAGCGACATGATCATGGTGTTCTTCTCGTCTTCATCTACGCCACTCTATTCCGAGCGCTGGACGCCGAAGACCACCGGGCAGTACGCGGGAACTTGCATTTTCCTTATCATACTTGCGACCATCTTCCGAGCCCTGCTTGCCGTTCGAGGCAACATTGACACGTTGATGGCACGGTGGCATCACAGACACCATACGAGCCTACCACAAAGTGACGTGGCGGAGGCAGCGAAACACCGAGCACTTGACCGGGCTCCGTGGAGAGTCAACGATGCGCTCCTTCTGGCCACCCTTGACACGCTGTTGACTGGTGTCGGGTATTTACTGTACGTTCAGCCTCGTAAGCTTCCATTGCTGGGTAGTCGAAGCGAGCTGACAACTCACATAGTATGCTCGCCGTCATGACGATGAATGTGGGCTACTTCCTATCGGTGCTTGGGGGTGCGTTTCTGGGGAGCTTCGTCTTTGGTCGCTTGGCTGGGCCTGCGGCGCACTGATGGTACAGTATCGTGACTATATCGAGCTGGGGAATCGACGAACTTACGAATGCAATCAGGTTGATTGAGCTAAAGATCGATTCGAAAACAGGAGCAGATCGCAAACGTCCCCAGCGCCCAAGACGTGGTTTGTTCTTGCCTGTCTGCCGGTCATGGACTCATGGAGTCATGTCGCCTCGCGGTTGACGCTGAAATCGCTGGCAGCCTTCACCACACTCAAACCGCTAGCTTCTGTCTCAACAGTCCTACCTCTACCTTCAGCATTCGCATCCTGTCTTTTTCGCGAACGGAACGGCCGCGCCATACGCTTCGAATTGCCGCTGTGCGAACCACGCCCGTTCGGCTGGCAGCCATGCTGGCCACGACAAGCCCAAGGTGACTGTTGCAGAAGCCATGGCTGGTTCCACTCGTCGTCACTTCCCCACGGCGGCGGCACCGCATGGTCCAATGACGGTGCTTGCGTCCTGTTGACGTAGCTTGCGCCCCACCATCCGCCTATCATGCCGGACGAGTTACGTGTTGACAGTGCTGCATTCGCGTTGTGTTCGATCCAGGATAGATAACCCGCGCAGTTGCTGGTGTGTTGATTCGCGAGCGAAGATGGAGCAAGCTTAGTTACACCCGCAACCAATGGTTTGGTTGTTGGGAGTGGTTCGCAGAACAGGTCAAGGTGATGGAAGTAGATGCCCTTGAACGCCTGAGCATCCTGCGTGCAGTTGGCGGGAGCGTCACAGTAGTCCTCCATGATGCCGTTCCTTCCCAAGCCCGCCCATACGCCAGCTTCCAATGGAGAGTGCGCGTTCCAGCCTGTGGCGTTGATGACAGTGCTTACAAGCACATAGCCGTCTGACAGGTACATCGCATCGCCCGTGGCTTCCCATAGCCCTCGCAGTCCTGAGAGAATGACGCCTTGGTTGTACGTGTACACCATCTCATTACGCTCATCGCATGTGGTCTGGTTATCAGAGACGTGGAAACCATCAACCACCAGGCCTTGCGCGTTGGTGAAATTCTGGGTCTTGAACCACTGATATTCCTTCTGCGCATTGCTGAGCAGTAGCGGGTCATGTGCCGCAAGTGTCGGAAGGGCGGGAAGCGTGGCATTAGTGGCGTTGGTATAACTAGGGCTTGGATAGGGATTGCTATTGTCGTCGCCAGGATAGTATAGATACATACCAATAGAGCTTGCGAGGAAAAGCTCATTGGTAATGGCATTCTTGTACGGCGCCAATGCAGGATTCCAGGTTATTCCGCCTCCGCATAGAGACGTGTCGAACTGGTTCTGCACGATGTTGTAGAAGATGTGCGCACGGTGGGCGAAGCGGGCAATGTCACTCTGTCCAAGAGTCGACTTGGCATGCGAATCGTACTTGTTGATGAATCTGATAGCTTCCAGCCACTCAAGGACAACCCACTGAGCATCATCGTACGCCGCTCCGAATATCTGGACCACGTCCTCGTCGCCGTAGTATGCTTCGACTTCCGAGTAGTAGCTCAGGATATCTGCGTTGATTGAGGAACCGCCCGTCTTTGCACCTTGGACGTTACCGTCATACTCTTCGAGAGCCCCAGTCAACGAGCGCTCAGAAGCTATGAGAAGCGTATCTATGAACGCGCCTATCCACTGTATTGTGGTCGGCCAGTACGTTCCGTTCCAGTATGTTTTCTGCATGGTGGCGAGAGTGTCTTGGAACTCATCGAACCAGTAACCGAAGTCTTGTCTTGAGCCGGGCGACTGCCATGGGTACTCATTCGACTGTTCATTGCTTGTTGTATTGGTCTGGTTAATTTGCGCCTTGGTGAGGCTCACGCCGACCAGCAGAGTTGAGAAACTATAAGGCAACAGCATAGTAACTGTTACGAAGCTCAAGGCGCCACATAGGACCAAGATGCCCCATCCGCGCATTGAGCGGGAAGAGGCCGCCGAAGTATTCAGCCATGGCAAGTCCGGCATCTGCACTCATGGCGATCCACCGCCTAGATCCGTGGTGCAGACTCTGCGAATAGTAGACACTGCAGCTGGTTAGAAGGAGGAAGGAGGGACAAAGAGCGAAATTGGACGCTAAAGGTCCGAGGTATTGTGTCCCGCAGATGGAGTAATGATCTTTCAATATACCGTAGGAGAATGAATGACGACTTTGTGCTTGCAATGCTTTCCATCTGACTCCCACCTTTGACGTGCCTTGCCCACAACCTCAAGAACGGATGCGAAGGCTTGATGACGTGCCTACTGACGTCCAGATGCGAGCGAGGCGACCTGAGCTGAGGAAGGTATCACGTGGCAGCCGGTCACGTGACCGACCCAACATGCCCTGCGTTGTTGCCGGACTCCGTTCGTCACACTCTCTCTTCCTGCCAGTTTTCTTTTACCACCCCCTATTTGCTTTATCACCCGCTACCTTTGTCAAGTGCGCGGCTGACACCTCAAGACACGCTCCCATGAGCAGATGAGGTCGATTTGCAAGTCTTGCGCACTTTAATACGTTCCTTCAGGGTTTGCGATCCTTCTCCAGAAGCCAAGAAACACATCCTGCGACATTCTCGGCATGCTTTCCGTAGAAGCGACGTCCGAGGGGTCCCATCCTCGCTACAACCCACTGCGAAAGTTGCCAGCTTGCTGCTGACATATGGCATTGCTGACGTCTGCCAATATAAAACTTCAATCAAGGGTGTAGGTATACAGCGAATGTCTTGCCGTATCCGACGTGATTCTTCGCTGTGGCATGCTTGCCCAGCCCGGACAGTCTTGTCGTTGCGGGGATCGTTGTCAGCACGCGTGATCATCGCGAGACGTTAGCGGAGCACACGAGACGAAACGTCGCGATGCGCATCTTTGAAGGTAAGGATCGCCGACAAGAATCTTGGCCGAAGGATGAGCAGGGACGGTATCGCGCTCTCTTATGTCGAAGCACCCGCCCCTCCCATCTCAAGGCCGATTTTCTTCTCCTTCGCCTCCTCATACCTCGTCTCAGCCCATAACGACGACCACTATGGCAGAAAAAGACGACTCTACCTCCTACAAGACAGCAGATGAATCCACCGCACATGACTATATAGAAAGCCGTGACAAGGAAGAACATGTCCTTGATATCAACGGGATCGACCGGCGTAAGCTCAATTCGAAACTCGAAAACCCACTCGCGCACGTCTCGCGTGCCAAGTTACTGGAAGATGTCGAGACGTTCTGCCGGCAGCACGATCTCAACGATGACCTGGAGTTGTTTAGGAGAGCCGCGCTTGTTGCACAACGGCCGCACGCCTTCCAGGAGATGGCAGAGCTAAACGATGACGAACGACGCGCTCTTGAACGCGAGTCGACGCATAAGTGGGACCATCCGTGGCAGCTCTACTTCCTAGTGTCCATGTCTTCCATGGCCGCCTGTGTACAAGGTATGGATGAGTCTGTCAATAACGGTGCTCAAGCCTTCTATCTAGAGCATTTCAACGTTACATCGACAAACCTAACAGGACTTATTGTTGGTGCACCATATCTCGCCTGCGCTATACTCGGATGTTGGCTTACTGAGCCTCTCAACAAGATCTTTGCACGGCGAGGCACGATCTTCATCACATGCTTCATCGCCGCAGTGGCTTCGATATGGGAGGGTGTCGCCAACTCTTGGGTCAATCTTTTCATCGCTCGCTTTGTCCTAGGACTCGGGATTGGATCGAAGTCAAGCACTGTACCTGTCCGTCAGACCCTATCCGCAACCCGTGGCATGTATGCTGACGGATCAGGTCTACACTGCCGAGTGCGCTCCAGCACCAATTAGAGGAGCTCTCGTCATGCAATGGCAAGTTTGGACGGCTTTCGGCATCATGCTGGGCAACATCATGGGTGTCGCTTTCGGCGGCCTTGAACCAAATCTCGCCTGGCGCATGATTCTTGGCTCGACCGTCGTGCCTCCTCTCATAGTCATGGCTCAAGTCTACTTCTGCCCCGAGAGGTAGGCTGTCTGAAGCCGGTTGACCGTACCTCCCAGATGCTGACTGTAGTCGTAGCCCGCGCTGGCTGATACAGCACCGTAAAGTCAACAAGGCCTTTCGAGAGTTCAAGCGCATTCGCAATACTGAGCTACAAGCAGCCCGCGACCTGTACTATACCTACATCGGTGTCGAGTTGGAGCGTCAAATGAACAAGGGAAAGAATCTTTTCACACAGTTCTACGAGCTGTTCAGCGTTCCGCGCAATGCTCGTGCGACTCTCGCGACATGGATTGTAATGTTCGGACAGCAATTCTGTGGAGTGAACATTATCGGCATGTTTTCATTCCCATACTGCGCTGATGTCCGCTGACGTTTCGCTCGCTGCAGCTTACTACTCGACGACCATTTTCGAGCAAGGCGGTTACGGCAGGAACCCAGCACTACTCGCGTCGATGGGCACTGGTATACTGAATTGGGTCTTCGCACTGCCCGCCTTCTTCACGATTGATACCTTCGGGAGACGTAACCTCTTGCTTACGACGTATCCATTCCTCTGTCTGACACTGCTGTGGACCGGCTTTTCATTCTTCATCCCACAAACTCGTCCGCAAGCACGAACGGGCATGATAACGGCCGGCATGTACGTTATGGCTGAGTAATGAGCGGAACGGGACCATGCTGACCGCTGTAGGTACCTCTACGAATGCTTCTACTCTCCAGGCATGGGACCCGTACCCTTCTCCTACTCCGCCGAAGCCTTCCCGATGCAAGTGCGCGACGTTGGCATGTCCTGGGCCACGGCCACGACTTGGTGCTTCAACTTCATCATAGCCTTTGCATGGCCTAGCATGCTGGAGCAATTTGGACCGACTGGTGGTTTTGGCTGGTACGCTGCATGGTGCGCCATCTTATGGTGTCTAGTATTGCTTTTCCTGCCGGAGGTAAGAGATTCTGCATCTGCGGTGATGACTGTGCTGATGGGCGGCCTACAGACGAAGGCTCTTACGCTCGAGGAGCTTGATCATGTCTTTTCAGTGCCAACATATAAGCATGCTCAATACCAACTCAAGGTCGCAAGGTGGTACATGAATAAGTGGTTCCTTCGTAAGAAGCAAGAACCACTGCCGCCGTTATACGAAAGCGCGGAGAAATTATAAGGGTGGCAGCGCGACGAAGCCGTCAAAACGTCCTCTTCTTTTACGTAGATGCACAGCACCCGGGTCTGAAATAACTGATCAGCGAATATTCACCACTGTCAGACTCTTGGCGAGCTCCCTGATATTTGATACACTGCCCATGTCCACTCTGGATTAGAGCCATGCAGTAACGCAACACCTGAAAGGGGCTGTTCGAAGTTATCATTCGTTTCCCAAGGAGTTCGAGACGAAAGAGACGTTGATAAACGGTCTTCACCTCATGGCTCAAGCCAAGGTCAGCACTGCCGGTTATATATTTTGCTGTGGAAGGTGCGCCTCCGGTGTCGTACAGGCTGCACTATCTACGCCTTTGCGGTATTACCTTCAGATATGCTAAGTTGAACAACCGCCCAGCCTAGCCTCTCATGCTGGACAGGATGTGGCGTGGGCAAAGCTACTGACGACTATATCAACAAGGGATAAGACACTGGCCACGACAACGAACTCGACCACAACCTCGAGCATTGACCGTGACTCCGACCACGATACCGACTTCGCGCTCGCGACGTTGCCATCGACCACGCCATCCACCGATCTAGAAGCGGTCGATTGACCAGACTGTGGACCAAGTCGTCGAGCCGACTGTCGACCAGCCTATCGACCATATGCACGACCTGGTAACTCATCAGTCTGTCGACCAGTCGATCGACCAGACTATGGACCACATGTTCAACGACGGTCTACCATGTCGTTCAGCAAAGCGGTCAGCACACGATGTTCGTTGTTATCACCCTCGTAGCCTACAGTCTTGCCGCATCTGGTGGAGGTAAACAGCTACAACTTCCGCCCATAACACGCCACCGCGGCGTACCTGTTGGCCCGCCCTGCCTACCACTTCGCACACACTTGTATGTAGCCATGGCTCATACTACCTTCGCATGTTTGTTGAAGCCGTGTCTGAGAATGATTCGGACATGAAGCCGTGGCATTGCGCATGCTGTTGTGGAGGTAACGCTACCAAATTGCAGTGAAATGTTGACAGTAGTGCATTCGGCATGCCTACACCGAATGGAAAGGCATGGTAGAAGCGGAAGCGGTGACCAAGATGATTGATACAGAATCAGGATTCTGGTCCTCGTCTGCGAACAACAGGCTGAACGGTAGCCATGGCGGAGATGTTCTTAGAAACGCACAGCGCGAGTCAATGATGGACAGTCTACATATATAAGCGTTAATGCACGATGCCGATCCTCCATGCGGAGTACATGTGCTCTATTCCCCTACACGACTTTGCTCATTCCCGCGGTTCGAGGCAACGTGAGGGGTAGCCGAAGGAGAACGCGCGAACACTCGAGGCCTCTGTGGTGGCGGGACGCTCCATTGAGCCGTAGAAGCAATGCTATAAGTTCAGTGTCTCCAAAACCAGAACAGTCTCGCTTCCATCATTACCGTACTAGCGAAAAGTATTGAGAGACAATATGCCGGGATTCACTAATGGAGCCAATGGACATTCGGGCTCTGCCCTATGCTCCCTCGATGAGTTTGTCTCTCAGGAGTATGACTATGTAATAGTCGGTGGCGGCACTGCAGGTCTTTGCGTGGCCGCCAGATTGACGGAGAATCCAGATGTCAAGGTCGGAGTTCTCGAGGCCGGTGCGAACCGTATGGATGACCCGCAGATCAGCACACCGAGTCTGTATCCCACACTGATCGGCCGAGAGAAGTATGACTGGTGCTTCCAGAGCGTCGAGCAGCCGACAGCCGGGAACAAGCGGATGTCGCAACCTCGCGGGAAAGTCTTGGGCGGTTCGTCGGCCATCAACTACCTCATGTACGTCCGCGGGTCGAAGGAGGACTATGATGGCTGGGAGTCGTTAGGAAACAAAGGCTGGGGCTGGGAGGGTATGGCGCCTTACTTCAGGAAGCACCAAACGGTCGACATAACCGGAAAGGAATCGAAGAACCAGAAGTTCATGCCGATTGCCGCCAAAGACAAGTACCACGGTACCAACGGCCCCATTCACACTTCGTTTAATGACTATTACGAGGTTAGAAGCGACGTTGTCCTTTCACTCACATGGTTACTGACCTTCTGTAGCCATTTGAAGAAGACTTCTGCACAGCGGCCTACGAGGTGGGCGGCAAGGAAAGCACGCTTGAAGATGCCTGGTCGGGGGATCATATGGGCTTCTACTCATCGCTTGCCGCCGTCAATCGAACGGACGACAAGGGCAAGCGAAGCTATGCCGCCACGGGCTATCTCCGACCGAACCTTGGGCGCCCGAATCTTAAAGTGCTGACGGAAGCTTTGGTGACGAAGGTCGTGCTCAATGGTAAGGCGGCTGAAGGCGTAGAGTTTGTGCACGACGGTCAGAGGAAGACCGTTAAGGCCTCCAAAGAGGTCATTGTATCTGGAGGAACAATCAGCAGCCCACAAATCCTCGAGCTTTCTGGGATTGGTGATCCAGAAGTCTTGCAGGCCGCTGGAGTGGAGTGTTTGGTCGAGAACAAGCGCGTCGGTGAGCGATGGATTGGGAGCGTCTACGAGGATGGGAGCTGATGAGCGTCCAGGTGCCAACTTCCAAGACCACGTCCTCGGTGGCATGCTTTATGACCTGAAAGAGGGCGTCCAGTCTCTCGACTCATTGCACGACGAGGAATATCAGAAGGCCATGGATGAAGTTTATCAGAAGACCGGAGAGGGCCCGTACGGCTCACCCGGCATGCTGATGGGCTTCGTCTCATACGCCTCGTTGGTTGGGGAAGAAGAGTTGAAGCGGACCATCGACGAGATCCGAAAGAATTCATTCGCGAAGACGCAGTTCGAGAAGGAGCAGGAAGAGGTTATTATCCGCCAACTGTCGAACCCAAACTTTGCGAACATCCAGACTTTCTGTGAGTGATCCCTTAGAGATATTGAGTCGGTATAAGCTGACTCTATTAGGCATCGGATGTCAGCTGGACGTGAGCGGCGGAGATTCTCAGATTCAGTTCTTCTCGGCGCCGCCGAAGGGAAAGTAAGTGGCAGACTGCTGGGTAAGGTGTAGCGCGCCACTAACACTATGTGTCCTCATTATAGAACGCGGGTGTCGCTTCTTGTCTGCCTCGAGCATCCGCTGTCTCGTGGCACGGTCCACATCACGTCATCCGACCCAGCTCAACACCCTCGCATTGACCCTGGCTACCTCCGCAACCCAGCAGACGCTAAGATACTAGCCGAAGCCATCCAGTGGATGGATAAGGTTGCCAATCAACCCGTCATGAAGAAGAGCCTCGGAGAGCGAGTCTTGCCGCCGCAGAATACGAGCATTGCTTCGGAAGAGGAGCGGATCGAATATGTCCGCAATCATATCTCAACGCAGTATCACCTTATAGGCACCTGCACAATGGGGGAGGTAGTCGACGATCACTGCAGGGTGATCGGTGCTGAGAAGCTCCGCGTCATCGATGCCTCGATTATGCCCGGCCACGTCTCTGGCAATATTATGTCCACCACGTAAGTCAAGTCCAGGCGGAAATGGACGGAGCTGCACTGACACGTCGACCCAGATATGCCCTTGCCGAGAAGTCGGCAGACATACTCAAGGCGGACGACGGACGCTATTTGAGCAAGGTGGACTCGGCGGTAGCATGAGCTGTGTACCATTTCGGCTTGGTACGTGTTACACGTTGGCTTATCTGTAGAGGCAGATCATCTGTAAAGGTAGCCGTTGCTGCACGCATTACCATAGTAGTCGAGCTCTTCGTCAGCTCGCGTACCGCTACCCGGGCGTACAACTTGCACGACCCCGTCCCAGTAGCCTTCCGTCCCGTGCATGTCACCACCATCCTGCAGGGCTCGGCGATGGGCTAGCTTTCGCTCCGTGCGGAAGGCTGAGATCCTGGCTACAGTATCGATGCGATCACATCCTTGCACAGTCTGAGGAGGCGGTAGCGGCGGAGCACTACCTGGGAGTATTACTTCTTTGCCATCATGACACACGCCATTCGCGGAACGCCTGGGTTCGAGACTTGGGAAATTCAACTCCTCGCCCTCGCCGAAGAAGCTGAAATCCGTCTCGGCAGCCGACCACAGTGCTTCGCTGTCACGGTCTTCGGTCATAGATCTGGTGTCAATATGTTGCCAAGCGCTGGCTTTGCTCTTGCTGCGAAGACCGGGCTCTGGCGCAATTTCAAGCACAACTTTTCTGAGCGCAAAAGTCTTGATCATTGACTGTCGAATTGCCGAAGTGTGCCCCTTGCGGCCTGGTGGCAGAGCATAATCCAGATGTGCTTGCGTCTTCGCCAGCTCTGCTTCTTCGGCGCAGTGCTTGATGAACAGGATGAGCCTGTTTGAGAGCTCTTGGTTATCTGTGTAGGCAGGCACATCGGTCAACATCAGCGTAGAAACATGAGGCAGCATCGCAGGATGGAGGTTATGCTTTTCATTGGTATGGGCTTGTAGCCTCGCTTTGCGTTCGGTTGCAACAGAAGAGTAAGTACGTGGACGGCCTGCCCTGCTCATGCCATCTGCGAACTGAACGTTCGCCATGAGTGGACTCAGTGGGGAGACTGTTGTGGGCAAGCCATCCATGGTGCTATCGCCAAGCGCCGATAGCGGGCATAGGAGTGTCTCGCTTCCGTCCGCTGTAGTCACTGGACTGAGCACCTCAGGTGCGAAAGCGCTGCCTCTCCGAGCACTTAGAGGCTCTTGGTGTTGCTCGGCTGGATAGACCGGCCCATTTACCGCAGGTGATACAACGATTTGCATCGGATCCCCCGGAAGCTCGTGGCGAGGAGTTTGAGCAGTTGGCATCTCGAAGCACTCCCTATGCGCTGATGTAGTAGCAAGCTCCACAGGCCCATCGGGCAAGTCCGGTAGGGAAGTATCTCCAAGCTCGACGCGGCCTTGCACAACTTCATCCGGATTGGCAACCGGGACGTCTTTCGTGACGAGGGCGTGATCGATTCGAAGGAAACTCAAGGCTTCTGCAGCATGCTTCGCAAGGAGCGGAGTAAGCTTCTCCATGCCGGGCACATTTACGGCATCAGTTCCATCCCCTTTCCCCGAAGCCGATAGGTGTTTGACAATGACAGGCGCTACCGGGCCAAGATCCAAGACGTGTAATCTTCCGGAACGGACAAGACCAGATGCACCCTCGACAGTCACCGCGTTTGCCGAGATGTACAAATGGGTAATGCCACCATCCGGCACGTCTTCGATTGCAAGTCTGCTGACAAAGCTGCTAGTAAAAGATTTGCGCAGAAAACCTTCGAAATCTTCGCCTTGGTAGATGTGCAGCATCTCAGTTCCCAAGTATGGCAGCAGTGCAGGTGATCTTCCGCCTGAAGGGACGACGTCGTTGTTCGCAAAGCAGTAGTCGAGGAGAATACGTATCCCCCGATCAGTGATGCGATTGTCACGAACGTCAAGGCTTCTCACGCGCAGCGCGATTGACTCAGCAAGCACTTTCAGACTTTCGTCGCTCAGGCTTACGCCGCGCAACTTCAGAACTTGGAGGCCATACAGTCGACCCAAGGTGTGCAGGACGACGGAGTCACGTGCAGGATAAGTGAAGGACAAATCAAGATACATTAGCGACTCAAGCCGAGACAGTGCGTGAGCCAAGCCACTGGATGTAGTGTTCGAGCATCTTGAAGCATCCAAAAGTCGCAGGCCGAAAAATGGAACGGCAGTGGCTGGCCGACTGAAGCTCGCTACATATAAACCCGGAAGCTCCACCGCGTTTAATGGCGGCTTAATATGCTGCGGTTTCGGTTGCGCTGTGCCAACGCGGAGTAAAGCTGCATGGTCGAAGAACGGTAACCCTCGTACTATCAGCGTCTGGAGATTTGGAAGACGGTCCAACACCTCCGAGAGCCAATCTGCGTGTGGACCATTGTAGATTTCGGCATGTGCAGGTGGCAGGTGCAGCGTGTGGGTAAGCGATCTGACAAACAGGCGTGCAGTTTGCAGCGTACGCTTGAACTTGGTTAAAGCGACATAGACTCTGTCATTTTCAACCGAGAAGTGGGATGCTGGAGCTCCCCATAGATGCGGAACGAAGGTCATATGCCATTGACTGCATACTGAGGCTGCCGAACACAAGTCGTTTGAGGGAACATATCGGGCCACGATATCCCAGATGTCGATCAAGGTGGCCTTCTCATACGTTGGTGGCGCCGCCTCCATACTGCTTCACGGAGAGCGTGTATGTGACAAGTAGTGCTTGCGTTATTCATGTTGGGTGTGACGAAGACGCTCGCGTGAAGGAGGTGTGCAGTTGATCGACTGCAAAGGCTCGGCAGGATTCTGCCAAGACCGGCCCAGCACTTCTCTTATTGGTCGCTTCCCTCAGCGGCCCCCCCTTCCCCCCTTCTCTCCGTCTTCTTTGAACCTCTTACGATACGCCACCAGACGATCAATCACGTTGCAATCATTCCATACCTCACTTGAACCGTGACCAGACAGTCTTGGTAGTCCGACCTGCTCAATGACAAAGCTTGCAGCGACCTGTCCACAAATGGCGCCTTCAAGGAAACTTCCCGTTTCCAGCCAACCAATTATGAAAGCGCCCAAGAAAGCGTTTCCAGCGCCTGTAGCATCAATGATCTTCCCCGAGCCGGGTTCATAGTATGCTGGCAGCCAGCGAGCCTCCACCTGGCGTGACATGACCAAGCAGCCATGACTTGCCGCACGAACAATTATGCAGCCTTCTCCGTTAGTACCGATACCTGCATCGAGAAACATTGCAGCATGTCGCTCAATGACGGCCTTGTCAAAGGTCGCCGTGGCGTCTGCGAAGAAGCTTGCAAGCTCTAAGTGGTTAGGTGAGAACACATTCACCGAGGAAGCTGCTTGCTGATGCGCGGAGAGCGTGTCCGGCCGGCATGACTTAGCTTCGGGCTCCCAAACGACAAAGGGTCGGGTTTGGCTATGATGATTGGCTTGGCGCAATCGGACAAGGTGCGACACTGACTCTTCTACGTACTGCGCTGTGCCGAAGAAGTGGAAGGCACTGGCCGCAAGCAGTCGCGTGCCTGACAAATCATCCACTGTTATTGGCAGCGGCTTTGTAAGGCGCTCGAAGCCTTTCCGCTCATCGTTGGCCTCGTCGTAGAACACTACACCTCGCGCGGATGGGGCCTTGACATGTTTCAGATCAAGTGTCACACCCCAGCTTCGGAAGAGCTCAATGACATCCGGTGGGAAATCTGCGCCAGCATGAAAGACAAGTCCGATTGATCTTGGTTCATCGGGCACGAAGAGTCGTGCTCCCACCGTAGCGAATGTGACTGAGCCGCCGGGCACATCCCTGATTGGTTGTTGACCTGTTCTCCTGATCTCATCGAGCCAGACGCCGTTGCCCAGGGCCACAAGCCGGATGACGCTACTGCCAGACATGGTGAGCGGCAAGAAGATGGGTAGTAGCAATATCACGAGCAGCTCTGAGTAACGGCGTGAAACCTCTTATTCAGTGGTTAGTGTCAAGTGAGCCGTGGCACACTTGTGTCCGTCTCTGTCTCGTGAACATGATTGTCTTCGTTGTGTGCTTCTTTCACGCTTCTTCACCGAATAGTAGTATCAAGAAAGAGCGTGGCATCCGACAAACGGAAAACGGCGCGAAGGTGACGCGGGCGCACTGACCTCAGTTACCGATGCGAGAGCTGAAGCTGCATTGGCGTATTCCGGTTTATATGAAGGCAATCGTGACCGTAGGATCTAGTGTTGCTGGGAAACGGTGAAGGTTACAGCGAGCCGATACCGATGCACATACATTTAGCTTGCGGGGATCTAACCCGCGCACCATTGCCCCTGCTCTCGACGAGTTACCTTTTCGCACTCTCTTACTCTTGGAACTGATGCACATAGCTCGGCGCATACGTAGCATTCCTATACGAATTGCCACCATACTCCAGATACCCGGCCGCATCCGGCCAGGGAATGCGCGCAATCTGCTCGTAGTCGCCCATTACCCACACACTCTGCACACCCATGAGCATATGTCTGGAGGAAGCCTGAGTGTCAGCAATTGGTCTATCCATTCGTGTCGAAGGAGAGTCACTAACTGCAGCGTGTGGCAGTGTATCATCCAAACACCAGGGTCGTCGACCCGTAACCGCCAGCCTCGCCAGCCGGTGGTGTAGTTGGCGATGCTTTGCGCCTCGTACCGGTACAAGTTGGTGGTGTCTCGCAGGACAGGCGTGTAGTTTGCCAACTTGGCCTCATTGGCGTCGACGTCGTACGTCCCATTCCCGCTTCCAATATCTTAGTAATGTCCGCCTTGAGCGTGGAAGGCTGGAAGTCCACACCGCCGTTGTTGAGCACGAGCGAACCGGTGTTGTACCAGATGATCTCGAGCACCTCACCCAACTTCGCCGGCCATGTTAGAGATACTGGATCCCAGCCTCCCGTCTCGTCCACGGCGGCCGTCAAGTTGGGCACGGCTGAAGGTCCATTCTCGTAGATGTTTACAAAGTAAGGCTTGTCACCCGGGTAGGGGCTGGAAGATGTATTCCATTGCAGACCGTTCAGACGCCAGATGTCGGTATAGGTGCCTATTTGGCGGTCATAGGTGTAGACGCGTCTTGTCACTTCGCTGGCGGTAGGGAAAGTTGTTGGGCACAAGCGGCTCGAGAGCGTATTTCAGCCATGCGTAAGTGGCGTTAGGCAAAGCGAACGGCGGAGTCGCTGGCCCCGTGTTGATCTGAGCGGTAGCGTTGTTGTATCGCAGGACGCCGTAGCCGTGATAGACTGTCGGTCGATCCTTGCTTTCGAATCGAATGAGGAAGTCTGTTTGGCCGCCGAGCTCCACCGCCGATTTGGCCTTAAATATGACTTCGAAGCGCTGGCCCGTCGAGACTTGCATGTACGATTCGGTGTACGGCCTTGTGTACTGGCCGTCAGCAGCGACGATTGTGAAGTTGGTGTGATTCGTGATTGCCAATTGGACCATGCTTAGTGCTGAGCTGCCGATGGAGCGCATTCGGTACGTCTTGCCGGCATCAACGTTGATCACGGGGAGGGAGCAGTGCGGTGTACCTGCTTTCTCGCCAACGGACACGCCGACGCCATTGATCTGCAAACCGTCTGTCAGTCTTTCGCGGTTTTGCCGTTAAAGGTACGTGGGTCAGCTTCTACCAAGATCGCATTCGTCTCCCCACTCCACGTGAATGGGTTCGACACCAGTCCCTGCTCAATTACAGGGTCCGTTTTGTTGAAGTAATCTGTGAATTGTACAACCCTCTCCTCATCATAAGCGTACGGCGGTACGCCCCTGTCTTCTACGATGAGCGGCCCAGTAGCGCTAACCGCCTGGAACCCGACGTGCGAGTGGTAGAAGTAGGTCCCGAAGTCGTTGATGAGAGGGTGCACTTCGTAGTCGAGGAAGTGGAGGGGTGGAATCGGCCATTGTGTTGCAGTGGGCGCCGTCGCTAAAGATGGCTGTGCGTTGCGAGAGGCCGTGCCAGTGAATCGTAGCATTGAACTGTGTCATATCATTGTACACCCTGATCCAGCTCGTCCGGCCTGGCCGCAGTCGCAGCCCAGGCGCAGGTGGGGTGCCGTTGATGAGAACACTTGGCCGAAATTGGCAGCCGATTGACACATTCTCGTAGGTGAGATGGAGGATGTGGTCAGGAAGAAAGGTGGCGTTATGGGCGATGGGCGGTCCGTAGCTGCCTCGCGGCTTCCACTGTGGATGGCCCCAACTATGTTCAGACGGAGGGCCGGATGGAGCACCTGGTGGAGGACCTGCGTACGCCGTGATAAGAAGGGTGGAGAAGAGGAGAGCGAGAAGTGACTTCATGTTGATCTGATTTGTAAAGGCGCTCTTACGAGACGACAACGCGCGGAAAAGTGCTCAGGAGCTTACCTTGCTTACTGTATTTATTACATGCTACGTTCAACATACTGCTCGTTCCCCGGCGAAGGATGCTACACCTGGGAGACTGTGACGTGTTGTCTTGCGAGAAGTGCACGTGGCTCAAGGTACGGATTCTTGTATTGTCGGCCCCAATCACGTTGGTTGAACTGCATATCCAAGATGGGTAAGCGCTCAAGCAGACCTAGCATACTTGCCATCGGCATTTTCGCCGGCCCCTACTAACAGGTCAGCTCATGGGGCGGATGCAGCACCACAGCTAGGGATTTGCTGGTGGGATCGTCGATAATGGAGGTGGCACTTTGTGGTCGCATGTTTGAAGGATTCGAGCTAAAGTTTCGAGGGGCTTCTGGCCCCAAGTTCGCGCAACGGCGTCCTCGGTGCCGATGAGCTGATCCACTTGACCAGTAGTGCAGCGTTCGTGACAAGATTCCGTTTTGGATCGTGATACTGCTTTATGCGACTTCGGGGACACGGAGAGTCTTCGCGACAGCCATGCAATACGGTCCTTGAAGGCCGCCGGCTTGATGCGTAGGTTCAGCAACGCGGCATGACATATTCGCAAGGACACCAAGCGTGCCGGAGCGAGCATGTCGCGGCATTAAGAAGTGCTCGCGACGTTCGCCACCATTGCCCTCAGTCGCTCGGGTGTTCCTGCCGTGCTGGTACGCAAGGCCACGGCAACCACTCTGTCACGCTGGTTCTGTCGCATCGATCTCGCGACCCAACTACTTGCGAGAGTCTGTTCGGAGCTTCGGGCTAGCTTAACCAGGCCTCAAGCGCTCGATTGGACGTGCAAGACGCACCGAGACTTGCCATGCTGAGGCGGTTATGTTCGTGATTGTGACCAGCTTATGCGGCCACGCAGTGCTCGACACGGAGAAGAGACTGAGCTCATCGTCGGCGCGGTAGGAAGATGATGGTGCAAGTCCTTTGTTCGGCGACGGCACCTCACCTTATCAGTCCGCCCAAATCCCGCTCCATCCCAGTCACCCTATCCTCGAGCGCCTTCTTCTTCCGCTCCAACTCCCGCACCTCTTCCTCCTCCCGCTCCAGATCCAACTTTGTCGCAATATCCACCTTTTCCGTCGCGAACTCACCCTCTACGTCTTGATCTCCCGCATCCCCTTCGGCTGCATACCCACCCCGACTGCCCGGACGAGTCATGAGCTGAAGTTCCTGCGCATTCCGTGTCACGCGGTCCTGGTAGTGTGCGATACTCGCGGCGAGCTGCTGATGCCGTTGCCGTAAGACCGATATGCGCTCTGTTGCGCCAGCGATGGGGTAGACGGCAGCCAGCTTCGCTGCGCCTTCCAGAAGCAGCTCGACGTCTAGCTCACCTTTCTGCTGCAATGTAGCATCGCCCTCCGCACCCACCCGGCGCGTCTTCTGGTAGAGCTCGCCACCCAGAACCGCAGCTACGGCTCGACTGCGTGGTTGATGCCTGGCGAGGTGTGCTGTTGCGCGTCGTGTGGATGCTCCGCTTATCACGGACGAAGTGAAGTCAGCGGCTCTGGTGGGCAGGGCAGGTGGAGCGAGTTGGAAAAGGGCTCGCTCGTGTGGTTCGGTGTCGCGGATGAGAGCGGTGATGTCGTGGTGGGGGGAGAGGAGGGCGTTGGTGAAAGCTTTCGGGCCGGGAAAGGACAAGTCGGCGATGGACTGGCTGCACAGGCTGATTTGCTCGAGGTGCGAGCTGAGTAAGGACGTCATCGGAGTTGCCGCTTACCCTTCATCACCATCACCACTTCTTGTCGCAGAAGGTGCTGTACCGGTACCATCGCTCACACAGAAACTGTGGAAGGCGCGCGATGCGGAGACGCGTAGGGATGAGGTCAGCAGCGTGGAATGCCGAAGAAAGTCCGACGTTGCTCTAAGTCTAGGCAAGCGCAGCACACGACAGCACTAGCACCACCGCACAGCTCTGCTTCACCGTGCCGTCAGCTACAAGCTCATCACGTGGCGAGATGGCGGACAAGATGGACGTCGACGGTGTGCAGGCGGAGAAGGAGGAAGAGAAGGTGGGACCGGCACCAGATCTGCCGACTGAACGAAGTGCGTCTACCATCCATCCGTCTATGGCGGCAGTGTCGGTATACCATGACCCGTGACCATGACTAACTGTGTAACCAGTCATCATCAACAACTTCCACCTCATCAACCAAGCGGTCGACTCCTTCGACTCCCGCTTCACCCTCCGAGCACTGCGGAGCATCGCCACCCTCCGCAAGCGCGACAACTTCACGGCGGCGCTGGCGCTGGGCATCCGCACCGCCTTCCCCAAGCCGCAGAACAACGCGCGGAGAGTGCTGGAAGAGATGCTGCCTGAGGCGTTGAGGCATGCGCATGGCAAAGATGCACACATGCAGAACGGTGACGGCGCGAAAGATGTCAAGGAGCCGGATGTGGTGGAGATTGCGGAAGTGTGGGCTTACCTTGGCCTGCTGTTGCAAGTCCACCTCTACGACACCCACCAACATCAAAAGGGCGCCGACTTCAGCACGAACTTCGTGGAGAAGATCCGCTCCTTCAACCGCCGCACCATGGACCCCATCGGCGCCAAGGCCTACTTCTACTACAGCCTCTTCCACGAGAACCTCCACCCCCTCCCACCCAGCAAGCAAAGTCCCGTCATCGACATCCGCCCTAAACTCCTCGCCGCACTCCGCTCCGCCGTCATCCGCAAGGACTCCGAAACGCAAGCCTCCTGCCTGGTCTTGCTTCTCCGCAACTACATCTCCACCGCCGACATCACCCAGGCAGATTTACTCGTCGCCCAAACCCAGCTCCCTCCAACATCACCCAACAACCAAGTCTGTCGATACTTGTACTACATCGGTCGCATCCGCGCCATCCAGCTCGCCTACACCGAAGCACACAAGCATCTCGAATCCGCTACCCGTAAATCGCCAACCACCGGCCCAGCCACCGGCTTCTACCAACAAGCCTCCAAACTCCTCATCGTGGTTGAGTTATTGATGGGCGACATACCTGACCGCTCCCTCTTCCGCCAAGCCAGCCTTGAGCTCGCCCTCCATCCGTACTTCCGCCTTGTGCAAGCGGTGCGTGTGGGCGACCTACAAGCCTTCCTCAAGTGTGTGACGACCAACGAAGAGCAGTTCAGGAAGGATGGGACGTACACATTGATCCTCCGCCTGCGCCAGAATGTCATCAAAACCGGCATCCGCATGCTCTCGCTCTCCTACTCCCGCATCTCCCTTCGTGACATCTGTACGCGGCTGCACATCTCGTCGGAAGAGAGCGCCGAATATATCACCGCGAAGGCGATTCGGGATGGTGTAATAGAGGATGCAAGGTTGGACCACGCGAACGGCGTTCTTGTCACCGAGCAAGGGAGGGATGTGTACGGGACGACTGAGCCGAGCGAGGCGTTTGATGCGCGGATAAGGGCCCTGTTGGGAATGAGGGATGAGTGCGTGATGGCCATGCGCTATCCCATGCACAAGCATCGGCAGGAAGTCGAGGAGGCGGCCAAGGCGCGGGAAAGGGAGAGGGAGTTGGCAAAGGAGATTGTTGAAGGGGAGGGTGATGAGGCGGATGGGGATGAGGGCGGGTTCGAGGGAATGTAATGGAAAGTACTGGTCGCGAGGGCGGAGCGAGGCGCAAAGGTGGTATGTATGATAGACTGCATGAAGCTCAAAGCGGACAGCTGAGCGACGAATGTTAGGCTCTCCAAGGGTCGTTTAGACAGTGATCTTTTGCGCCGGCCGTCTATCTCTGTCAATGGCCTCTTTGCCTCCTCACCAGTCCACCATCAACCGTCGCAACCGCACTCCGCAATCATTTAAGGCATTTACGGTTCAACTCCACCACCCCCTCACCATGATCGTGCAAGGTGCACGAGTCTTCCGTGATGTCCGCTTCTCGGTTCTCCACCACGTCCGCAAAGCATCTCAAGAAGACTGTATAAAGCGCCAGTCGTAGTATCCTTAGATTCACCTTCGGCGGCAATCCTAGACTCTGGGCTGAGAACTCACACCGACGCGCGATTTATATCCAGGGAAGGACTCCCCGCGCGAGCCTTTGCTCACCGTAACAGCGACATTGCGGATAGCAGATAGCGGGGTAGATGAACGCATAGTTGTCTAGGTTGACGTGTAAGCCTTGCATACGCGATGCCTGGGATCAGGAGCGGCACGCTATGCTTACAGAGGGTCTGTTCACGCAAGCCGCTTGTGTCGAATCCGGGGTCGATGATTCATGTCAGAGTAATTGATGCCATGGTTTGTTGCATTTTCATGTTCAGTAGGCTGATGAAGGTAGCTTATGTATCGCAAGCAGAGGTGTGTCCTGATGGTATATCGCGGGTGGAGGAGATTGGAGGCATGACACTCTAGATATGAGAGCTTGGCGGACATGGTGCGTATGAAGTGAGGGAAGACAAAGGGAGGTTTGGTGCGACGTGGCCAGGGTTCGATGATGGATGCTTGCTGGCTGACATACGCCAGCGAGACGGAGGTGAAGTAACCGACTCAAGGCCGTCAAAGTGCTACGGTCTAACCGCGAGAGGATCTTCCTAATCTTCAAAGACCCTACTACAACGGGCCGTTTGCAGCAAACCATCCTATTTGTGTTGGCGTGCCAGCGAAAAGACCTAGCATGAACACTGCTCTAGCGATATGTATTGCACCCGGTCGAGGCTGCTGTGCTAGTTGTTGGTTGCGGTGAGTGGCGGCAGCACGTTCACGCCATCGTTAGCAGCGCTCTGGGCGTCCGCGCATGTAATATGGTCCGACCAGTCCGCTAGAGCAAGCTCGATCTTTGATCGGCGCAAGACACGGGAACCCGAGATCCGCAAATGGTCGTGATTGTGCGGAAGTGGCGCGACTCATATCCGTAGCCCCGAGGGACATACCACCGCTGCCGCGCACGGCGTAGTAATGCATCAGGCAAGTAGCAGAGATCGGTGTATCGGTGTGACGCCGATTATCTCCTCGCCTCATGCGGATTACTGTGCTTCTCGTATGCAGAAAAGTTATCAGTGTGGAGGGTATAGTTCTCGAGGCCTCACGGTGAGCACCACCACCACCTCGTTGCCCGGTTACCGATTGTTATGGTGACTAGGCGGCTGTCCGCTAACAGGGGCGATGCGCGGACTGGTCGAGCCGAACAAAAACACGGCACAACCACTGCGCAGGACCGAGAGAAAGATCTCGTCATCGTGGCCCCCCATTAAGACCCTCCATCGAGAGCAATATACCGCCTTTCAAACATGTGGTTCAGGAGCGCAGGCTCCGCGAACATGCCACGGTGGTCCATCTTCGAGCCTGCTAGAGAGGGCTGGTTGGTTGGAACGTGTCGGCAATAGTTCGGTAGCAAGAACGCTCGAGAAGTGAGAAAGGCTACTGAGTCACGGCGGCGACAGTCGAGGTAAGGGTGGTGAATGCATACGACGCACACGAGCACGTACCAGTAAATGTTCCCGCCACGGGAAGGTCCTCGAACAGCTTGTCTTGCGCAGAGGGCATTGCTTTTGATCGCGCGAAGGAGAGCCTTTCACGGCTTACCAAGTCTTGGTTTGCACTTATCCGCCTTTAGATAGGCATTGCAATAGGCCACAGTAAGGTGTTGTTAAAAACAGGCGTTTCTGTGAGCTGCCGCAGCCGCTAGCCTTACAACGAGGTGCTAACAAAACTACAGGATAAGAAGGGTTAGGGTTAGGGGTTCTTATATTAATAGTCGCCGTTAGGCTCCCTCTCTCTAATAAATATAGAAACTAACGCTTCGACTATATACCTATAGGTTATCTTAGCCTTCCGAGGATATAGTCGAGTAGGCTACTACTTAGTCGATCTAGAGTAAGTCTATATATATATAGCTATTACTTCTTAATAGTCTTATTACTAAAAGATAGTCCTTATAAACTTATATATTCTCTCGCTATATTATAGTCTTAAAGATATAGTATTTAAGAATTAGCTTATTAGATCTATTCTAGTTACTAAGATAGTTATCTTAAGAATATTATAACTTACTACTATTCTATATAGGTTCCTAAGCTAGTCGGTCGTTATCTCTATACTACTAAGTAGCTTAGTACTAGAATTATCTTTCTTAGACTACTTTAAGGAAATATAGAGGTTTAGAATATACTTTATAGCTATTACTAGTTTAAGTTAAAGTATTAAGAGTAATAGTAGAAGAGTTATAGCTTACTCTTTTATTATATTTTCTATACTCTCTATATAGAGTTTAGTATAAAATATAATATTCTTACTTAAGATTATATTCTTATTATTATAGCTAAAACGTAGAATAGGCGTTTATACTATACTACTCTCGCTAAAAGTATCCTTAGTAAAGGGAGTAGCCTTATTACTCCTAGTAAATAAGGTACTCCGAGAGAGAGTATCTAGAATATATAGAGCCTTATAGGTAGAATATAAATCTCCTTTATATATAACTATAATAGATTTTATAGTTAGAAGTTTGTATTTAACTTATATTATAAACCGACTAATTAGAATTAACTTATTACTTTATTCTAATCTCTTATATTAATTATACTTTAGCTAAGTAATACTTTACTATCGACTACTAGACTACTCGATAAGTACTAACTCTACTTATAACGACGGAATTACTTAACTTCTATTATATAAATATAATAGTATATAATACTTTAAATATCTTTAAGGATATCTATTACTAGAAGATTTAAGTAGAATATCCTTATCTCTAGTAAAGTAGAAGATACTAATATAGTATACTCTACTAACTATAATTAGTCTAACGATAACGTAAAGGTCGTTAAACCCGACTTATACTATAGAGACTAAGAGAAACTCGATAACTAGTTTAACTAGATATATATCTTCTTCGAGTTTAACTCTATAGAGTCTATAAAGCGAAGTCTATTCGTAATAGCCTTCCTTCGAGGCTATACTTAGTATTACCTTAAACTATATCTTACTAAGTACCTCGATAGTAATCTAGAATATAACGAAGATATTACTAAGATCTTTAGAGTATTTATAGGACTTAAGATAATCTTATAATAAGTCTTTATAATCTCTAATAAAGTCGAGAATATAGTTTATATTATTTAAGATATTAAGTAGACTAAGTCTATATCGGACTATATAATCTAGTTTAAAGAGTACTTATAACTTACTAACTAGGACAATATAGCCCTATATACTATATATTACTAAGGCCTAAAGGATTAAGTTAAAAATAAACTAATAAGATATAGAGATATTACCGAAGAACTAGACTAGTTAATTAGGGCCTCTATTATAATTAACGATAAGCTTTATAAATATATAATAGAGAAAGGCTATAAGTTTAATCTTTAATACTTACTCTATAGTTAGAAGAATTAAGGTAGAAATTAGCTATATTATACCGACCTATATAGACTAGAGGTAGCCTCTATATACTTAGATATAATAAAAAAAGGAAACTCTAAAAGTAGCCGTAGTAAGAATAGTAAGAAACTATACTCTAGAGGAAAGAAAGCGATTATATATTATATATATAGTAAGAAAGGCTATATAGTAAGGAATTATAACGCTAAGAATAAGATATAGCGACTATAGTTTAATATAATACTATAGAAGCCTAGGAAGCGTAAGGCGACGACTCTATAATAACCTTTAGAAGGAAATAAAGGATAGAGAATACTAGAGAATTTTAGCTAGAAGCTAATTACCGATAATATAGACGACTCTAAGTAGTTTCTATAGAAATAGAATACTACTACTAATAAGGCTAGCGAGCCTATAGAAGATAGCGAAGATATACTAAAGGAAGAAGAATAGAAGTTAATATAAATTAAAGAAAAAAAAGAAGTACTATATAGATTCCTTTATTAGATATTCTATTATAATAATTAGTATAGAGAATACTATAGTAGTAAGGAAAATACTAGATAGTTTCCCTAGAAGCCGAGGGAACGATAAACTATTAATATAATTAGTACTTAGCGACTTAAAATACTAGAAACTCTAGATTAATACTCTAAAGAAGAAGATATTAGCGAATAATTATTAGATAATAAAGTATCGAATAACGAACGAAACGAGCTTTACTACTTTAGCCTAGAAGGAAAGAGTTAAGTAATAGAACTTTTTCTTATAATAGCTCGATAATATAAAGAAGTATTCCCTAGAATTAGTAAAAAGCGATTCCTTTATTTAAGACACTTTAATTAGATAATTAGCTAGTTCTATAATATATTCTAGAACTACCGACTCTATAAAGTCGGATACGACTTTAAGACGATTATATAAGAGTAGCCGCTAATCGAGAGCTAGTTTACGCCTAATAGCTATCTCCTTCTAAATAGGCTTTTTATTAATAAATAGATAAGAGATATAGTATAGAACCTAAAAGTTCGCTATAGTTAAGTATAATATATTTAAACTACGCTTAACTTAAGAGAAAAAGTAAAAGAAGCCTCGAGAAGCGTAAATAGTCGATAAGCTAAGATAGTAGCCTTATATAAATAATAGGAGTATAATATACTATTAAAGGAGAAACTATAAAGCCTTAATAGCTTATAACTACTAACTCGAGACTAATAGATAGAATAATTCTTTATATTACGATAATATATATAAAAACGAATTATACTATAGAACTAGAGAATATTAAAAAACTAGAACGACTTATCGATAGAAGTACTTAATAGGAACTATATAGTATAACTACTCTAGTATTAGAATATATAGTATTTTATACTATAGCTACTATTAAAGGAAACTCGATAATAATTATAGTCGACTTAAATATAAGTAGGAACTTTATATCGCTAAGATATATAAAACGAAGTAGAATCGCTATCTAGATAAAGAAAGATAGATATAAATTATTTATAGTAAATAGTATAATAATATCTATAGTAGATAGCGAGATAGTACTACTTCTACTAGATATCTAATAGTACTATAAGGATATTATACTAGATATTATACTAATAGCTATAGAAGATATTATTTTAGAAATATCTTAGTTAAGATATTATAATCTAGTAGTTAACTAGAGAATAGGAGTACTTATATTTAGATAGTATAATTACGTAAATTATATAGAGCCTATATATCGGTAGTATTTAATAGTAGATAAAGTAAAATAGCTATATAGTATAAAGAGAGCTAATCTACTAAAACGAGAATTAAATAAAGATACTTTACCTCCGTTAGATATCGATAAAGATTAGCCGGATTACTAAGATAGAAGTAGTAGTAAGTATATAC